TCTGAAATTATAAACAACTAAAGATAATAAACGAGGGTGAAATGTATGGGGCTTTTCATATAAACCAAGGCTTGAAGAGAACAGCCTACAGAGACATTGTAGCACAGTTAACATAGACAATTTAGGAATAAACACGAAAACAAATGGACATGTATGCATAACTGGACCAAAAAAAAAAATTGTCGGGACACTGAAGACTGAATAATAGATAACTACCCGCACAATGAGGCTAAAATATGTTAAATAACAGAGATGACGCATTTATATGAAAAACAGAATAGTTTTCAGTCAATATTTGTTTAGTGTTACTGTGGAAACCAAAGGGGAACAGACTATTGTAGTGATGTGGTTCATTTGTGTACAACTCCGCTTTATACAAAAGCCTTATCATGCTTATTGTGCAAAAGGCTGCGGACCAGGACAATGCACAATGGATCTGTTGATAGTGTTTCCCTGAACTTTTCCTTAATCCTGAATATGCTGTTAGCCTAGGTACATGTGCCTATGTACCGGTTCATAGACGTGTACTTCCGTGTGGTAAAGATATCGATGCAGCAGAGTATATATGGGTCATTCCACAGACTTGGGAAGCAGTGCATATGTTACATCCATATATTTGGTTATATTATTAAAAGTATCAATGCATTCTAAACAATTGCTCAACATAATATTTGTCTTAGGGTGTTTCAATACTTAAAGTTTGAAATTATTTGAAAGTATTTTGACAAAAATATGAGCAAAAATGTATTAATTCGGACGTAACATTGACACCATGTAAATGTTACATCCAAATATTCTTTTTTTGCCATTTTTTACACGTACATGTAAAATATTACCCAAACTGACATTGCATATTTACAACTGGACACCTAAGCACCAAGAAAAGCTTTTGCTTTGGTATAGTCAGGGTTCAAACAATACCTCAAGTGTGGATGTACTACGGTGTAAAAATCACTCAATGGAAGTGTGACATTTGGGTCTGACACCGTGTCAATGTTACGTCCACACAACCAAGCATTCATATCTGCTCCATTTGATGCCAGATTACCGTAACAAAAGCTTTTCTTATTGTGTTGCATCTATAGTAAGAAGTACGCAAAGTGAATTTGGGTAATGTTTCACAGAAATTTAAAAAAATTGACACCGTGTCATATTTGGATATGTAACACTGACACGGTGTCAGTGTTACGTCCAAAATGACATTTTTTGCTCATATTTTTGGCAAAATACATTGAAATGATTTCAAACTTTCTGCAGTAGTGAAACACACAACAACAAATATTATGTAGAGCAACTGCTAGCAAGGCATTCATGCTTTTCTTAATATGGTCATATGTCACACGTTGTTCCCCAACCCGGTGGATATAAGGGATTAGGCCTACTTCTTTGTAAATTTTACTCAAATTTATTTTAGTTAAAGAGACTATTCTGGAATACTTGAAAGACAAGAGGCCTACTTTATTATTTTAATTTTATTTCTGGTAATGAAACCAAAGATTCCTCAAAAGCTCCCTATAGGCACTGCCTGAAAAAACCTGTAAAGAGGAGACAATGAGAAAACAAATAGAAATTTTACTTAAAGGCATTCCCCGTCATGATGGCCACGCTATTTTGAGTTTCATCCCGAAAAAAATAAATCTGTTCTTAAAACTGCTGTTAATTTTCCAGCAACATTCCCTTTTAGATTAGTTAATATCAAACGAAGATCATCTACCAAGGTTTGGTTATTGAATTTTTTCCTCTTTTTTTTGGTGTGAAATTTGAATTATCTGCGACCCTAGGCCTAGGCCTACATGTAAATCCATTATCTCAAGATAGGCTGGTTCCCAAACACAATTAGCATTGATAAGTCAAAGTAAAAAAACAACCAAGTTTCTTGTCCCCGCTCGCTTCCTTTTTGGAGGCCGCATGGATTTTTTAAATTATTTTTTATTTTTGAAAATGTAGTAGTAAAACACCGAAAAAGTCTACAAATTCATCGGAAAATAAATACCAATACAACTCAAAATGACACTGTAAATATGTTCAGTTCTCTTGTCCAACTTGTCTTTCATCATTAAAAGTGTCTTTGAACAGTGGAACACCAACGGTTGCAGGAAATTTTGAAAAGGCGGTCATCTTGAAAAAATAAAAAATAAAAAATAAAAAGTCCCGCTTCCTCCCTTTTTAAAAAAAACCCAGACGAGAAACTATTTTTTTTTTACTCGGCCTAACGTATGGACCGGGAACCAGTTTGATGATCGCAAAGCATATGTTTGTGCCCAAAGTATTTATAACCTTTTTTTGTGTGCAGATACCCAAAAAGTCAAAAAGAGAGTTTTTGGGGGGAATAAAACCTACAGGTTAAAATTTATCAACAGGAAAAAAAAATCAAATGCACCGGGTGAGTAAAAAAAAGGGGAACCCAAACCCCTAAAAATATATTTCATATTTAAAAAAAAATGTAGCACCAAAAATAATAATGACTGGAAAGCCAATTTCATGAACTACTTTTAGATGAAAATAATTACTGAAATTGCTCACCCGTTCAAAGTATAGGCCTATACCATTTAAACGCGTTAACCCTAAAACCTCTTCCGTCCAAAAATTCGATTTCAAGAATCTTCGTCACAATTGTCTTCAAACATCACAAGCGATAAAACCTCAGTTTAAAAGTTAAAAGTATTCAACAAAATCCTTTTGAAGGCCTGTCTTTTAAAAGAAGTTGATTTTATACATTTGAATAGTGTTTATAATTGACCTATAAATATTGTCCAATTACATGAAATACAAATGGACACAGAACGCGCAAAATCGGAGACAAACAAGGGTTGTCCAAGGGGTGCGGCTAATTCGCAAATGGCGATAGGTCAATTTGTTTTTAGTCAGTCCTGAGTGCTTGTAAACTTCAATGCAATTAAACAGTTCCCGAAGTAAATATATGCCAACACTTCAAACCACTCGAATTTCAAGTGGTACACATGCAGGGGAAGTGTTTGTTGAAAATTACAGGCCCACAACATCAAATATTATTTTGTAACTACATTTGACATGATCACTGTTGACTTAAAAGGGCTAATTGGTTGGTTAATTTCCTGTCCTTGCGCTGCCTAGAAGTGCTTTGACACCTCTTAAACGGCCCACAATGGTTGATACTGAATCTTGTCAATATTGACTCAAGCTTTGTGCAAATGCAATTGTTGAGTGTTAGCAGTTACTAGCTATGCTCCATTGAGTGTTCATTGAAAAGTGGGAGCTGGTTTACAAAAGAACACACGGGGGGCCATTCCACTTCAGCACAGCATTGCGAAGCTGTTTGCCACCATTGTGCTCATGTATGGTGTTAAATGGATGGGCAATATACCACACTAATGGTCAATTAGATACCGGTAAGTTTATGGATGTTGCATATAATTAGGGTAAAAGATCAGCTAGTGTTTTCTTTCGTTTTTTTCCTATACCTTGCTAAGTTAAAGTGACTAGGACAAGAAAATTAGAGATGATATCTTTTTTATTTGACAAAATAACAGGTCTTTTTTTCTGTGTTATGCGTACATTGTACGTAACATGGACAGCTAGACACACTGCAAGAAAAGGGTGCTTCTAGCTAGACAAATAGGGGCCTACAGTTTTTAATAGGCACTTCTTCATTTGACATTTTATTGCTATCAAGCAAAAAATATAACAGTTTTTGCACTGGCTTCAAAGTTACATGTATGATGCACGTACGAACAGGGACAGACATTTTGTGACAAATGTCCAGTCTGTTCGTACGTATAAATCCTGATTATAAAATATCAAATAATTCTTCACATTGACTCTGAGTTTTCTAGGTTTTGACTGATAGCATTCCTCCAGGGTACATCTTCTGAAATAAGTCAACATTAGGGGATCATTAAATTTCATGCTTACTTTGTGACTAACGTAACACTTTTTAAAACAATATCCACTATCGGCCTATTTTCTAAAATACAAAACCAGTTAGGCTATATCCTTTGCCGGTGAGGATATTTGTTCAAAGCTTGCAATGTTTACAGCAAAAATTGAGAGACCAAGATTGTAGTTTTATCATCAAAATTTAAAGGTTTTCTCAAATGTCACACTTTTGGGCCCATTGGTGTGGAATTGCCCATATACAACATTTGCCAAAATTGCTGTAATTTTCAGAAATGGATAGATTTGGGGGGTTAGTATTTTATAGCAATTAATTGTTACACTGACTTGCTTGAAGTTTTATGTTCGTAGATGCTGGAAAAACCAAGAACAATCGTGTTCCTGTAGTCTGGTCCCCTGACCCCACTTAAGATGAAACAGAGCAATATATAGATAGACGTCGGTTTATCTACCGGTATGTAAGGTCAGGGAACCAGTCTACAGGAACACGGTTGTTTTTCTTGGGTTTTTTTTCCAGCATCTACGAACTCAAAACTTCAAGCAAGTCAGGATTATGTCAGCCGCGTTTTCCGCTAAAAAAACCCCTGTATCTGTGGTTGTAAAGGCATGAAAGGGGTACGTACATTTAATACAAATCTTTGCTAATAAACACAACGTCCAAACGTTGTGTTGGAAAGGATTGATTCTTCAAAATCACAACTTTTAACATTTTAAAGATGGCGTCGGCACGTGAAACGGATAAACTGCAGCCCTAATTATAATGTACCGTATTTTGGTATATTTAAATTACACAATTCCAGGGGTTACGATCGCGCAAGGCATGATGGGAAACAACATGGCGCTGCAAGATTGTACCCACGGGGCACGAGGTTGGGCTTTCATATCCTAGATTTGGAAAGCGTTACATGCAGAAATTCTTCAAAAATAGGGGGCACCATTAAGGTTTCCTTCTTTTTTTTTTAACCCTGTACATTGACAAAATGGGGCACCGCCAACATAGGGCTGGATTATTTACTCAGTAGACACTAGAATGGTATTCCAGAGGTTAAAACCCCAGAGTGCAAATTGATTTATATGATGAAATTCATTTAATAGGACAAATCATTGTCTTGTTTTTCTCTCAACAGACTTTTAAGCTGATCTAAGGATCTACCATTGACTATGGGTCGGTTGTTTCAAGCTGTTTTTGTCGTGGTGGTTACTTTGACTGGCCTCCGAGAAACTGACGGCACTTTCTTGGGTGCCGATTATTGGAATCTGCGGTATGGAGATCATGGAATCAACTATGAAACCGGTGGGTGTAGGGAGCAAAAATCACAGAAAAAGTAAATGTTCTTTCAGCAAAACAAAAACAGCTCAATAGTATGAAGCCCGGGAAGGGACAGGGTGGAATTATTTTTTGAAATTTGCTAATTCGTTCTCACGAATTGCTAATTCGTTTGCACGAATTGCTAATTCGTTCGCACGAATTGCTATTTCATTCGCACGAATTGCTATTTTGTTAGCACGAATTACTAATTCGTTTGCACGAATTGCTATTTCGTTCCCACGAATTGCTAATTCGTTCCCACGAATTGCTAATTCGTTCCCACGAATTACCAACTCGTTCCCACAAATTACTAACGCGTTCCCGGATGCACGAGTTAGCAATTCATTCCCACGAATTAGGAAATCGTGCGAACGAAATAGCAATTCGTGGGAACGAATTAACAATTCGTGCGAACCAAATAGCAATTCGTGCGAACCAAATAGCAATTCGTGCGAACCAAATAACAATTCGTGCGAACCAAATAGCAATTCGTGCGAACCAAATAGCAATTCGTGCGAACGAAATAGCAATTCGTGCGAACGAGTTAGCAATTCGTGCGAACGAATTAGCAAATTACAGAAACAAAATTCCACCCTGTCCCTTCCCGGACTTCATACAATAGGAATGCATGTGAATTGTTTTAATTTTGCTGACAGAACACTTGGAAAGAATTCCATATATCTGTAGGTACACCACTAGTTTTTCCCTGCAACAACTCATCAACTCATAAGGTCCGTAAACAGGGTGTCAAGTGGCGTACGTAAATGGAATTCTTTCCGAACACTTGCCATTTTGTGATCCATGGACAGAACTTTAAAAACGTTGTTTGTGTTCAAATTTCCATAACTTTTAAAGTACATACCGGTAAGTGATTCGAATGATTCTTGTACTAAAAGAAACTTATGATTGGGCTTTCATATCCTGGATTTTGAAAGTGCTACAGGCAAAACTTCATTCAAAAATTGGTGCTGCCATTTTGGTTTTGTTTTTTGTTTACTCGCCCTGTAATTAGATCATCAAGATCATATACAGCATGTAGTACAGTGGAACGCCGCTATATGCTGAACACCACTTTACCAAGCATTCGGCTATGGCTCCGCGCGCCAAAAAAAAGAGGGCGCGTTTTTACCTCTTTTGGGAGCTCCGACACACAGCGTTGCGCGTACAGTACTGTACTGGGTCGTGCGCGAAGTACGCACGACTTCCTGAATGTGCAAAGTTATAGCCAATGCATCTACGCGTGAGCGTCAGGCGTCGTCGGCGCGGGAATACGTTAGAATTTAACTTGCGATGGTCTCCTGGACTAATCCCCCCCTCCAATAACTTTGGATACTTTCGAAATATGCAGTGGATGGATCGAGAACCAGTCTAGGTCACCCTCAACTATCCTTTTCTGGCCGTTGATGGGGTACTTGTGCACAAAGCCCATTCTGAACATCCTTGGCTTCCGGTTTTAATGTATTAAAAGTACCGAACACTGTTGTTGTTGAAAAAAGTCAACAGATTAACACAAAATCTACCGGTTGTATTAAACGCTATTTGGTACACTTTTATTTCCCGAACATCAAACCACCCATGGTTACATCATGTTTGAATGTTGAAGAGCGATACATGGCTAATATTTCCCCAAGGAATAAAAGGGAAAACCACCCATTGCTAAAGTTTTGTGATGACTCCTCGTGCGGCCGCGGTATGTGAGAAATGCCAGTTCACTATTGGTCAAAAGAGGGTACCGGCGGTTCAAAATCGCTATTCTGAATGATCTTTGTTACTTGCAAGTCACTTGCAAGTCACACGCGACCCTGCACAGCGCTGTTCACTCACCTACATCAGATCTGTGATTGACTTGTAATGGACTTGTCACATTAATTACGCTTGTGATGGAAATACATGTATGATGTGACTTGTGATGGACTAATTGTGATGGACTTGTGATTTGGCTTTTGGTCAAGGGCGGATCCAGGGGGGGGCCAAAGGGGGCCATGGCCCCCCCCCAAAACGAAACCAATTTTTTTTTTTTTTTAATGTGACATCGCAATAAAGGCAGGCAATGAGTACACCACCATCTTTTCCTCAAAAAAAATTGGTTAAAGTGGTCAGAAATTGCCTCAGATCGCACCACAGAGCATCTAGAATCCAAAAATTTTTCGGGGCCCTAGCGGGCCCCGAACCCCACGCCGTAATTATTTAGACCCACTTTTTTGGGGGACCAAATTTTTTTTGGGCCCCCCCCAAAATTGTGTTCTGGATCCGCCCTTGCTTTTGGTGGACCTTTGATTTGACTTGTGATTTAACTTATTATAGCATTATCTAATCAGTGGTTTGACTTGTGATCTCGTCTTCATATTTGACTCGTGAAGTTCTGGGCTACAACTCTGTGAATTATCTTCTCCGCGCAGGTTCTAATATGTTCAACGGCCTGTGGTCAGCTTCGTCCTCTCTCAATGGGCACTACGGACGACCAGATTCTGACTACAGTTCAAGGACATGCACATGTTCCTGTAATGAGGTTGAATTGACTGTAGACTGCACGGGGACTACCACAGTGTATGTTTATTAACTTCAATGGCTCTGTCGAATATTATGTAGATATTGACTGCTTGGAGTGGTGTTGTAAAACTAGACTTCTCAGGTGATCCATGGAGCGGTCTGGTTTCCCGAGGCATAGCCGAGGGAAATGGAACGTTCCAGGATCACCGAGGAAGACTCGTTTTACTACGTTCACCGCAAGATAAAGCAGTAAATGTTTATGTACTTTTTTGTGGTAAGACAAGCGTGAGTTTCATGATAATCGTGAGTTCAATCACCGGCGCCCATGCAGTTGAACAACGTTTCAAAACTAAACAATCATGATGCGCGCGCGCACAGGCGCTCCAATCAAAGACTTTAAATGGGAGCTAGTTACCGGTCCCCATATCTTTGGGGGGGGGGGGCTGGGAAAAAGTCTAGGAGCAGGTGTATGGACCCCGTCCACGAGTGCCCCCTCAACGCTTACAAATGGAGAGTTGGGGGAGACCACTAGGAGGGACATTTGAGTGCATTGCTGACAAGTGTCTAGTCTAGGGGCTAGACGTTGTTATCATTTGATACGCGATATCCCGCCGCCGCGATAACCCGCCGCCACAAGAGGGCGTTATCACGACCAGCCAATATCACCCATGAACCTGTCTGAGAACAACGTCTAGGAAAATTCCGAAAATCTCCCCCTGAAAAAGAAGGGAAACTAGTGCGCATGCGCTACTTCTGCAGTTACGGTCCTTTTTCAGCCCCACGCATACTACACACCACAAAAATGCTGACCAGCACTACACAAGTCTTGCAGCATACTGAAAGACGAAATTTAAGAGTTTGGTTCGGAACTACAATGAATTGTTTAGAATGCGCGCTAGGCCAAACAGGTGCGAGCGCATTACACAACCGATACGAATTTCCCTAGACGTTGTTCCTGACAGGTTCGTGGGTGATATTGGTTGGTCGTGATAATGCCCTCTCACAGCGGTGGATTATCGCGTATCAAATCATAACAATGTCTAGCCCTAGACTAACAATCGTACATATAGCAGACGTTGTTGTTGTATAGGTACAGGATAACCCGCTGCCGCAATAACCCGCTGCCGCGAGAGAGCGTTATCACGATGAACCGCTATCACCCTCGAATCTCTTACCATGTACCACAAAAGAGCTGCCCATTAAAGTTACACAAAAGTCTTGCTGCATCTGGTATGCTACTGGAAGGAAGTAACGAGTTTGGTTCGGAACTTATATGAACGGCGCTACATATAGAAGAAAAACAGGTGTGCGCGCATTGCACAACCGCTACAAGATTCCCAAGACGTTGTTTTTGGTGGTTCCTGGGGGATAGCCGTTCGTCGTGATAACGCCCTCTCGCAGTTTCGGGTTATCGTGGATCTGCAACAACAGTGTCTTGCCCTAAGATTAAGGCCGTGTAGAAACGGGCTTCCAGAGCTACGGCTACGTCTATTGTCAGCGCGTCCCCGCGTATTTTCAATGGGCACAGACCTAGACCTAGCTCTAGACAGCTGATTCGGATGTAGCCTAAAGCCCGGTTCATACTCCATGCGAATGCGAATGCGAAGCCAATTTGACGTCATGAAACGTTCGCTGCGAAATTCGCCCGGGTTGAAATATGTTAAACTTTTACGAATTCGCAGCGCGAATACTTGCCACGACGTCACAAATTCGCGTTCGCTTTCGCGCATAGTCATGATAGTATGAACCGGGCTTACATGTAAGTATGATACAAAGACACTATGGGTCTGTGAACATTTGGGCGCGTGCGTATGTGCTCACGAGCCATACGCGCACGAACCAGTATGCGCATGCAGTTTGTAGAGCCCAGTGGGGCTTTCAAAAGTGGAAACAGAGCTTCATCTTCTGTTCATACATATAGAATCTATAACTGCGGCCGATTTCACGAAAAATGCGCAGCTACGCAATGTTTTAAATAATTTAAACATCTTGGACGAGGATTAAAACAGCATTTACGACGGTTGTTTGTGTGTGAATTTATTCGTTCGCAAACAGTTGTTGGATCACCTCAGCCTGCCATTTTGAAAATTATTTTGTCCGACTTCATTCGGAATTGTTCGGCAACTCTAAAAAATTATGTTACGAGTAAAATAGAAATTCATTTACTTCAAACATAACGTTGTGAGTGTCTTGTTGCAACCTTGATAAGTTGTGCAACAACGGGCTCCACGACAGTCCTGATTTGCTGGTAAAATTTGTCATTTTCAGTCGCTACGCCACAACTTACGCCACCTAAAATGATTGTGCAAGCTACGCCATCATTTATTGTGCAAGTCGCGGACTTACGCACTATCCGACTTTCGTGGAATGTGTCACAAGTAAAATGTTGCGCAGCGTGAAAATTTTGGCGCAAGCAGAGTTGCAGAGTGAAATCGGTTGCTGATGGTTCTAAAAAAATTCTTGTTCACATTATGTTTGTTGTTTGTATTTTGTTTTACTTTTCTCTACAAAGGACATTGAAGAACTACAACTTTGACAATTTGACCATCCATACATTCAACCCTGGAACCACAGAAATGTAAGTTCATGTATGTATGTATGTATCTCAGGACTTTGCCCCATGTGTCTCACACCGTCCTGGACTTCTTCCGTATCGTGAGCCACAAAGCGATGGGTGCTAAATTTCCTGAAAAGTTGAGTTTTCCTGAATTTGAAATCAAGACAGTTGTTACAATACATGTGCCTGTTTAAAAAGTGAGAACAAAATTAATTCCCTACATCTTGATATTTATTTACCCTGTAATTTTGAGGGGTACTGTGGAGAAGTTTGAAATTACTTGCAGGATTTTGAGAGGATAAGTAGATGTTTATAGAGGTTGGGAGTTTGTTCCTGTTTTTTAACTTGATATTTTAGCCTCTGTTGTAAACATGAAGTGGAAAAAATGTAAGTTAAGTTGTGATTGACTTGTGATTTTACTTGTATGACTTGTGATTTAAGTTGTTATTGACTTGTGTTTTGCTTGTAATCGACTTCTGATTGTACGGTACTTGTTATTGACTTGTGATTAAAGTTCTTGACTTGTGGTTTTGCTTGTAATTTGACTTCTGATTTGACTTGTGAAACTTGTGATTGACTTGTGATTGACTTATGATTTGAGTTGTGATTGACTTGTGATTTGACTTGTGATAGACTTTTGAACTGAATTTGTGATTGACTTAGGTATGACTTTGGATTTTGCTTATGATTAACTGAGCTATACCTACATGACCTAAGCCTTCTTTATAAAGATGGTCTTCCTGATAAGGATTGATATTATTCCCATGAAGTGTTTTTGAAACTAGGGATTCATATAAGATTTGACATTCTTGAAACAGAACGTGGTCCCAACTTGAGCCAGAGTCACCCAAGAGGGGAGCTCAAAATGAATCCCCTGAACGCAAAGCTGAGATGAAACCAAAGTTTAAAAAAAAAGAGCTAAAGTTTAGATGCATACACGCAGAGCGCCCTGTGTAGCCCATGCATGGAGCCCTTGTGTTGGTAATAAAAATAATAATAATAATAATGATAATACCGGTGCTTATATAGCGCAGTTCCAAATTAATGATCAATGCGCTTTACCGACAAAAACAAAGAAACAAAAACAGATACATTGAAAGAGTAAATCACATAAGAGATCAGGTGTGTTTTGAGGAGGCTTCTGAATGTTTGTGGGCTAGGAGCCACAGTCTGATGGTTGATGGGAGATCATTCCACAATCTAGGGGCACAGATAGAGAATGACAGTGTTGTAGTCGAGGCCACAACCTCCGAGGCCGAGGCCAAGGCCGAGGCCACAACCTCCGAGGCCAAGGCCGAGGCCGAGGCCACAACCGCGAGGCCAAGGCCAAGGCCGAGGCCACCACCTCCGAGGCCAGCTATCAAAACATAAAATCATTAAAACAAGGCTAATATAAATATAAATCACTAAAACAAGGCTAAGATTATGTTGGAGTTTTAACATCTTTTTAGTTGAATTCACTGAGTTTTGGAGTGCCTGGCTTACAAGTTTACAGCTTGCAATGGGTTTCCTCTTGTAGGGAGTCCGGCGAATTTTATTTTTTAAAGAAAGAAATTTCAAGTTTTGTATCAGTGAAAGCAAATTACACAACAAAATCAATGGCGTTTGAATCAGGCTCATAGGTGTTTGCCCTTTGGAGATACAACAATTTAAATGGCCAAATTTTGAGTTTCTATTCTGTAAGATTTACATTTTATTTACTTTTAGCATGTTTTATAAATCTTATTTTCAAAACCTATCAAAATGCTTAATATCATAGGAATCTTCATTAAATAAACAACAACTTGATTTTTGAATCAGCTTTTTACCACTCATAACCAAAAAGTTACGATCCCCCCCGACCTTCGCACTGTCCAGGCGCGCGCCGAGCAAACACCGCGATGCGACCAGACAATGCCAGACGGCCCGCCGTTACCCATGGGCAAAGCATAGTTCCAATCCCGCTCCACACAACGGGATAAGTGTCCACGCATTATCACTGTTAATACCGCAGTACCAGACAAAGTCTGGCAATAATGGCCAATCCCGCTCCAAACAACACGGCAACACGGAACATGCGTGCATGATATCACTCAGTTCATCAAAATGACCATGAATTCTTGGATCATCCGATTTGAATCCAATGGCGTCGAAGAATTTTAAGATCATGGCAAGAGGTAGGGAGTCCAGAGGTTTTGGCCGTATATCTGTAACCACGCAAAATTAGTCAATTTCAAACCGTGCTTATACATGTAATACGTATCAACATGGCTCTAAAAATACAAAAAGTATCCTGGTACCACGAGGAAAACTGACTCCTATTATTAAAACATTCATTTCAGAACTTTGCATTCATTTGGATCGAAAAACGAATTCTGAAATCGCGCTTTCCATATCGACCATTTGCGCCAAACATTACCGTGTGAGCCGGAAATTTCATTTAAATCACCGTGTAAAAATAAAATCTACTTGATAAATCGTAACTGTTTTTATCATATCTTTATGAAAAAAAATGGTACGGACTAGTACACTCGATCGTACCCAGAAAGTTCAGACTTTTACTGAAACAGTGGCCTATAAAAAGAAATGATTAAGCTTGCCGCACCTTGCCGCAAATCATTCTTAAAGGTCGGGGTACAGAGGCGAAACGAGAAAATGTTGTACAACACTGCAACCAGACTAGTCTACTACCACATGTTATTGTACGCAGATGGGATTGGTGCCAGACTTATTTAGGCTGGCACGCGGTAACAGTTATAACGCTTGCACGCACGTGGAAAGCTGAAGCGCAGGCCAGGCGAAGATGCTACGTACGTGAGTACGTTCAATGCAACCATTTCCAGTTCATTCGTGCGTACATTGTATATGCGTTCATGTCACGGAACCCACTGCGGCAGAATCTCGAAGGTTTGATACGGTAAAAATTAAAATTAGTTAGAATAGAAAACACATCAAAATGGGCGGCCTCGAGCCGGCCTCGACCGATTCGCCGAGGCCGGAAGGCTCCGAGGCCGAGGCCAAGGCCGAGGCCTTGCACCTCCGAGGCCAAGGCCGAGGCCAAGGCCATGAAAATCGGCCTCGAGGCCGGCCTCGAGACCTCCAACACTGGAGAATGACCTCTCCGCAACCATCCTTTGGCCCCATAGCACCACGAGCCGGGTTGTGTCTGTGGCAGAGCGTAATCCGGGTCGTGAAGGTTTGTAGAGTGAAATGCTGTTTGAGAGGTATATGGGAGTGAGACCGTGGATTGACTTGTATACATATGGTACCATTTGCAGAATTGTATTTGCAGAATTTGTTTTTGTTTTTTTGTCCAGAACTATCGTTGGTGGTCTCAAGAACGTCGACCGGGATGCATTCAGCCGTCTGGACAAGCTCACTAAACTGTAAGTTTGTCAGGATTTTCTTGAATGAATAGTCTAAGTCGTAGTCTACTTGAATTTTGTGCTATATGTTCGACACTGACTGACTGACTGACTCACTTTTACTTGTCTGTTGGCAGTGCTATAGACTTACGTTGTGCGAACCTGACCCCAAACCGACCCAACCCGAAACTGATTTCAATTCGGGTTGGTTTTTCCATCATTTTAGTAGGGTTGGGTCGGTTTGTGATTACGTTTTTCGGGTTTTTTTCCCTGATATTTTGTCGGGTTGGGTTGAGTCGGTTTACGGGAGTTCAGATCGGTCTCGGTTCGGATTCGGTCTTTATCTATAATGTTTCGGGCTGGTAAGGCCTGGTCAACAAAACCCGATGCGCAATATTACTATGGACCAATCAGTTGCAAGTTGCCCACTTTTGTGGTTCCTGGCCTGGCTTTCCACCAGTATTGGGACGCTCCAGGGTTAAGGTCACAATACACCTAGTTCACCAATCATTCCAGATAGAACTTTAGGGGAGTCAGGTTGGCGTAGGGGTACTTTCCTTGCCTTCCACCGCTGTGTCCCGGGTTGGAATCCCGCCCGGGTCAATATGTGGATTGGGTTTTCAGTCCCTGCCTGATTCCGTGGGTTTTCCTCAGAATATTCCTGTGGGCCTTTCCTCCCACTTCTAAAACTGTAATTTCTTGTCATTGTCATCTCTCTAGGTTTCTTCAGGCTTTCGAGCTACAGTGCTTAGGGTACTTTTGAGGAATCCTTGGTTTCATTACCAGAAAGAAATTAACTAAAAATCTTAATGCCTTTTCTTATCGTTGCCCGCTTCAACAGGAAGCGTTTCCCAACAGCAAAGGAATCATTGCCTGATTGGGAGGTGACTGTGAGGCAGGTTCTTTGATCCTCTCCCTCCATTCAGAGCAGAGCACTACAAATGCTGGGGCTTGCAGCTTTTTATGAATAGCCATTGTGCGGCAGGATTGTTGTGTCAATTGGCCAGCCATGTAGAGCACATAATACCCTATGTGCAGAGATAATCTCTCCATACAACAAAAGAGGATCAACTCCACAGACTAATGCCCTTTCACACCCCAGGCTCTACATGTATTTGTGATGAGTTGTCCAGCAGCCACAACAGAACGTAATCCTATAAGCTCTCTATTGTCGAGCAAAGTCCATGAGGAGTTGAGTGCACCCAACCGCGAAGGGTTTTGGTTGCCAGTCTGTATCGTTGCCTGCTTCACTGTGTGTGGGGGGCTTATCGTTTTTCTATCAGGAATGATTGATGATGAACCAGGTGTATTTTGATTAAGCCCCAAGGCTTACGTATGTTGGTATTTGACATCATGCACTTCCCTAAAGGGACGTGTTCAGCAGAGCTAAACAAATTTAATGCAGAGCACTTTTGTCGCTCATTGCTTCTCTTCACCCAGGAGTAAATGGGTACCTGTGAGGGCAGAGATGGTTATTGCGATCGATTTTAGCTGCTTTGCGCCGAAATGGCAGCATCGAGCTGTATACTGCCCAGGGACAGTGGCGTACGAGCACGGTCAATTTTATTGGGGGGTAAAAATTTTTCGAAAAGGGCACTTGCACATCCGTGTTGAAATGTAGACACGTTTTTTTCCCCGGACACTTGGCCTCCGTAAAATCAAATAGTTGGGGGGGGGGGGGGGCTGGTTGGTACCATCTGTCAGTAGGGGCGCTGTTCGAAACCGACAATTATGCACACTAACGGACAATATATGGGGCTTTTAATTGCGATGCATGCGCAAAATTAACAAAAAAGGCCACCACTTATTACTTTTAAAAGAGCCACTTGTTCAGAAAAAAAGGGCACTTAAAAAAAGGGGCACTCTTTACAAAATTATGGGGGCAGTCTTTACAAAATAATGGGGGGGGGGGGTTAAATACCCCCCTTACCCCCCACTGGCTACGCCTATGAGGGAGCTGAGAGAAAAAATTTTGTTGAGCATACTTAGTAACTTTATAAAGCATTCTGAACGAAAATAAAAAATCGGAAAAATCAACTACGCTGCTCAAAGAACAATTTAATCAGCCAGCAAGTGCAAGAAATCATTTTCTTTTTAGTGTAGCTAGGCCAATTCTTTTTGATGTGTTTTTGTAAAATAAAAAATAAAAATCGATCGCTGTGTATTTTTTTTAACATTCAGTACGGTCATGCATGTGATTGAAACTTGTCTTGGCGGCGACGTAATAATTTTATTTATTTCAAACATTAGGGTGTAGTCTAGTCTTTAGTTCAAGTACCGGAAGACCTGCTTTTAATAGTTTTTAAAGCAGTTTGTTTATTTATAAGGTATATATGATCAATATCTTAAATTCATGCAAATTGTTTGATTGGGTTTACCACCCACAGGGAGACCTGGTCATTTTTTTAAAAACTTAATAAAGATGTATTAAAGTTGCAGCATGGCAGCCACATTTATATGTTCGTATAGCTCGTATATATATGCATATTTTTGAAGAAATAAAGTTTTTTATGAATAATACAACTTTTGGAGATTCAGAATACAGTTGTTTGATCCCAAAGGTTGGCAGGTCTGCCTGAGCACCAATGCTGGTGGATACGTGTGCTTTATAAATACACTTCATTATTATTTCATATTTACAATTGACACCATTTTGATTTTTCTCCCAGGACAATACACAACACGGATATTACGACTTTTCCAGATTTGTCCAACTGTACAAGTTTAGAGGAGCTGTAAGTACATACATGTATTTAATTTTCACCATAATTTAAATGTTACAAACTACCGAGGGGGAAGGGGGGGTTATATCTTTCCTGCTTTTGGTTTTGACAAATGAATAGCGCTGTACTGAATATGAAATGAGGTTATACATGTATGCGAGTCATATTATGCCCTTTAATTAAATTTCCCCAACCAAACAAAATGAGTCTGAATTCGGCCGATTCACAATGCAGTGAGCCACCAAAAGTTTGCCATGGAGAATCCATTTTTCAAGTTTACGGTCGACAAAATATGGCCCATTTGAACGAGTGTCATTAGACAACTTGAGCTAATTTGTTATAGACTGGGGCAAAGCGTTCTGCCGCCTTACAAAAGACACCATATTGATAAAAAGAAAAGAAAAGGGCAAACAGATCCTTGAATAATACGCTTACGAAACTGATGACTGGAAAAACTAACAATTTCAAATGTCCCGCACTGCGAATTTGTCGACTTTCTCCCACAATGTACCGGTACTGCGAAAACTGTTGATGATCAAGTATTTAAATATTTGGTATATTCGGGACAGCCCTTGTTCTCTTGAGCAAATTTTCAGCAATAGGCCTTTTATCAAACTCTTGCGCAATGGAAATCTTTGAGGACAATCAACTTTTCACCCAAATAATATCTGTGGGTGTCAACTGAGTGATGGTGATGTGGAAGAGCAAATGACATGAATGATGCAATGCCTAAATTGTGAAAAAGAACTGTGATCCCGTTTGCTATTTCTCAGGTTTGCAGCATTGCTAATGTTGCTATAGCATCGTGACTTTCGGCATGATCCCTGGCTACATGGCGAATACTGGTATGGGTTTATGGTTTCTGACTAGCGCCCCTTGAACAAAGACGTTGACAAAATGGGGAACTGCCAACATAGGGCTGGATAGCTCAGTTGGTAGAGCACCGGAACGGTAATCCGGAGGTCGCAGGTTCAAACCCCTCTCTAGTCTATTTCTCAGAGATGAAACTTTTCCAATTTTAATCGGAAAACCGACTTTTTGAATTTTCCAACGAAATTTCAGATTTTTTTACAGTGTGTCCCACAAAATTTGATTTTCTGATGATTTTTTTCACAAAATGTCATTTTATTTCAATCATAATTTCGAAGAAAAGTCGATGGAAATGGCGTGCTAAAATCATCGCGAACGTAGTTTTAATCTCTTTCACCAGTCGTTATTGGAGTGTTTCAACGGTAGAAACACAGGGCATAACACTGATCGGAGCCTTCTCCGGCTGGACAAAAGGTTAAACATTGACAGGCGACATGGAAAAATCACTGTGTCGCACGTGCGTGCGAATATGCAATGGTACCAGCGTGTGCGTACGTACCGCACCACAGTACCGTCCGCTAGCACATGGCCGGCCGGGACGGGTAGCCTTGTGGAGGATCCTGTGGATACCATCATTATGTAGTGCGATTTTCGGAGGTTTCAGATTCAGTTGTACAAAATGCAATGCTTTAAAAATCATGATGATTATCTCGAGGATAGCGAAGAGAGCATTAGCGAAACATTTCACTGGCATTTGTTGGAAGAGAAAGACGGTAATGCCTGATTTTTCCCCATGTATGAATCATGGTTGAATCATGGACATGATTGAAGCACCATGAACGGTGCCCTTGTCTTTCGGACTTTTCCCTCGACTTTCTCAAGTAAGAAGTGAACTTCTTTATTGATGACTCCATTACTCTAACCGTAATTAAGGCATTTTATGCAATGAAAACACTGACCGTTTTTTTTTTCATCGTAACATTTTGTTTGAATCAAAAATAAAGCAGGAGTTGGTGTCCGGAAATTGGGCATGAAGTGTATTGTACATGCATGTATATGTGTGTAATGGCAGCGCGGCCCAGATTTCGGACACTTATTTTTGTTCGGCCTATTTTCCGATTTTTTTGCCACATGCCAGTTTCATCTCTGTATTTCTTTGTTTAACTCCAAAATTGGTGTGTGTGTGAGCAAATGTGTTTAGAACCCATGTTGTGCAGTCGATAAAAAAAATGGAAGACGATTTATAGTAATTTTTTTTTCTACTTTATTTTCCAGAGATCTGACAAGGAATAAGATTAATCTATCGCCGATGAATTACAGGACCATCACATTTTCTAAAACACTGACACGAGTGTAAGTACAAAAATACCAACAAAAAAACCCTATAATTTTACTATAATGGACCCTTCCTGCTAATCAAGCAGTGCACATTGACCAATCAGATTGTGACTTTTGGTCAGGTGACCATGGTTGTTTAGTCAAACTTGGTTACAAACACTGTGACAAATGTACACAAACCAAAAGTGGGCGGGGCATATGACCAAATCCAGAACAGTCCATTTCTTGAAGGGAGGACAGAGAAATGTACACAAATCCAAGTTGGGTGGGGCTTATAGCCAAATCTGGAGCAGTCCATTTCTTGGAGGGATGGACACGCCAACAATTGTGAAATAGTATATTCAGATTTTCCCAAATTACATGTGTAAAGTTTTCTTTTTCATCATCTGATCAATCTGTTTTCATTTTTTTCTGGATTTCTCTATTTTTTTAGTCAACTTTCTTAGATCAAGTTTAATTATTTTTTTACAATGCACCTGTTCAGTTGCTTTGTTGTTTATTTAAAAAGAAATTGTAACAAAAAGCCATGGCCAAGTTCGCGCAAGGACTATAGTTGACCAATGGTTAACTAACGTTTGCCCGAACTCTGTCTAGTCGACGGTGGTTGACTACGCTAGTCGACTATTTGGAACCAGCCTACTGGGGTTGGTTGCTTCGCTGGTAACCAATAGCCGCGCGCATTCATAACGCTAGCAGAGAGCCAGGATCCAGAAGTTTTGCGATGACATTTTGACCAGCGTTTGACTAGAGACGTTCGCACGTTGCTATCAGTGCGCAGGCGTAAGGTACGTCACAAATCAACCACTAGTCGACTAATGGTCCTTGCCCTAACTTGGCCATTAATATCCTCACTATAACTAGTTGATCCTAGTTTGCTTTTTCCCTGTTTGCTAGCACCATAACTTAGGGTGTGACTCTTGACTTTCTTCTTCTTTCGTTTGAGGCAGCAGAAAGTCAAGCTATTCCGTCCAGTTGTCTAAGCCATGTTCTTGTTTGTTCGCTGACAATGGCGAGGTCCACCGTGTCAGCTGGGGACCAAGTGCAGTGAATTGGTTGATGATGTGCTGTGTCGTCTGCTGTGGTGCTCCACACACGCAGGCTGCTGATGGGCGTAGGTCCCAACGAAACATGCTGGCATTGAACCGGCTGACTCCTGTGTGCAAGCGGTTCAGGGTGACCCATTCCTTACGAGGCAAGTCTGAGCTGGAAGTCTGCTTCCAGTCAGCCTCCTACACACTACTCAAAGTGAAGTTGGAGTTGCAGAGGGCTGGGGCATGACAGGAGAAGGGGCGACGAGAGGGCAGGCGTTGAATTCTGTTGTGCATATTGGATCAGCTGGTGATCGGCATTTGCTGCAGCCTTGGACACAAGCCTGTCGGTGAAGCACTCTCTGCGAAACTTGGCTACATGGCACTCATAGTGCTGAATAGCTCAGTTGGTAGAGCACCATAATGGTGTTCCTTAGGTCGCCGGTTCAAACCTAGCTCCAGTCAATTTCTTTGTTCAACTTTTAAAACATGATCTGAATGATAGTATTTTTTCTTGGTTTCCAGGAGCCTGATGGAGAATAACATTGACTGGCTTCCTCCTGGCTTCTTCTCTCAGACCAAAATAGCGTATCTGTGAGTATGGATTACAAATAGAACTCCTTTGACTATAATATACAAATAATGAATGTTTATGAGTGCAATGGTAAGAGTAATTTCATGAGGTGACAGATGGAATGTTCCATTTCACGAGGCGAAGCCAAGTGGAATCGAACATCCCCTTTGTCACCTCATTAAATTATTCCTACCATTGCACGAATGTGAAACATGCATTATTAATTTTATACAACACCTGAATAAAACATCGTCTTGTGTTGTCAAGTTGTAAACTGGTACAATGAATGTAAGCATCAGAGCAAACAGAGCACAGCCAATAGTGGGGCCGTGCAAGGGAAGTTCTATTTACTGCGGACTGGAACTTCCATTTTTGCAGTGCGGCTGGGCCGTGAGTTGGGACAAATAGTTCAATGACATGTCATCAATGACCAACCAATCAGATGGTGGGGATTTATTCAGGCGTTGTTTACATGTAGTCTATTTTATATAATCCCTAAATGAATTGCCTGCATCTGATTGGCGAGTCTGTGATCACGTGTCATTGAATTATTTGTCCCAACGCCTGGGGCAGCCGCACTGCAAAAATCAAACTTCCATTCCATGGTAAAAAGAACTTCCATGGCACGGTCACACTATTGGCTGTGCTCTGACCAATCAGATGATGAGGATTTATTCAGGTGTTGTATAAAACAAATAATGAAAGTTTCACATTCATAATATTGGAAACAATCTTTTCATTCGGTGACAGATCGGATATTCAATTCCACTCAGCTTCGCCGCATGAAATGGAAACCTTCCATCTGTCACCCTCATGAAATTATTCTTACCATTTCACTCATAAACATTCATTATTTGTATATTAATATAACAAATAAATAGATCCTTGTCATTTGATTGGTGGAATTTAGTCACATGATATTGAATCATTTGCCCAATTCATTGACAAATATTCCATTGCATGATTTACGTCAACCATTGTGCATTTTTGGTTCCATTCATATCACTCCATTGCTCATCGATATTGATCGCAGAGCATGAACTTTGCTGTTACTGTGGGGAGATTGTGTATTGTTAAAAAAATAAACCCAAGACAAACAGCATTGTTTGAGAGCAGCTAACAGCACAAATATGATTTTCTCTCCACAGTGGTCTGAGTATGAACGAGCTGGCTGCTTTTCCCAGTGATTCTCTGCAGAACATGCAGAACCTTACCTTCTTGTCTCTGGATGACAACAAACTGACGTCAGTCTCCAAGCGCAACCTTCTTTCTCTGGTATCCTCTAATCTGCAACACCTGTAAGTTGACTGAAACACTGTTGATTTAAAACCTTAACTTGCTCCTCTAGTATCCACTAAATTTCAACACCTTTAAGTTGACTGAAAATTGTTGATTTACAACCTAACCTTCTTCCTTTAGTGTCCACTAAATTTCAACAAAAAAGGTTGATTGACAATCTGTTGATTTAAATAATCTTGTTCGTCTAGTATCCACTACACTTCAACAACAAAAAGTTGACTGAAAAGCTGTTGATTTAAAACCTAAACTTCTTCCTCTATTATCGGCTAAACCTCAACACTTGTAAGCTGACGGAAATGTTGTTGATTTAAAACCTAACGTTCTTCCTTTAGTATCCACTAAACTTCAACACCTGTGAATAAAGTCAAATGAAAAGCTGTTGACTTTAAACCTAACCTCTAGTATCCACTAATCTTCAACACCTATAAGTTGACTTAAACACTGTTGATTTAAAACCTTAACTTTGTTCCTCAAGTATCCACTACACTTCAACAACAAAAAGTTGACTGAAAAGCTGTTGATTTAAAATCTAAACTTCTTCCTCTATTATCCACTAATCCTCAACACCTGTAAGCTGACGGAAACACTGCTGATATAAAACCTAACCTTCTTCCTCTATTATCCACTAAACCTCAACACCTGTAAGCTGACGGAAACGCTGTTGATTTTAAACTAACCTTCTTCCTTTAGTGTTCACTAAACTTCAACACCTGTAATTAAAAGTTGACCAAAAAGGTGTTGATTTAAAACCTAACGTTCTTCCTGTAGTATGCACTAAACTTCAACACCTGTGAATAAAGTTGACTGAAAAGCTGTTGACTTTAAACCTAACCTTGTTCCTTTAGTATCCACTAAACTTCAACACCTGTAATAAAAAGTTGATTGAAAAGCTGTTGATTGAAAACCATTAACTTTTTATGTTATCTCAATGTAAATTTTATTCAATATGTGTTAGTTGATTCAATATTTATTAGTTGATTCAACAACTAAATTAATGTTGATTCCACAATCTACTTCTAGGTTGCTTTGATGTCTGTAAGTTGAATCAACATAAATTTGATTCAACTTCTTGCAGTTCAGTGATGATAGTTAATCCTACATTTGAGTAAATTCGACAAATAGTTTGATCCCATAGCTACCAGTTGATGTTGTTCAACACCTGTGTTTTGATGTCTGTAAGGTGACATTAACATAATGTGAATTCAACATCTATTAGTTGATACATTCTCTGTACACTGATTCAACAAATGTGTTAGTTGATTCAAGTTCTAGCTGTTTGACAGAAAAAGTTAATTAAACACCTGTAAATTGATTCAGCGTTTGCTGAAGTGTAATCTATTTTTTTTATCTGTAGAAATCTTAGCAACAACATGATCGACTACATAGCACCGAAAGCACTCACACAGTTGAAACAGCTCAAGATTCTGTGAGTATTGACTTGCATGTATTACATGGACTTGATATAACATTGTATAATGGGGGTACCCCCCAAAAAACCGCAACCCTAAAACATTTGGCTTAAAAAAAAAAGGATCCTTGGATTTTTATGTTTTGGGTATCAGATTAAAGCTGAGAGCTTTTTCTTTCAAATACTAAAAAAAAATCGTGAAAATATCACTTTGAGTTGCCGAGAAAATGCCAATTATGTAAAAGTAGTCATTTTTCATCCTGTACACAAGTACTTCAAACAGTGAAACATTTTACTGTAAGCCTACAGTGCAATTATCCTTCATTTGTGCAATTTCTTTAGTATTTTGACATATTTATGATGCTGAAAGGGTTTAAAATAGGACTAAAAAGGATGAGATACCTGTTCAGGTGGAAAATAAAAGGTATTTCCATCAAGTTAATTTGTACTCTTGTCATATTATGTGCCATGTTGTTTGTAAGGATTAGGACATGCACAAATAGGTATAGTGAAAATCCCTGATGTAATGTTTTGTGTACAGGATGAAAAATGACTACTTTTACATCATTGGCATTATCTCAGCAACCCAAAGTGCTATTTTCACGAATTTTTTTTCTTCAGTTTTTGAAAGAAAAAAGGCAAATGTTATGGGCAATTCCAGCATCATGACAAGAAGTGTAATGTTTGTGACAGAACCAATTAACCATAATATCTAATTAATGATTCAGAGCAATGATTAAAAACTCCTAGTCTGTAATCTCCTTGACCATTACTAGATGATGGATGTATAAGATTTGAAAAATACATATTCAGGTTTATTCACTGAGCTCTTAAAAGCTCTGTCAGGGTCATTGCAAAACACTGGAACTGCCCATACATGTACATGTACCGGTATCTAGAGAGAACCAGATTAAACCGGTCTAACACCGGATTTAGTTTTATTCCCCTAGTACAGCCATTCCCTGACAAGTACGGTCAAGCCGTCGCAACGGTAGAGGTTGCAGGTAACAAGATGAATGGAATCCAACCTTGGGAACTTCGGCAGCTTTACCCAGAAAATTCCGAGCATATCTCCACCACGGATTCTCTACACATGGATAAACGTCTTCCCCTAATTTCTGGTTAGAGGCGTGATATGGCACTTGCACGTCGTGCGTGCGCGTGCGGGAGACTCTGTGCGTGACTGTAGTCTTTCAGTGGTCAAGTTTCTGTCAGGACGCCAGTAGTCGGCAATCATGGCACACGCATTGTTCTACATGTTCTATGCGTTGTTATGTGCAGACGCGGCACATCACGTATGTAGACAAACCGTTCCGTACACTTTGTGCACAAGCTCAGTTGAGTCGTTTATCCTTGTGTAGAGGATCTGTGAGCTTAGGCACATACGTGATGTACGGTATGCTTGGAACTTGCTGGATAGCACTGCCAAAGTTCCTAACACTTGATAGGTTCATCTTGATCATAATGATTTCTGTCCCCGCGGTTGCTTTACCATGCTTGCCAGGGACGGCTGTATTAGGGTAATACAAAATTCCAAATCCAAACTTGGACCGATACTTAGTAAATATTTTTTTTGTTTTTTAAGATTTGTAATAATTTTTGTTTTGTTTTATGTTGCAGAGAATTGCATAGGAATCTCCTTGCAGATCTGCCAGCTCTAACTATTGATAATATCCCACAGCTGTTACATTTGTGAGTATACACATAACAATGTACTGACAAGTGTGGTACATGTATTTAGTATAATATAAAATAATATTACATATTTGATATTATAATAATAATAATAATAATATTAATACTTATTACCCTGGATTGGACATGGGGAGACATCCCCATAGACTTTTGCACACAATTTTTCAAACTTCAATGTGCCCTAACCCAATATTCCCTTGTCCTTTTTCCACGAATTTCGGTAAGTTTACTAATTAGACCACGAGCAACAAATAGTGTATAACCTAATTGCGACAATAAAATTGTGCTTGTAAAGGGTGGCTGTGGCATTAATGTCTCCCTAATGACCGATGTCTCCCATCGTGGGAAGAAATTACGATAACGTGTCTCCTTAGTGGTACCTTTATACGTACAATAATAATAAACCGTTCTTTAAGCACATTACACATGGAGTCCCAATGCACTGTACAGAGTAAAAAACAAACAAACAAGAATTAGTCGAAATGAAACAAATTGGTTTGAGAAGGCATTTGAATTGATCCAGAGTTTGTGCGTCTTTGACGCTTTGGGGGAGTCTGTTCCAAAGAGTGGGCGACGATGTAGAAAAAGCACGCTGGCCGTATTTGCTTGTCGATGATGATGAACAGGTGAGTTTGAAACATAGGTTTGAAAACTGCGATTGTGTTCTTGGGCAAGACACTTAACCACAATTGCCTCTGTCCACCCAGGAGTATAAATTAGTACCTGTGAGGGTAGAGACCAGATTGTGCTGATTTGAAGCTGCTGCAGAAAACTGGTCTCATGGCCAGTTGAATTGAACAGGGGTCACAGTTTTGAATCGCTTTTAGACTTTGGTATATTGCTTGTGTTCTTAGGTAAGACACTTTACATCAATTGCGTCTCTCCACACAGGAGTATAAATGAATACCTGTGAGGGTGGAGACACGATTGCACTAAACTCAAGGTGCTGCAGAAAACTGGTCTCATGGCCTGATGAACAGGGGTAATAATAGTGAATTACCGGTATACAGGGTGAATAAAAAAACGAAACCCAAATGTTGGGACCATTTTTTTAGTGAAGTTCTACATGAAGCACTTTCAAAATTTTGGATATAAAAGCCCAATTCATAAGCTTTCTTTTTCTTTTAGTACAAGAATCATTCAAATCACCTATGTACTTTTCAAGTTACGGAATTTTAAACGCAACCACCGTTTCAAGGTTCTGTCCACGGATCACAAAAAAGTTCAGCGTTCTTTCAGCAAAACAAAAATAAATCACATAGGGAATTGTCTTTGTTTTGATGAAAGAACATATAAGCATTTTTTGTGATCTGTGGACAGAACTTTAAAAAACTTGAAAAGTACATGAGTGATTTGAATGATTCTTGAACTAAAAGAAAGCTTTTGAATTGGGCTTTTATATCCTAGATTTTGAAAGTGCTACATACAGAACTTCACTAAAACAATGGTCCCGACATTTGGGTTTCGTTTTTTTTACTCACCCTGTATGCTATACACACCACATGTACTATTCTTTTTGAACCAACTCTTTTTTTATTTTGTTTTTTTCCTCAGGGATTTGAGTTACAACAGAGTGCAATGTCTGAAAGCCAAGGCTATCACCAATCTACCGTTTTTGAGAACACTGTAAGTCAACAAAATGTCTGTATGTCACATGATTCAAGTGATGATGTCATCATGACACTCTTTGTACTTGTGGATGCATGCATGTCCATTTGCCCAGTTGTCATTTAATGTGTACATGTATGCGTACGTACAGACATACTTGTTCTGTAAGCAGTACACACAGTTGTCCCATGGTACTTTTGGGACCAAAGACACTGTGGGGACAGCAGAAATTCCCCATAGCATGGTCCTAATTTGCCCAACAATTAAAAAAACTTCCCCAAAACGCGGTGATGGACTGCCCAAAAATGCACACACGCACACGTCCTATTTGCATGCAATCAGGGACCACCTATTGTCCCTCTTTTGTTTGTACTTTGAGTTTTTAGGAAGACCTCCCGTATGTTTTGTACACGAATCCAAATTGGGGACCTCTCGGAAATTGGGGACCCTATTGTCCTCAATTGTACAACGTCCCCTATCGAATGCAGAAACAAACTTAGTCGTATCCACACTGTCAATCGTGGACGTCCTATTGTCCCTCTTTTGTTTGTATACTCTTAACTTTTTAGGAAGACTCCCATATGTTTTGTACAAGACCCCAATCGCGGACGTATGCTGGGAATCGTGGACGATATTGTTCTCTTTTGTTCTCCGGCATTTTTTGTCCACGGTTGGAATGCCCGAACATGTTGACTCCAGTCCTCAATTGATGCTTCACATGTGTTTCCTCGATTTACACCATAAACATGCACTTACATACATGTACATGTATGTGGGGAAGACTTTTGTTTCCCTTCTTTTGTTTTCCTTTGTTGCTATTGTTATACGAACGACGACGACGAGGATTGAAATCTCAAACCTCATAGCATTTCCCAATATGAGGAAGATATACAGCCTGTCCCCCAAAAAATGCTGCAAGCAGAAACGGGCTCTGTGTCCTTGGAATATTGAAAAATGTTTCATGATGCTTATATAATGTTAAATCTGGGATGTTCAGCTTTCAAATGCTATTTGTTTTATCAATTTTGTTTTTGCCAAACCAGAGATATGGTCAGTTGAACACAAACACTCAAAAATCCATTTGTGCCACATTATACATTGTTAGGCCTAATAATGACATGACAAGACATGGCACCTGTTCAAATCCGACTTCAATTGAGGTTCACAATTCCAGAAGATATGTTTTTATGATGATGATTTTGGAGAGTGTGTTACAAATAATGGAAAGAACATTATAATATGAATAACAAATGTGTTTCTTCACCTATTCATCTATACAAGCAGTATAGATTTCTAAAGACTTCCTTGTGGGGTATATTGTTCTGTTGTGTTTTTTTTATCCCATAAGGAGAGATGTACCGCTTCATGTACAAAGTAAATTAATACCCTACCTACCGACCTATTTTGGCATTGTTAGCAAAATCTTTTCTTTTTTGGTCTTTTTTAACCTTGCAGGATTTTGCACAATCAAGAGAGTGGTTATGAGTTGGAAAGCATTCGCTACAACGCCTTCATCGGGATCAGCGGTAACCTAACAGAGCTGTAAGTATTCGCATGTTGTCCACTTATTCAAAGTTCCTAGCATTATTTGTGATTGATGAACTTTCACTACCGATTTAAAGGTAACATTTGCTTTTGCTGTAATTTTCAGACTTGTTTAAATTTTTGTGTTCATAGATGCTGGAAAAACCAAGAAAGAAATGCACCTGGCTTGCTGTAACAAAGAAAAGTGGCATATTTTGTATCAATTTCCAACGATGGTTGGCCGACCAACATTGGGAAAAAAGCAACAGACTATTAAAAAATGCTGCCCCCAATTTACCCAAATTTTAGTTAGTTCACATTTTGTTTGCAATCGGTTACACATCCGTGAACGGGAGCATGCCAGCTAGTCTGGTAACCGTTCCCTTTCCTGACAATTCCCTGATAAATTGCCCTGTATCGTCAGAGGTGGGTCAGGGAACCAGACTACAACAGCATCTTTTTCTTGGGTGTTCCAACATCTACGAAACACAAAACCTTCAACAGGTTATAACGTTACAATATTTGCTATGAAATATTAACCCCCAAATCCATGCATTTCTGAAAATTACAGCAAAAGCAAATGTTGTATGCTATATTGCCTTTTACAATTCTTATTGTTCTCCTTGCAGATACCTTAGCTCCAATGCTTTACCATACTTCCCTCATGCAGTCCTATCGGAAGAAACATATAACAAAGTTGTTGACTTGTAAGTATATATGCCTTTCATAATATTGTACCTCATACATATTCATGAGAAACAAATGCACCTCCTCCATTGGTCAATATTCCAACACATAGGCCTACATGTGGCTCTAAAATGTTCAATTTTGTTTTCCAGATATATTGACAACAAGATGATCACTAGTATCACTGAGTTTAATGCTGATTAGTTTTTCAGGTACTTGCATGGTATACCTTATACATATTAATGACATGGTGACACTCTTCCATTGGTCAATATTCTAACGTACTGATCTAAATTTTGATTTTTTGTTTTTGATACATATTGATAACAACACGATCACCAATATCAATGAGTTTAGTGATGAGTAGTTTTAACGTACATCATATGATTTAAATATTATACCTCATACATATTCATGACAAAATGTACCTCTTCCATTGGTCAATATTAAACGTATTGATGTAAATTTTGACTTTTTGATTCCTGACATATCGATAACAACATGATCATCAATATCACTGAGTTTAGTGCTGAGTAATTTTCAAGTACATATGACTTCCACATTATACCTCATATATTCATGAGACAGTGTACCTTTTCCGTCGGTCAATATTCTAATGTACTGATCGAAATTTTGACCTTTTGTTTTTCCAGACACATTGACAACAACATGATCGCCAATGTCACTGAGTTTAGTGCTGACCAGTTTTCCGGTAGCTTGGTGTTGTACAACTACAAGCTGACATTGCATGAGCCATTTGCTAAACTTCCTAGTGTCAACAGACTGTAAGTGGACTAGAGCCCGTGACATAGTTTAAAGCTAGAGTCCATCATTTGCAGCCATCCGAAAAGTAACTGGCGTAATTATTGTTGAAAAACAAACTTGGTTGAAAGATAGTGAGGGAACTAAACTCCCTGTGAAATTATTCTTTCTGGGAAGCTGTCATTTTGAAGTAATCAACGAAAGAAGGCATTTCCAACGGTGATTCTTAAGAAGCACCGTAGGAAAATTTAAATTAGTAGTTTGTTTTGTTATTCAGCGCAGCGCGCACAAGTATTGGAAAGACGCACACGCGCGCGCAGTTGTTGTAATTCGTCGGATCAGTGCGCGACGTCGCGTATAGCTGCAATTCAAAACAATTCAAAACATGATTCAGTAACTTTTGATTTGAAATTGAGATCTTAGAATGATGTTTTTCTCGGAATGTACAGCTGAAGCTTAGCTGAAACTTCATCAGGTTAGTTGCTCATTATCCTTCATTAGATTTTGAACTCTTTCGTTGCTTCAAACGAACAAAATGCACAAATTACAAATGATGGACTGTAGCTTTAAGTACAGTGGAACGTCGCTATACCGAACACCGCTATACCGAGCATTCGGCTATACCAAACATCCTTGGCTCCCGGTTTTAATGTACAAAATGTACCAAACATCGTTGTTGAAAAAAGTCAACAGATTAACCAAACAACCTACCGGTTGTACATGTATTAAACACTGTTTGGCCCACTTTTAATCCCCGAACATCAAACCACCCATGGTTACATCTGGTTTGAATGTTGAAGAGCGATAGATGGCTATTATTTCCCCAAGGAATAAAAGGGGAAACCACCTGTTGCTAAAGTTTCGTGATGACTGCTCATGCGGCGGTGGGATGTTAGAAATGCCAGTTCAGTGACTTCACTATTGGTAAAAAGAGGGAACTGGTGGTTCAAAATCGCTATACCGAACGATCGTTATTACGAACACTTTCTGTGGATCCCACGATGTTCGTTATAGTGGCGTTTCACTGTATGTCCTAGTATGGTGTAAAGTATGTAGTCGTACAATGTATAGCAGTGCAGTTTTCTTTTTAGTATACAAATATTGACTGCTTCGAGTGGTGTAGTAAAACTAGCCTCCTGAGGTGATCCATGAAGTATTATATAATAGACTGCTTCATGGATAACCGAGGGAGGCTAGTTTTACAACACCATGAGATAAAGCAGTCAATATTTGTTTTATAACACCTTTCCCGCAGATTCTGCTTGATTTTAAGTGATAACTGATTAATTTATTCTAAATACAATTAAAATGTACTTATTTGAATACATTAGTTGAAAATTTACTCGAACTTTTCCAAACTATACGTCTTCACGAAATGGTTGAACCCAGCTCTGCAGGGCTAGCATTTGGGAACAATACGCGCAAAGCGCACACCCGTATGCATTTACACACTGTACTGGCTGTTATGCGTATAGTACTTTGGTTGCTACGGGTATAGTACTTTGGTTGCTATGGGTATAGTACTTTTGTCCGTGTACAGCAAGATACATGTAGCAAAAATAGCAAATGCCATGTGACTCACTCAGCCAATCAAGATACAGAATCTGTGGGAGGGGTGTTATAATATACAAATATTGACTGCTTTTGCCAGTATACTGCAAGCTGACATTGCATGGTCCATTTGCTAAGCTTCCTAGTATCAACAGGCAATAAATGGAACTAGAGACAGTAAAATAGTTTAAGTATATCCTGGTATTATAGTGTATAGTACAGTACATGTATACCGGTAGTTGAGGTATAGTATTGACCCCATAAAGGAGGCCAGGTTTTCATAGCCTGAGCCATTTGCTAAGTTTCCTATTGTCAATAAATTGTAAGTGGAACTGCAAGATGGTAAAATAGTCTAAAGTATAAGAGTAGAGCGAACAGTAAAATACTGACCTCTTTGAGGGGTAGAGTAAAACTAGCCTCCACAGTTGACCCGCGTGCAGTGAGTTCTGTTTTTGTAATTTTTTCTCTTTTTGTTTCTGATAGTTTCTTGCAAACTAACAGAATACAGGGAATCAACATGGAGGAGTTGTGTAAGATGAGCGTCCTGCAAGAATTGAACCTGGACAGCAATCTGCTGACGGACGGAACACTGGATGAGAAAGCTTTCGAATGTCTTACCTATTTAACAACGTTGTGAGTATCGTTTCGGGAAGTTCAAGTCTCGAGTCACCCTGATGATCAAGCAGGAAGTCATTTGGGTCAAGTCTCATGTGCTCAAGTCTCAAATCACTCTGTTCAAGTGTCAAGTCACTCTGGTCAAGTCTCAAGTCATTCTGGTCAAGTCTCAAATCACTCATGTCAAGTGTCAAGTCACTCTGGTCCAGACTCAAGTCACACAGGTCATAAGTCTCAGTCACTCTGGTCAAGTCTCAAGTCACTCTGGTCAAGGCTCAAGTCACTCTGGTCAAGTCTCATGTCACTCTGGTCAAGTCTCAAATCACTCTGGTCAAGTCTCAAGTCACTCTGGTCAAGTCTCAAGTCACTCTGGGCAAGTCTCAAATCACTCTGGTCAAGCGTCAAATCACTCTAGTCCAGACTCAAGTCACACAGGTCATAAGTCTCAGTCACTCTGGTGAAGTCTCAAGTCACTCTGGTCAAGGCTCAAATCACTCTGGTCAAGTCTTAAATCATTCTGGTCAAGTCTCAAATCACTCTGGTCAAGTGTTAAATCACCCTGGTCAAGTCTCAAGTCATTCTGGGCAAGTCTTAAATCACTCTGGTCAAGTCTCAAATCACTCTGGTCAAGTGTTAAATCACCCTGGTCAAGTCTCAAGTCATTCTGGGCAAGTCTTAAATCACTCTGGTCAAGTCTCAAATCACTCTGATCAAGTCTCAAGCCATTCTGGGCAAGATTTAAATCACTCTCGTCAAGTCTCAAGTCACTCTGGTCAAGTGGCAAGTCACTTTGGTACTTCAGCCAAATTAGTTTAATTGAAACATCCACCCATTTTTGTCCTATTGAACTATTTTCCTTGCAGGCGCATGAGCAATAACTATTTCCAGTACGTTCCACCTTCTGTGCAGTTCCAGGAAAGAGTCAAAAGTCTTCAATTTCTGTAAGTTTTCATGAAAGGTACACGGGAACATTTGCTTTTTTGTGCATCTTAAGTAGGGTGCTTTTAATATACATAGAGCTATATGAAACTACTATAACGCTAACTCCTCATTATACGCATGGAGATACTTTGAAGCCGTCATGCACGCAGAAATTTTGAATTCATGTGCGTGTTTGTAAAACGCAATGAATTTATGGAGTGAATTTTGAAAGTGTACTCTAGGTGCAACGTGCATGAACAACTTATGCAAGCAAGCCATAACGGTTAAAAAATGTTGCATGTGGCAAAAAATCATCTGCAGTGGATACGCGCATGCGTTAGAGTTGTTTGCGCAGAGCAAAATGAACCCTACCGAAAATGGCCAATTCATTTACCAATTCGAACCAATTCATTTACCAATTGCAACCTATTCATTTACCAATTGGAACCTATTCATTTACCAATTGGAACCAATTCATTTACCAATTGGAACCTATTCATTTACCAATTGGAACCAATTCATTTACCAATTGGAACCTATTCTTTTACCAATTGGAACCTATTCAATTACCAATTGGAACCTATTCATTTACCAATTGGAACCAATTCATTTTCCAATTGGAAATTCGGACCTTTTGTCAATTTTCAGTTACTGATTTTGAGTTTCTGTTTTGGCGTATCAGCTTCGATAACGCACCTGGGCCCGATTTCTTGGCTCTGCTTACCGTTAGCGAAAAATCCCTGCTTACTGTAGCAAAAAATCCGTGCTTGTGGTAAGCATATTTCATGGGTTAGCGAGGAATGTTGGCGTCTGCGCATGCGTACATCTCGTAACTAAGGATTCTGTGCTTACAGTGTTAGCACAGAATTTGTCTGCTAGCATGGTTAGCGCAAAATGGTGATTGTAAGCCACAAAATTCTGTGGTTAGCAGTGCCATGAAATTGAGCCCTGTATACAAACGCAGATATGCAAATAGCCGTACAAAAGCTGTACAAAATTTGAGTTTTCCACAGGTTTGTGCACAAACATGGAAGCGCCCAGCAGGCATCATTTGTAATAATCTCGCAGGGTATTTGATACCAGTCCTATCTTCACTTTGAGCAAAGTTTCTATCGTTATACCAATAGGTACTTTTCCAGGTACATGTTGTAATTACAAATGATCCTACATGGCTTTGATATGAAAAATCTTCTTTCCTTTGTCTTTTTCTCAGGTATTTAGCTAGCAATGACATAACCTTTCTTTTAGCCGGCGCATTCTCCAACGTAACTACGCTGAGTTATCTGGGTTTGTCTAGCAATCGTATCATCTCCGTCGAGACTGGCGCGTTCCCAGATGACATCAATAACATGTGAGTTACATTCAGACTTCACACCTGGAGTACGGGAACAGGTAGCTGGCAGTGAAACCTAAATGCATAAATTAGGAGGTTTCCCTTCGCATGTATGCAAATTATAGGCAGGATTACCCTAAGTCTGATTCCTGCCCCTGAATACTGAATCACAATAATAATTTTAGCACAAAACCAGCCTATTGCAAAATGGCAACAAGGTTTACCACTAATATGCTATTTGTGTGGTGATGAACTTCAATGTTCGCTGAATTTGAAAGTGTCAACTATCAAAGAAAGAAACACTACTTCTTAGTATTTGTAACCTATGCAGTTGAAATGCTTGAAAGTTGCCTTCGTGGAGACACTGGCGGTTTTGCCTAATTAGAGTCGTTTTTTTTATTGCCTTGTGTTCAAGTGTCATCCATGCAAAAAGCTGCGAACATCATTTTTGTTTCGCCTAAACGAAGTTTTGGCGTCACGTACATGTACCAGTCCCAAATTCTGTATCCCTGTGTGACCATATAACTGTGTCTCCGTATGTACCGGTATGTTAAAGTGTAGGTCAAGTTTTTGAAAAAAAAGTATAACTTCTAAAGGCTTTCCTGGGTGGGAAGATACAATTCTTCATTGGATTGCTGGGGTTAAAGGTCATTTCGGGGTCATTAGAGGTCATTGTTCAAATGTGCTTCCATTTTCTTCGTCTACAGAATTCGATGGATTTTAATGTCATTTAATTGGATGGAGTGATCTTTGGGTGGGGGTTCAACACATGTCTTCTGAAATTGGAAGGCAATTCAGGCAATTTGCCCAACCACGTGGAGCCAGTTCACCCTCTGGGCTCTCATAGTCATATATGTACCGGTACATGTACATTTGTGTTCCATAACTGTGGGGACAATTAACACACAAGTTGTCGCATGATACTATGGGAACCAAAAACTCTATTGGGATAACAGAAAGTCCCATCAAAGCAAATCTAATTAGCCTAACAATGATAAACTTCCCCATAAAGTGGTTATGGCCCACCAACCATATGCATATACACACTGCGTGCACTATGTGATGCGATCAAGATAAATGAGTCGTTTGGCGACCCTGGTCAAATTTTTTTTACAGATTTGAAAAGAGCTTAATCTCAGCATTACTGCTGTGAAAACCGCATGCTGGTACATGTACTATCTTTAGTTAAAAAATTATGGAAGCCGGAACACCAAGAGATGTGATGAAGTGATGTGATGAAGTGGCCCTAAGTTGGCCTGAATCTCCAAATGAAAGTTCCCGACAAACGACTCATTTAGCTTGATCGCATCACATATGGACACATCAACAGTCTCACAAATCAGGATTCCTGTTTTCAACGATGCAGAATATATATAGTAGATGGTTATTGGACATGAAGAAATATTATACTGGATATTATATTGATTGAAATTCTATTAGCATGTAGTTCACTCAACAAGGCATTGAGTCAGGTGATAATAATTGTTTTCTGTTGGTGGTGGCCTGTGAACTGGTAATAAACTGCCCAAGGGGATTAAATATTAGACTTGAGGTGAAATCCTGGTACAGGCTCATCAGGCTAAAAGCTGAATATAAGCTCTACATTCGGTTCTCCCCCAAAAAAGCATTTCAACGCATGGGAAAGCTGGCTTTTTTTATATACTCGATTAATTTACTGTTTACAGTACATTACGGTAGTGATTCATTTGGGCAATTCCATGGTTACTTACGTTACATTTTTGATGTACTTTTGAGTTTCCTTGGGCTGTAATTACCTTACTGAAAAGGTTTAATAACTGTTATCCCCATGGTAGATAGAGTAGACCTACGGTAGACCTACCTAAACACCAAAGATGACATCCAGAAAAATGTGTTATGTATGATAAACAAGACGCACAAAACCGGTTACTCACGTTACAAAAATGTAACGTGAGTAACCGTGGAATTGCCCATTTGGTTCAATCTCCTTAATATAGACTGGCAAAATATGCTTTCTGTGTTTTATTTTGCAGTGATATGAATTCCAATCAGTTCTACTTCCTGCACGAGAACCCCTTCACCAACTTGAGTTCCCTGAGTAGTCTTAGCCTTAGCTACAACGAGATTGATATTATACCAGATACGGCATTTGATGGTTGCACATCACTCCGTAGCATGTGAGTACCATCAGTCTTATCAGAAATAATTTGAATATTAAACTCCCCCCTCTTTCTGAATAGTCACAGTTAGTCAAAAAATCAATCCTCTTCCCTGCTATGCCTTTTACACAGACTAGTCACCAACAAATAGCTCATAGTTTATCAAGCACTAAGAGACTAGTCAAATTCAGTCAACAGACAAAAAGAGGCAAGTGGTGGGCACAGCTGGCTTATCAAATACCTACAGTCAAAGCATAGCTGTATCAAGTTACATAAACAGTCGCAGCCAGTCAATCCTGCTTATGTTGGCAGCTCTGGGAGCTCTTAACTGTTGGAAACAGAAACTTGCTTGATTTTGACTGAAATGACAAATTGGCACAGAATGTATGTTAACATAGGAGGGTTGCTCTCCTTAGTTGTGAAATAATAACTGTACAAATTTCAAATTATTTGTGGCCTGTTAATAATTCATGTGCAACTCTAAATAAAAAGCATATTTGCAAAGGATTGAAAACATCCAAAATAAATAAAGTAGGTTTACCATTATAAAACTTACAATTGGAAATTTGTTAAGAACAAACAAATTGAATGTGTTGAAGTGTACGGGTAGAGCAACGTCACAATGCCATTGCAGGCAGAATAGTTTCACAGGGTATTTGATACTAGTCCGATCTTCATTGAAAAGTACATAAGTGGTTTTAATGATTCTTGTACTAAAATAAATCTTAATGACTGGGCTTTCATATCCTAGATTTTGAAAGTACTAACAGCAAATCTTCAGTAAAAAATATTTTTACTGAATATTTTTTTCTCAACCCTGTATGTCAGTGCCACTGCCAAAATGAATACTTTGAATTATAATGCATGTATTTCTCTTTTTCAGTGGTCTTACAGGCAACAAAATTGGACGGATTTTGATCACGACTTTTGAGGATTGTCCATTGTCGAGTAGTCTACAGCTTAGTAGTAATGAGATAGCATATATCGAGGATGGGGCCTTCGCTCACGTAACCTCAACCAGTTCAATTGGTCTGCAGAATAACCGACTGACTAAAATACCAATGGGTGGCACCTTTGTCAACCTCACACTGTCAACACTGTGAGTAGCCCTTTGTTTTTGTTTTTTTTCAAGCAATTTTCCATTGAATGATTAATAATCTGTAGTGTCCCATTTTTCCCAAGTTTTCATAGAATGGTTTTACATGTTACTTTGACTGTACCGGTATGTTCCTCCGTAATCCAGGATTTTTTATTTTCTCAATTTTTTTTTTTTAGATCTCTGAATGGTAATAAGATTATTGAAGTCAAAACGGGTGCTTTCCAGAATCTGAGAACATCATCTTCCCTGTAAGTATAGTGCAATATACATGTCAAAGTCTTCCAAATATGAAGTTTCCCAAACCTGACGACATACATGCACCCATTACTTACTGGGATTAATTGTTGTGTCCTCAGGCTAGACACTTTACCTCAATTCATGTATTATTCCCATACAATTGGAAGGTTGCCATCAAGTCATTCCAAGCAATTTGTCGTTTCCAGGTTAGCCTAGCAGTACTTTCCTTGCCTCCCACTGCTGTGACCAGGTTCGAATCCTGCCTGGGCAAATATGTGGATTGGGCTTTCAGTCCCTGCCTGACTCCGTGGGTTTTTCCTCTCGCCTCTAAAAATGTAATTTCTTCTCATTGTCTTGTCTCTACAGGTTTTGTCAGGCTTGTGAGCTTCAGTGTCCAGGGCACTTAAGTGGAATCCTTGGCTTCATTACCAACAATAAATAGTAATAAAAATAATAATAAAATAATAATAATAATTAAAATAGGATTTCCCTTTAAAGATTTTCTCTTTTTTTTTTTAGGAACTTACAAGATAACGACATTGCGCACATAGAGCCCTATGCATTCGACTCGGTCTCTGGAGCGTGAGTATGCCTTTATTTACAGTTAGACCATAAGAGGCTTAATGGTGAATTTTGGGGAGATTTTAAAGGGAAACAGAGAGGAGTTAAACCCAATTGTTGTTACTCAAAGCCACATAGGGTCATTTGCAATCACCCTGAAAAGTACATGTACCTGCCGATGAATGACAGAAACCTGTCTCAAAATGAAGAAGTCTACATCACTCTACTTACCTGTAGAGCGAATACTACATATGCATTGTTCCCTATGCCGGCAGGCAATTTGCTAAGAGTTTTACACAATAGCGCCCTCACGTGTCCTACCCACGACGCCCTGTGACATGCGCACTACGTTAGCGTCCTCTTTTTCTCTTAGCCGCAGGCGAGGTATAACGTGGAAATTCAATCAACCTGAATTTCACTATTTTATTTGTACCTCTTTTGCTTGGAGAAAGCTATTTAGAAGAAATAAAGAGAAAGTGTTTATTGTAGAGTTGTTCTAGTGAAGTATTCTGAGTGAAAGTGAAGTAGAAATGAGTAAATCTAGGAAGTTGGGGAGGACTGGGTGTGTCGATAATGGAGGGACGTACATCCCACCAGACAAGCCCGAGTTCTCGGGGGAATGCACCGGTGATGGTACGTCACCGCGGCAGCAGTCCCCTAGTCAGCCCCTTCAGCCACTGCCGGCTGTCGGAGCTGACGGACCCGTTGACCAAGCGGGGGGGCCGTACAACTGAAGGGGAAACGCACCGGCAAGACAAAGAAGTTGTCTGAAGCCGGGGCAGTACCCAAAAAGGGACGTACGGCAAAAGGTGGCTCCGCTACGGGGCGCACCGTGCCTGTCCCTGGCCCGTCTATGGGGCACACGCAGCCGGAGGAAGTACTCCTCCATGGCTCAGTGCACCCAGGCCCACCCAGCCCCGTGATTACCACGATGCCTGGGGATGGGCTGTTATATGGCCGGCTAATCGACCGTACAGCACCCGCCTATGATACCGGCGTGGGGGCGCTGTCGGCCGCCCGGGCTATTGATAGCGTAGAGCCGAATCCCTGGGATTCCCCCGGAGCGTTAACGTCCAGAGCATTAACGCTACGCTCGGAGGGCCATGCCTCTACATCGGATTTTATTCGTTGTTCAGGCATCCCCGTGTCCCCGCAATCCTCGGCAACTACTCGCAGTCGTTCTTCAAAAAAGAAAAAATTGAAAAAGAACCGCTGTTCCCGCCTTTCTTCGACAAGTTCTAGTGGGTCATCCGGTCGATCACAAGGGTGGCGACCTGATTTCACGCGATGATTTTTTGGAGGCTTTTCACTCCCTCGCGGCCTCGTTGTCAGGCCGGCAGGGAGACTACGGTCACAGCTGGATGACTCCGGGCCAAAGGGACATACCGCACACGGTTAGCCGTGCGCCAGAGTCCCCGCCAGAATTACAGCCCCCACCCGCCAGTCATCACGGCCGTGGTGGGGTGACTACAGACCAGCGGACAATGCCGTGCACGGAGAGCCGTGCACCGGCGTCCCCGCCCGGTATTAGTTTACACCCATCGGTGTCACTAGAGTCTGAGCGGGGCCCGATACCGGGACACTGTGACGACGCTGCTTCGCCCCCGGGGCCTGGTTCCCATTCCCCGGTGGCAACTCGCCCCCCGTACTCTGACAATTCGGCGGACGAGAGCGAGCTTACCCGCACCATGCAACGTCTATCAGTGGCTGAGACCGAACTCTGCTTGGTTCAACGGGATACGATCAGGGTTCTGAATCTCCCTGCTGGTACCGAACCTCCTCCTCCTTTTGAGCGTCAGTCGTTCAAGAAGAGATCGGGGCCGACGGCAGAACCGGTCCGGGCTTTTCCCACAATGCCTCTGGACCGCGTGTGCGTTGATCACATCGACGGGATAATGCACGCAAAGACATGGAGTGCCTACGCTAAGCGCGTAGACTCATATTATCATTTTCCCCCAGGGGATTTTGAGAAATATTTCTCAACTCCAGTCCTGCCGGACTCGGCCATTGACAAACTCGCCGCTGATCGAGGGACGGCTTCATCCAAGGTTCCTTTTACGGACAAGACCGGTGGAAAGCTGGAGGATGTCACCCGTAAAATGGACTTGGCGGCATGCATGGGTATGCGTGTGACGTCCTTTCTTCTTCTCCTATCAGAGTACCTGGCCCTGGGGTATGAAGAAGATTCGGTGATACCAGCCGACATGATGGTGGCTGCTCTCCATTGCCTCGATCGCGGCCTATGCTCCACTCTCAACCAGTTTGCTAGAGTGTCGACCTTGGCAACATCGTCACGCCGCGCCAATGTGCTAGATGCGCTTTTCCTCCCTTCACCTGGAGCACGTAAGCGTCTCGACAAACTTCCAGTGTCAGGCCCGGACTTATTTTCTGGTAAGTTTCAGAAGGCCATGGAGGCCGAAGCAGAGCGCCTCAAGGCCACTGAGAAAATAAATCTCAAGAAACCGGCCGAGCCGAAAACCGCGGACAAGACAAAGAAACAGCCCTCCTTTGTCATTCCCCGGCGCCGCCCCCCCGGTCAGAGCGGCCCGTGGTGGATTTCGTGGGCGCGCCGATAAAACGGTTGGCCCGCGTTATTCACAACCACATACCGGACAACAACGTCCCCAGTTGGGACGCGGTTCCGTGCGCCCACTCTCTGGTACACCGGGGCGTGGCGCAAATGACTTATACGTCTCTGGGCGGCCTCCCGCCAGGGGACCCGTGGGAGGCCGCCTTCAGGAGTATGTGGGGTCCTGGGTGCAGGTGACTTCCGACCGGTGGGTCCTCGAAACGATCAGCAGCGGTTACGTACTCGAGTTTACGAGGACCCCCCCCGTCGGACATGCTTATTCGGACATCGCCCGTACCGCCCGACACAGCAAAACGCCGCTCCCTCGAGGGGGAGATCGACGCCCTCCTTCTAAAGAGAGCAGTTCGTGTTGTCCCTCCAAGAAGGAGACCGGCGTGTGGCGTCCAATACTGAACTTAAAACCCCTCAACAAGTTCATACGTCCGAAACGTTTCCGCATGGAAACGTTATGGACCATTGTCGAATCAATCATGACGCCAGCGTGGGCGGCCAGTGTGGACTTGAAAGACGCGTACTTTCACGTACCGATCAGGCCGGAGCACTGCAAATTCCTACGTTTCCAATACAAAATGTACTGTACGAATTTGTGGTGCTCCCGTTCGGGCTATCCACTTCTCCGCGGGTGTTCACCCGTATCGTGAAGACGATCGGGGCGGCACTACGGCAACGAGGGATCATGATATTCATGTACCTCGACGATTGGCTAGTAGTGGGTCGTTCTCAGGGGGAGACGGAAGCGGCGCTCCAACTGACGTTGCACCTTGCTTCCGACCTGGGATTTCTCATCAACACCGAGAAATCCCATCCAGTCCCCTCACAGGTTCCCACCTTTCTAGGTGCATCCCTCGATCTTCGCAGGGGACTGGCCCGTCCATCGGAGGACCACCTGCTGAACCTTCGGCAGTGCGTGTCCCACTCCCTCCCGACGGTCGTGGCCCCGGTCCGAGCCTGGCTCAGGCTGTTGGGCCTTATGGCCAGTTTGGTGGACTTAGTGGATTTTTGCAGGTTGAGGATGAGGCCAATTCAACTTCACCTGCTTTCTTTCTACAGACCCCGCTGGCACCCAATCGACCATCCGGTGCCCACTATGTCTCATCCGGTGCCCACTACGTCTTGGCTAGTCCCCCACCTTCGTTGGAGGCTAGTCGAGGCCAATGTAACGCAGGGCCGCATTTTCCGCCCGCCCCGCTCGTCGGTACTTATCACGACCGACGCGTCAGGGTACGGCTGGGGGCTACCCTCCACCCGCGACAGGTCGCGGACGTATGGGGCCCCGAACATCAATTATCCCACATCAACGTCCTGGAAATGCTGGCAGTCACCAACGCACTAAAACATTTCCAGTCGGACGTCAGAGGGCAAGCAGTCCTGGTACGATGCGACAACGCCACAGTGGTGGCATACATCAATCACCAGGGTGGCACTCGGTCAGGCAATCTGTGTGCACTAACGTGGGATCTCACCCTCTGGTGCATACAGCTCGGGATAGCACTGTCGGCATGCCACATCCCGGGCGAAGAGAACGTCACAGCCGACACTCTCTCCAGAGGCTGGATCGCCCCGACAGAGTGGTCACTGCTCCCACAGGTGGCTCAGTCGATCTTCCGACTAATTGACCGGTCGCATGTCGCGAATGAACAATCAGCTACCGATCTACTGCACCTGGGGCCCAGATCCCAACGCGTGGCAGACTGATGCGCTGTCGGTGCGGTGGGACGGCCTACTGGCCTACGCCTTCCCACCCATCTCCCTCGTTTCTCGAGTGCTGACCAAGATCGAGCAGGAGGATTGTCGAATCCTCCTCATAGCCCCGTTCTGGCCCCGCCAGCCGTGGTTTCCCCGAATCGTCCGACTCTTGGTTCACCGCCCGGTAATTCTACCGAGGAGGGCCGATCTCCTTTATCAGCCCAGCTCGGGAATCAGTCACCAGGCTCCGAGGGATCTTCACCTGACGTGCTGGGTATTGTCACGCGATCCCTCTGCTCAGCAGGCCTTTCACGACGAGCTGCAACAATTGCAGCCCAGTCCCATAGAGCCTCAACCAGAAAGGTGTATGATAGCCAACTACACCATTTCTTTAAATGGTGTAGACGGCAACCCATTCATCCCCCCAAAACTTCTGTAGGCGAAGTGGGGAACTTCCTCCTATACCTTTTTAACAGTGGGCTCACGACGGCCACGGTAAAAAATTATCGATCAGCCGTTGCCGCGATCCATCAGGGATTTCCGGACGGTTCTTCCGTTTCCGGCAACCCTGCAATTAGCCAACTGATCAAGGGGATGTTTAATACTCGTCCCCCAGTACGCACATTAATCCCATCTTGGGACCTCTTCAGTGTACTATCCACACTGGCGAGGGCTCCCTTTGAACCAATGAATTGCTCAACTTTGTTACAACTTTCCATCAAAGTAGTTTTTCTATTGGCTGTCGCTACGTCCCGACGACGTAGTGAACTACACTCGTTATCGATGCAGACAGGACACATCCGGTGGGAACCGGGGGTGTCCGCCTGATCCCTACGGCCAGTTTTCTCGCAAAGAACCAGTCGGAGACCTTTACGCCCCCGGACATCTTTGTCCCGGACATCAAGTCTTTTTCGAACGAGACAAACGACAAACTTTGGTGCCCAGTTCGAGCACTTAAGTGGTATGTCAACTGTACGAAGTCACTTCATACGGGACACGACAAATTGTTTATCACAACGACCCCGCCCTATGGGCCAGCGTCCCGCGATACAATCACTCGCTGGATCGTGGCAGCTATCCGTTCCGTACCGGGTGGCTGGCCAGCGACCCAGGGACCCATTCGAGCGCATAAGGTCAGGGGAGTGTCCACCTCGTGGGCCTTTTTTAAGGGTGTCCCCCTAGGTGACATCGTCAAGGCAGCCTGCTGGAAGAACCCTAACACGTTCTCCGAATGCTACCTGAAGGATGTCCTCCAGGCAGATGGCAAGGCTGGAAGAGAAGTCTTGCTGGCGGCCAGTCGAGCCTCATGGAAGCACTAACGGGTGAGCATATATATATATTTCTATGGGCATTAAGTCTAATGAGGTGTACCTATCATGTGTTCATCCCCATAATGGTTACACCCCCCTGACCTTTTGCGCACGAGCTTTTTGGGTTCCACTTATGAGGTGAAGCCCTAGAGCGTCTGGGGTGTTAGGTTTTTTGTTTGGTGTTGTTTGCCTTTGGACACGCCTCATGTCCTACACCCCTGTAGACATACGGTAATTCACATATACCCACCACCTTATTCAGTGCGAGTCTATGCATATGTAGTATTCGCTCTACAGGTAAGTAGAGTGATGTAGACTCCCCCCCCCCACAGTAGTGTGGTTGGGGTCTATGAGCGAATACTTACCTGTAGAGCACCCCTCCCTCCTTTCCCACTATACTCGATTCTTTGAGTGCTTACGCAGGTAATGCTTGCCAAAAAGAGGACGCTAACGTAGTGCGCATGTCACAGGGCGTCGTGGGTAGGACACGTGAGGGCGCTATTGTGTAAAACTCTTAGCAAATTGCCTGCCGGCATAGGGAACAATGCATATGTAGTATTCGCTCTACAGGTAAGTATTCGCTCGTAGACCCCAACCACACTACTGTGGGGGGGGGGGGGGAATTATTTTGCCGAAATTTTTCCGGTTTAAATACTATTGTTAAAATGGTGAAGTTGTTTGCACCTTACTTGAGATCTGCCTCATAAAAAAATGTACATAAAAGCAAATAATCCTACCTACTATAGTTTAAATTTGTTAAAGTTGAACAAAGAAATTGACTGCAGGGGGGTTTGAACCTACAGCCTCCGGATTACTGTTCCAGGGCTGTACCGACCGAGCTATCCAGCTCTATCTTGGTGGTACCTCATTTAGTCAGTGTCTTTCCTTATTCAAGGGGCGCTAATCAGAAGCCTTAAACCCGTATATATACCATGCTGCCAGGAATCATGCCCTAAATCAAGATGCAGACATGGGAAAGAGCATTCACTCAGAGACGATTTTTTCTTTTGTTACAAACTTTCAAATGAAAACTGAAAACAAAGGGAAACTCACTGGGTGCAATAAAAAAAATAATGAGCAAAGACATTGACTATTACAAAAAATGGTGAACCGCCAACACAGGGCTGGATCCACTGTGGTAGAGAACTGTAACGGTAATACGGAGGTGGCAGGTACAGATCCAACATAGGGCTGGATCCACTGTAGAGTGCTGGAACAATAATCCGGAGGTGGTAGATTCAGATCCAACATAGGGCTGGATCCACTGTGGTAGAGCACCGGAACGGTAATCCGCAGGTGGCAGGTTCAGATCCAAAATATGGCTGGATCCACTGTGGTAGAGCACCGCAGCGGTTATCCGCAGGTGGCAGGTTCAGATCCAACATAGTTCTGGATCCATTGTAGAGTGCTTGAACGGTTATCCGGAGGTGGCAGATTCAGATCCAACATAGGGCTGGATCCACTGTGGTAGAGCACCGCAACGGTAATCCGCAGGTGGCAGGTTCAGATCCAACATAGGGCTGGATCCACTGTAGAGTGCTTGAACGGTAATCCGGAGGTGGCAGATTCAGATCCAACATAGGTCTGGATCCACTGTGGTAGAGCACCAGAATGGTAATCCGGAGGTGGAAGGTTCAGATCCAACATACGGCTGGATCCACTGTGGTAGAGCACCGGAACGGTAATCCGCAGGTGGCAGGTACAGATCCAACATATAGGGCTGGATCCACTGTAGAGTGCTTGAACAGTAATCCGGAGGTGGCAGATTCAGATCCAACATAGGGCTGGATCCACTGTGGTAGAGCATCGGAACGGTAATCCGCAGGTGGCAGGTACAGATCCAACATAGGGCTGGATCCACTGTAGAGTGCTTGAACGGTAATCCGGAGGTGGCAGATTCAGATCCAACATAGGGCTAGATCCACTGTGGTAGAGCACCGGAACGGTAATCCGCAGGTGGCAGGTAAAGATCCAACATAGGGCTGGATCCACTGTAGAAAAGAGAACTGTAACGGTAATCCAGAGGTGGCAGGTACAGATCCAACATAGGGCTGGATCCACTGTAGAGTGCTTGAACGGTAATCCGGAGGTGGCAGATTCAGATCCAACATAGGGCTGGATCCACTGTGGTAGAGCACCAGAACGTTAATCCGGAGGTGGCAGGTGCAGATCCAACATCAGCTGTCGTAGAGCACCAGAACAGTAATCTGGAGGCGGCAGGTGCAGATCCAACATAGGGCTGGATGAGCTGTCGTAGAGCACTGGAAAGGTAATCTGGAGGTGGCAGGTGCAGATCCAACATAGGGCTGGATCCACTGTAGAGTGCTGGAATGGTAATCCAGAGGTGGCAGATTCAGATCCAACATATGGCTTGATCCACTCTGGTAGAGCACTGGAACGGTAATCCGCAGGTGGAAGGTACAGATCCAACATAGGGCTGGATCCACTGTAGAGTGCTTGAACGGTAATCCGGAGGTGGCAGATTCAGATCCAACATAGGGCTGGATCCACTGTGGTAGAGCACTGGAACGGTAATCCGCAGGTGGCAGGTACAGATCCAACATAGGGCTGGATCCACTGTAGAGTGCTTCAACAGTAATCTGGAGGTGGCAGATTCAGATCCAACATAGGGCTGGATCCACTGTGGTAGAGCACCGGAACAGTAATTCGCAGGTGGCAGGCACAGATCCAACATAGGGCTGGATCCACTGTGGTAGAGCACCGGAGGGGTAATCCGCAGGTGGCAGGTACAGATCCAAAATAGGGCTGGATCCACTGTAGAGTGCTTGAACAGTAATCCGGAGGTGGCAGATTCAGATCCAACATAGGGCTGGATCCACTGTGGTAGAGCACCGGAACGGTAATCCGCAGGTGGCAGGTACAGATCCAACATAGGGCTGGATCCACTGTAGAGTGCTTGAACGGTAATCTGGAGGTGGCAGATTCAGATCCAACATAGGGCTGGATCCACTGTGGTAGAGCACCAGAACGTTAATCCGCAGGTGGCAGGTACAGATCCAACATAGGGCTGGATCCACTGTAGAGTGCTTGAACGGTAATCCGGAGGTGGCAGATTCAGATCCAACATAGGGCTGGATCCACTGTGGTAGAGCACCAGAACGTTAATCCGGAGGTGGCAGGTGCAGATCCAACATCAGCTGTCGTAGAGCACCAGAACAGTAATCTGGAGGCGGCAGGTGCAGATCCAACATAGGGCTGGATGAGCTGTCGTAGAGCACTGGAAAGGTAATCTGGAGGTGGCAGGTGCAGATCCAACATAGGGCTGGATCTACTGTAGAGTGCTGGAACGGTAATCCGGAGATGGCAGAATCAGATCCAACATATGGCTGGCTCCACTGTGGAAGAGCACCGGAACGGTAATCTGAGGTGGCAAGTTCAGCTCCAACATCAGCTGTCGTAGAGCACCAGAACAGTAATCTGGAGGTGGCAGATTCAGTCCACGCTTCAGTCAATTTCTTTGTTCAACTTCAAAAATAATATTGTTATGCACCTAGTTAGTTCTCTTTGTGGTTCATTTGGAACAAAAAATAACTTCAAGTTTAATATACGTAGTTTCAAAGCGTCATAAAAAAAATGATTAAAGATATGTATTTTTTCTGTTTGCAGTTATCTTTATTTGAGTAGCAACCCTCTCCAAACCATGAGTTCATATTCCTTCAATGATGTGACCTACTCATATATGTAAGTACAGTAGTCTTGTTTGTTTCTTTCTCTTTTCCAAAACCAAAACTTCCAAATGCACCCGCAGACTTGTGAGTGACTTGAGATTGACTTGCAAGTGACTTGAGATTGACTTGTGAGTGACTTGAGATTGACTTGCGAGTGACTTGAGATTGACTTAATTGTGAGTGACTTTGGATTGAAGTGGGATTCACTTGTGAGTGACCTGTGAGTTATTTGTGAGTGGGATGACTTGTGAGTGACTTGTATTGACTTTTGAGTGACTTTTCAGTACCTGTTTGTGACTTCTGAGTACTTGTGAATGACTTGTAAGTATCTGTTAGTGTCTCTACAAAAACCATACTTTGAAAAGCACCCACAGACTTGTGAGTGACTTAATTGACTTGTGAGTGACTTAATTGACTTGTGAGTGACTTTAGATTGACTTTAGATTGACTTGTGAGTGACTTGTGAGTACTTGTGATTACTTGTGAGTGACTTAAGGATGCATGGACTTGGGATTGCAAAAAAAAATGACTTGTGAGTAACTTGTGAGTACATGTAATTGACGTGATAGCCTTGTGATTGACTTGTGAGCACTTTTGAGTGACTTGTGAGTGACTTGTGAGTACTTGTGAATGACTTGTAAATACCTGTGAGTGACTTGTGAGTACTTGTGAATGACTTGTAAATACCTGTCAGTGACTTGTGGGTAAGCTGTGAGTACATGTGAGTACTTTTTAGTACTTGTGAGTGACTTATGAGTGACTTGTTAGAAGTTGTGAGTACTTGTGTGTGACTTTTGAGTACATGTGAGTGACTAAATTGTGAGTGACTTGAAGTGACCTGTAAATACTTGTGAGTGACGTGAGAGTGAGTGTGAGCACTTGTGAGTGATTTGTGAGTGACGAGACTTTGGATTGACATTGATTGACTCGTGAGTGACAATTGATAGATGTACGTGATGGGCTTGTGATTAAAAGTTTATTGACTTGTGATTGACCTGCAGCTAGACTTGTGATTACTTAAATCAGTGCTGCTTTTCCATGTCTGGTAATAAACTTGTCGGTTTTTTTTTTTCTTCAATTTAATTTGATTTTTTTTTGTTCTGCAGATATCTCCAATCAGTGGGTGTGACCACCATTCCATCCCATGCATTCAATGGTGTCTCAGCATCATATTTGTAAGTAAACACCCTGTTAAATATGTGACCAGCTATCACAAAATAAGCAGTGGCGGATGTAAGGGGTGGGGGGTGTTCAGCCACTGACTAATACAGTATGTGGATGCTAGTGAAATGGGGCAAAACATATTAAATGGAATGCTAAAGTTCCTGAATGTAATCTCAAATAGCATAAGAATGCAGGAGAGAGCACCATTCGATTTCAAAATTATCGGCAATTTTGGACTCTGTGATCTGTGAACAATACATGTAGATGGCATTTTTTACCACATTATGAGCCCCCATTGGAGAGACACTGTGTGCGTGTGCTGGTCTGCACACTTACAATAAATAAGGCGTATGCTAAACATAATTTTTTTAACATATTTTGTACATAGATACATGCAGTCCAATGCTATCAGCATCATAGAGGAAGAAGCATTTTCCGTCACAATTGGACAACTGTAAGTTTTGGTTTATCTCTTATTAAGATAGCTTTTTCAAGAAATTGATTTTGAAAAAAGAGAACCAAGGTTTTTGTTCAAGATTCCTCTACCATCCCCAAATTTTCACAGTTGCTGACAAGCCTTTGTTTTTGTTAAAGTATTTTTTTTCTCTGTTAGTTCTCTCCCAAATCCCATAGACTTTGTACATATGCACATTTTATTCTGCCAAACACTTGAACCTAAAACAAAGCCATGTTACCATAAAACTTGACAATATACAAAGACACCAAAGTGAACTCCTGTCTTGGAGAGTGACGTCATGATGACATCATCATGGGTTGCATGACGCCATCTTAAAGGTGCAAGATCCTTTCTAGAGAACTTTAAGTCCGATTGGGTTGAAACTTGGTATGTAGGTAGACCGGGATGTGTTATAGGTAATAAATGAGGGGACGTCATAATGACGTCATCGCATGATTTTTATATAAATGTTTAAAATTTGATTGACTTTTAAGCCATATATCTCATCAAGAGAACCAGCTAAATTCAAAATTATTTTTGTAGTAGGTCATACATAATTGCACAAAAATGTGAAAATTGTGTGATGTATTGAAGAGGTCATCAACATTGCGATTTTTTAAAATCACATATCAGGGTTATTAGTTATATTATTATTAGTATCCAAAATCCGAAGTGGCGTCATGAAGATGTAACCACTTGATTTTATATTAATTATGTCTTGTTTTGCCATATACCTTGTCTGTTTTTTTTTCTTCCAGTCATTTGGAAAGCAACCAGATCAGTGATATTAGAGGGAAGATGTTTGGAGATTTGTCGACCATTCAAGATTTGTAAGTTGCCCTTCAAGTAGCATACATATACAACAGCGTTGTAGTACTCGTACTCGGTACTCGTACTCGAGTACTACTCAAGTACTTTTTTTGGAGTACTCGTACTCGTACTCGTACTCGAATGTCAAATTACTCGTACTCGAAATGACGTTACTAGTACTCGGGCAACAAAGTACTCGTACTCCAATAGCAGTACTCGGGGGAAAAAATGTTATAACTTCACTTTCCATGGCCTTATTTTATCGATACTTTCAGTTTGAAATGGTTGATTGGCTTGTTGAGAAATCAAGATTTCCTGATTTTCCTCTGTGCACGTACGTCTGGACAAACACATTTAACAGCTAGCCGTGAGTGGGTCTGTATAATTGGTCTGACTAGGCCTGGGCCAATTACGCACAATGAACCATTTGACATATGGCCGTATTCGGAAATGCGAGTACTCGATCGTACTCGTACTCGTACTCGGAAGTACAAGTACTCATACTCGGAGACCCGTTCTTGTACTCGGAGGTACAAGTACTCAGCAACCTAAGTACTCGGCAGTACTCGGTACTCGGAAAAAAGTACTCGACTACAACACTGATATACAACTACGGCTGGGTGGGCGTGGAGTCATACGTATACTAAAGTTTACTTTGACCTCAACTTGCATGTTGACCCCAAGTGGGCGTGGTTAAACCTTGGTGAATCCACGGTATGGTTTGGGTAATAGCAATGCGATTTGGAGTGTTTTATGGAGATATTGTTGCAATATTTAAGTATTCAAATTCTAAAAGAAACAAATTGGCCTAAAAAGCAAAACGAAACAAACAAATATTTTTTTGACGTGCCGACCATGACTTAAAGGACAGTGAAATCGTAGCATAGGACCTGCATACACTGGATACCTCTCCATTAAAGGGAAAATACAACATTTGCAAACATCAAAAAATAAAACTACCAAATCATTTTGAAATACCTTGCTGGACTGTTAGTGAATGACAGTGTAAAGCATTCTGTAAAATCGTGGCACCTGGTATACTGTCATTTTCAAGAAAAGTGGTATTTTTGTATTTCCAACGCTGGTCGGCGTTGGAAAAAACTGGCTTTTTTTCAAATACTGGCCCCAATGGACCATCGCACTTGTTTGCAATCGATTACACACCTATGAACGGGTACAAGCCAGCTAGACTGGTTCCCTGACCTTACAATTCCCCAATGTATGTAAACTGCTCTGTTTCTTCTTATATGGAGTCAGGGAACCAGACTACAGGAAAATGTTGGTTTTTTTTTGGTTTTTATAGCATTTTCGAACCCAAAACCTCAAAAAAGTCAGTGTAACTATATTTGTTATATATTTCCAACCCCCCAATTCCATCCATATCTGAAAATTACAGCAAAAGCAAATGATGTATATTCCCTTTAACGCTTGCATTTTGTGCTTGCACACTCCTTGGGCCTTTTACCCCCCAAAAAATGACACACAGACATTAGACAGACAGCATAGAATCTTTTAATATTGGATGTATAACATGGGTCCCATTTGCAGGGCATGGCTACTGTTTGTGTTTCATTTGTAGTTGCCTATTAGCTTATCTGTTTTTCTTTAAATTCTGTGAAATCATTTTGTTTTTGCAGTTTTGCATTTAAGTTTAGGCATTCCCACCATAAGCTTTGGCTTTTTAAAAGCATGCCTCCATCTTGATTAACATGACAACTTTTTGTTATCATGATGCTTTAACTTTGCTTTTGATTGAAATAAATGTTATTGAAATTGAAATTAAACCCCCTTTTAGAAGGGGGTTCACAAATTTGGCGTCTTTACAAGTGTCCAGAGGAATTTCTTTTACTTTTGATCAACTTTTTTTTTTTTTTACATATAACAGGCTTGTAGTCAAGTTCATCACAAGTTAAATAGTCACAAGTCAAATCAAAAGTCATATAAAAAAAAGAGTGAACAATGATATTTCATTTGAGCAGCTTGTCTAAGTATTGATGTTCTTTTTCTTTTTCAGGTTTTTAGAGAACAACAAGATTTCATCGCTTTATGGTGACACGTTTGATGGGGCAACCATCACAACAATGTGAGTGTTTCAGTTTTGTTGGTTGAAACTAATACTTGATACATGTGCAGTGGAACCATTGCAGATTACCTTGTCTACATACATGTATTATTTGAGATATTTAATGAGAGGTCTACTTATAACCCATAACCTTTCCAACATCTGGTCGCAGATCATGTAACGACCTGACAATATATGCCTTGTTACAACCTTCCCACACATAGAACAGTTACAACCCATATCTTTTCCAACATTTTTCTGGTACATTTTTCTGGACCATTGTAACATCCTTTCCAACCACCCTTGTTACAATATTAATTCATACACATATAGAACGGTTACAACCCATCACATTTCCATCATTCTTGTCAGTTGCAGATCATTGTATAATGTCATGCCAACATACATCAAACTACCCTCATTACAAACTTTTGGCTGCAGATCATTGGGATGTCCGAACAACATATACCAACCACCCGTTTTACAACCTTGCCACACATGTAACCTACACACCAGTTACAACCTATAAAAGTTTTCTGTTTGCAGATCCTTGCAGTATATCCAACCACCCTTGTTGCAACCTTGCTTCACTTACCAGATTACAACCTATACCAATTACAACCCATAACTTTTTTGTTGATTGTAGATCATTGTATAACAACGTTTTAGCAACGTATCCTGCCAAGGCACTTTCCAGTCAGAATCTGGACAAAGTTCTTCTGAATGATAACCAGATTGGAACCATTCCTGCGAATGCGTTTGAAGGACAGACCAGCATGGAAATACTGTAAGTTTATTTATTTATTATATGTCTTTACCAAGGGTGTGCCCAAACAGTTTAAAACTGGTTTCCATTGGGGCCCTGCGTACACTACAAAGGACTACACACGTGTACAAATACAATACATTACAAATACAAATACAACACAATGAAATCTAATAAAAGCATGGTATTTACTGCATGATTGTAAAGCAACTATTATATTAATTGTACAACTATTACAAAGAAACATGTACAGTTTAAAACAACATTGCTAACAGACTTTCCTGAAGGCCTAAGGTGAATTAAATAAATACGAAGAATTTGGACATTTCATGTGACGTCGGGAAAATATTTTTCTATGTTGTTAATAATAATTATTAAAAAAATCTTTCATATAATATTCACAGAAATAAAAATATATGGACAAATCTGGAATGGTCCATAAAACATGTTTGCCGATGGGATTAAAAGTTTCTTATTTCACGTTTCTATGGTTACAGTAACTTGGAAAATAACAGGTTGACTGAGATCCCAACTGGTATCCTGGCACCGTTAACCAGCTTGAGGAGCCTGTAAGTCTGTCACAAATGTGTTTAATTAAATCTTTTCATTATGCAAATGATTGTTTTATGACCATAATCATTTGCATATTATCCATATTCATTATACCAGCTTGACAAGACTGTAAGTCTGTCACACATGTGTTAAATCGTTTCATTTTGCAAATTGCTTTATTAACATAATCATTTGCATATTCTCCATATTCATGATATGTTGAATTCAGCTGCATTCCAGGAAATGCAGTTGCATGATTTATATTTAAGACTCATTTGGCATTACATTTTTATTTGCAATGTTTGCAGACAATTTCTCATATCATATGCCAAAAAAATAAGGAGAAAGTTGAACATTTCACGTCAGATAAATACCGCCAAGTTTTGTCATTGTATAGACAGCATATTTGCATATATCAGTCATGTCTTTATGCCAGGGAAATTGGTTTTGTATTGAGAATTTACAGGCCAGTGAAAATAAGACAACTTTCAAAATATAGAAAAAAAAAAGCATTTTAGACAGCAGTCTACTGAAAGTAAGCTTTTCCCTATAGCCTCTTGCAAAATATGTTTTTTTGCATAATGGGGAGCAAATGCTGGGTGTTAATTTTTGTGCGAAAAAGATCAGTCATTGCTTTTACTATGATTAGCAAAGTTTCGTACTGAGTAACAGTCAACTGGCGCCTAGTCACAGGCCATATAAATCATGTAACATTATGGTTGGTAACCTAGCATTTCTAACCCAAACTTTCCAGTATTATGTGGGCACTTAGCACCTCTGTGAATTTTGCCGCTGGTTTCAGAATCTGACTTTCCAATTTCATCAATTTGCCAATAGACCTTTTGCATTGAGGCGGAGTTAGCAGAGTTGTAACTTGTACGACTCTTGACTCAGACTCAAGTCACGATGACAAATGACTCAGACTCGGAGTCTTACTTAACCCTGTAGACTTGGACTCAGACTGGACCTGTGGACTCGGGACTTCACCAAAATTACCACAAATCACTTATTTTTTTCCCAGCAATTTAGTTAAAATTCATTCAACTTCATTGGCTTATCCCATGGTTTGTTTATTTGACATGTTTTTAGTATTTTCCACACCGTGAGGATTTAGCAGTACCTCAACATTTGTTTCCAATTATAGTACTTAAAGATGAATCTCGACTCAGACTTGCACTCGACCTTTACATGTATGACTCGTGACTCGGACTCGGGCTCAACCTGAATGACTCGGGACTCGGGCTTGTGCTTGACCCGCATGACTCAGACTTTGGAGAGGTGACTTGGACTCGATGTTTGTGGGCGACTCCAATACAAGTCTGGGAGTTAGAGGGCAATGGTCACGTTTATGACTCATGACTCGGACTCAGACTGGACCCGCATGACTCAGACTTGGGAGAGGTGATTGACTCGGACTCGGACTCGATGTTTGGTGACTCAAATACAAGTCTGGGAGTTAGAGGGCAATTAATTAATGATCACCTTTATGACTCATGACTCAGACTCGACCCGCATGACTCTGACTTGGAAGAGGTGACTCAGACTCAATGTTTGATGACTCAAATACAAGTCTGAGAGTTAGAGGGCAATAAATGGTCGCCTTTATGACTCGTGACTCGGACTCGGACTCGACCCACATGGCTCAGACTTGGAAGAGGTGACTCGGACTTGATGTTTGGTGACCCAAGTACAAGTCTGGGAGTTAGAGGGCAATTAATGGTCACCTTTATGATTCATGACTCAGACTCAGACTGGACCCGCATCACTCGGACTTGGAAGAGGTGACTCGGACTCGATGTTTGGTGACTCAAATACAAGTCTGGGAGTTAGAGGGCAATTAATGGTCACCTTTATGACTCATGACTCAGACTCAGACTCGACCCGCATGACTCGGACTTGGAAGAGGTGACTCGGACTCGATGTTTGGTGACTCAAATGCAAGTCTGGGAGTTAGAGGGCAATTAATGGTCACCTTTATGACTCATGACTCGGACTCGGACTCGACCCGCATGACTCGGACTTGGAAGAGGTGACTCGGACTCAGACACGATGTTTGGTGACTCAATACAAGTCTTGGAGTTGGAGGGCAATGGCTTGGCTTTGCTGGGATATGGCATGAGTAAAGCTTTTGTGCATTGTACTAACCCGAAATAACCTCTGAGATGCCTGCAGTGCTGAAGGTCAGGGTGAGTAAAAAAGAAAGTGACCTGGATTAAAGCAATCAAATTTGATTCTCCAATGAAATATGTCTTAAAAGAGCATGTTCATCCACTCATCTGAAAAAAAACCCAAAAAAACTAAAATTGATCAATGCTATCAGAAGTTATGCATGTCTTACTATAAAAGAACCTGTTTCATACCATAGCTGTCCATGGAATGCCATTGGAAGCTATTGACCTAAGTAAGAATTACAGATTACACACAAGCATTCAAATATAAATGAGATTTTAATAAATGAAATCAAGACTGAAACATTATTTTTACTGTCAGATTTTGTGTTTTGAGTATGAGGAACACATCAACTTTTTTTTCTTCAAAATATTGATGTTGATTTTTTCTTTTGCAAGTTTTTGTTCATTTACCGAGGTGGGACAACATCCATTGTTTCATTGTACTCAATGGGTATTCGTCGTTTCGTAGAATGGTCAATGATTGGTGGTGGACACTTGTGTTTTGTGATCTTTTTATTAAAACAGACATAACTTGGGAATATGCAAATTACACGAACGTGAAATTTTCACAGTTACTGGTCAGTAAGAATTACCTCATCCTTATGTTTTTTTTCAATGAAATGGAGCAGACAAATATATAAAAAATATTTGTCAAATTCTGTCACTTTCTTTTGACTCACCCTGTGTTCATTTAGAAGTAATACAAAGAATTGCATAAAGCACTCATTTGCATAATCATCCATATTCATGGCTGTTGTTCCATTTTGAAGATTACTGGGCCAGAATAATATAAGTGCAGTAAATAAAGATGCTTTTGACGGGCTGGCCAACCTGGAGATAGCGTAAGTAACATTTGCATATCATGCATGCATTTCATTCAGACATCAAGGGTCGAGTTACATATAGATAATGGACCAAATGGAATTTGTGGATTATTAACATGCCTTGCGCCTCATTGCTAACAGTAAAGGTTTACAAAAACAGACTGAAAAAATCTATAAATTATTCTGAAACAATGAGGGATCCATGAAAAATAAAGATTTTGGAGTATATGGGTACATCTATACATTAAGGGTCCAAAGTGTGACATTTTCATGTCCCCTTTACTTCTTGGAACTTTGTTATTTGCCGTTCAAGTATCATGAAAGGTAGAGCTATTCAAAAAACTAACCGACAAAGTTAAAGGCAGTTAATTGCGTCAAGTGATGCATTTTTGTAACCCTTGTAACCCTTGCAGCACCTTGTAACCCTTAAAGCAGTGCCCTGCACTGATCGGAGCTATCCTCACTAAAGATGACATAAATAAAAAAAAAGACACATTTTTGGAAATTTCCGTTGGTAGTTGGTTTGTAATTCCACAAATCCGTGAATGGGTGCGCACACGCATTGACATGACGCACACACGGTTGCTATTATCCTTCAGTTCAGAGTGTGACATCGCGTAGCTGCAATCGACTGAATGAGAAAGTGTCCCAGACACTGATTTTGGGCGCCATTCAAAACATGACTAGGCAACTTTTGAATTGAAACCGAGATACTAGAATATTGTCTTCTCAGAATATACAACATTCAAAGAGCCTAAACTTCATCAGGTTAGTTATTAAGCACCCGTCTTTAGATTTTGATCACTGTTGTTGCATTAAACAAAAACAAAAAAAGCAAATGACAAATGATCTATCCTACCTTTCAGAATGACTTCAACATAATTTGTTTTTGGTTGGGTATTAGTTTGCTATTCACAATCATTCTTGGAGTATTTCTGCATAATAGGAGCAGAATTATCAATTTCAAAGATGTCAGATGTAACAGGGACAGTGAAAAAACTGGACACCAAATTTGAAGAATGACCCATTCTTATATTGCTATTCAAGAAATATACTTTGTTTGCCATTTCTCAGCTACCAAACTAATAACAAAGCAGACTTTGATCTGCTCTGAAGAAGACCAGTGCAAAGACATTGGTATTTTCCTTTCTTCATTCCTACAGGGATTTTTCAAACAATGAAATAAGCCATTGGCCAATGATGCCGAGCCTCCCCAACCTTCGGCAACTGTAAGTTTTTTTTGTGTCTTTCTAGCATTCATATAATTGTCCATGTTTTGACAATACATGGAGATGTAATTGTCCAACACTTTAAGACTCACTAGCCATCAGTAAATCTGCATAAAAAAAATCTACTTGAATAGGGCAATACTATTGCCCTATTAAAGCTAGAAGAATGAAATTTAATGCAGATTTACTGATAAAAGCTATTTTCATGTACTTTAACGTGGTTGTTATTACAGGGATGTGATTTCTCCGTTTTTTTTTCCGGAAATCCGTTTTTTTGGGCCTCAAAAGTCCACCAACGTGAATCGTGTGAATCCATTGAGAAAATAGGGGGGTAGAATGTGCTAATTAATTATTCATTATGAGTTTTGCTTGCCGAAATATCCGAAATTTACTTACGGACATAAACTTCGTTGATCGATATGTATGCCGCACGCACATATTGAACACCCAATGTGAGAACGAAGTTGGAGACCATGCGTTGCCATTAGTGCGATTATGTGATTTTTCGCTCGGGGCCGAGGTTGTGGTTATGTAGGTCTAGTTCCTGTATCGGTACTTGAGATGCACGTGTTGCGCTGGTCAGATGTGCAGACGAGTGCAGCATGGTACACTGGTACCCTTGCACTGGAATCCATGCTATGATGAAGGACCGGAACCAGTGACTACTGCAAGTACTCACAGGTTCGTTTTCCGTGCGTAGTCGGCCGAAGTTGGATCGTAAAAATAGTAAAAATACCAAACAACCATTGATGGAAAAAGAGGATTTCTGCAAATTAATTCACAGAACGTGATCTTCATTTTCTGTGTATGTGTTTTCCATTGAAATGACGAGATTGCAAAACTCGAACCTGTGGAGAAACATCGTAGCGTGTTTCTGCAGTCCTGCAGAATTTTCGGCCACGTGGGATGGGCCGTACACAGTGCAGCAATGCACACTGATACTGCGCCGGGCCGGCCGTGTGTACGGCGCGATGTACGGCCGGCCAGACTGAATGTTTGCGGCGATAGTGGCCGTGACCCACCTCAAATATATTTTTAATTAGGTGAGGCAAGTTTTAATCACTTTTGATGGCTAGTCTTGATAATTTTTGTGGCGCAAATGAGAATAATCCAGGCACAAAATACATGAAATATAAACGATTCCTTGCTTTACTACAAATATAGAAATGGTGAAATAATTGTTTTCCAACAATACTACCGACGCTATTTTGAAAGGCATGTTATCGAAAGCAGAAGTGATTTAAGTTTACAATTTTGATTTTTTTTTACAAAAATATTACAAGATCTCCTCTGAAATGCTCTAAAATGCACCAGAAAGCTTCTAAAGTTCAAAATTTTTCGGGGTCCTTAAGCAGGCCCCGAACCCACGCTTTGGCTTCGCAGGTTGTTGTATCACAACAAAAATTCCCCCACAGGTTTGAAAAAATCCTGGGGAGAACAGCATGGTTCTCAACTTTGAGTACAGAAAAAACTTTATTAGAACAAGAGTACATTTTAACAAATAAAGGAAAATTCTTCATAAATTAAAACAAATTCTGCTTCAGAATTTCAGAGGAAAGTGCCCAGTAATTGCCTCAGATTGCACCACAGAGCATCTAAAATCAAAAATTTTTCGGGGCCCTTAAGCAGGCCCCGGACCCCACGCCGTAATGGCTTCGCGCTTCGCGCTCGCCGGAGTTTGCACTTCATGCATATAATTTTCAGGTTTTTTTGTCACAGACCAATCACATCCCTGTTATTAACCCTAACAGAACTCAATCCATCAAACCCCAACGGCTTTTTTTGTTGGAATCTGTCAGGATGGGTATACAGTACCTGACAGACTGGCAGTCTTTTACATTGGGTTGGCACACCTCCAGAAACAAATAGTCAGAAATATGTGTTTGCAGTTTTCCATTTGTGATACGGTCAAGCTAAATGAGTTGTTTGTCGACCCTGGTCAAAAACTTTTTATTACATATTTGAAAAGAGCACAATCTCAGCATTACTGCTGTTACAACCCCATACTGATACCACCTGTAGTATAAGAAATTATGGAAGTGGGAACACCAAGAGATGTGATGAAGTGATGTGATGAAGTGGCCCTATTTTGGCCCGGGTCTCCAAATAAAAATTCCAGACGAACGACTCATTTAGCTTGATCGCATCACATATGGTGTTGGAATTTGCCAGGATGGTTATGGTTCCTAGTAAATCATGCTGGGAGTTATATGTAGGTTAATGATACCCAGACCACTTAACTGGGTTTTTGTAAAACAGTAATATGTTTTGCCTTTAGAATTTTTTGTCCAGGTTTACCTGCCAGCTTTTTCTAATTTGCACCCACCACCATGATGCAAAAACCTCAACTCAAGTTAATTATATTTCTATCTATACTTTTCTCTCCAGCGACTTATCAAACAATGAGATTGAGACAGTGGGCCAGAACGCCTTCCATGCACTTGATGCCAAGGTCCTAAGTTCTTTGTAAGTTATTTAAGAGATACATTTCACAATAATCCTAACCGTTATATTATGAAACGTTGTTTAACCCGGCAACAAAGTCTCCCTCAGTTCACCTAATCCAAGGCCAAACACCCCAATTTGTGACCTCTTGTGATATTTTGTTGAGTGATACCCCTATGATACCTCATCAGAGATATTTTTTTAGTATCTTTGTAATACATGGTGTGTGATGTTGTAATATTGTTTTGATATATTTGTAATATTTTTATATATTTTTATATTTGTGATATCTTTTGTTATTTTTTTCATATCTTTTTATTCAGTCTTCTTTGCAATGTGATCTCAATGATTTTGTGTGTGTGATATCTATTACCGGGGTATATGACAATATCCATTTTTGTTGTGATATATTTGTAATGTCTTTATGATATCTTTGTGATATCTTTGTTATGTTGTCATGATTACTGGTTGATGTGAAATTTGGTATAATTGTGATCTGAACCTCAGGAATACCGGTATCTTGTAGGTATCTTTGTGATATGTGATTTCCTCTGTTTAATGTGATATCTTTGCAATATCATTGTAGTACTTATATGAAATATTGTTTATATCGTTCATATACATGTACATGTACCGGTATGTCATAATATTTTTATTGTGATATCTTTGTGGTGTGATGTCTGTGATATCTCTGTGATGCCTCAGTGATATCTTTTTGGTGTCTTTGTGATACTGATTTTGCGATATCTTATTTTGTTGTAATATCTTGTGGTGATATCTTTGTGATATCTGTGATACATGTATCTTTGTTAAATTGTCATGATATCTTTGTGATGTTTGAATCAATGTCACAGGAATATTTAATAGCAACCATCAGTGCTGCAACAGGAACTTGTACTTCTCCCTCAAATATAACAATATCGCTATCTTCTTGTTATTTTTTTAAACATCTTTAAATTCTTAGTGATATCTTTGTCAGATTGTCAGGTTTTTGTGTGTGATACATTTAATCAATATCAAAGGAATCTCGCTAACTACCCTGTAGGTTCTACCTGCTACCTCTATTTCTCCATCATTTTTGACAATTTACCTCCATCTTTATTTTATGATTTCTTTGTAATATCTGTGTAATATCTTTATCGTATATTACAATATCGTTGTGCTATCTCCATTATATCTATATATGACATGTTTGCGATATCTAGACTATATCACAGGATTTTTGCTAGCAAACCTCTATTGCTTCTATTGCAACTTCTACTTATCCCTCGGATATGACAATACCTCCATCCGTGTGATATGTAATATATCTTTATACTATCTGATGATATTTTGTGATATCCTTAATCAATATCCAAGGAATCTTGCTGGCAATCCTCTAAGCTGCACCTGCAACCTCTACTACTCCCTGGGATATGACAATACCTCTGTTGTCGGTGGCACGTGTGCGGCACCCAGTGAGGCGGCTGGTATCTTATTCTCCTACTCCAGCATGTTATCCCCAAAATACTTCACCAATGTAAATCCAGCATTAATTCAATGTGGTGAGTTGAGATTTGTGTGTACTGCAGTCAACATGTACCTAGTGTAACATTCAGAATTCATACATGTATAATTAAAATTGTTCAATGTTTTTTTCTTCAATGAAATTATATACATGTATTACATTAAAGCCTGACTATTTCTAAATCCACTCCTTTTTTACCCCATTCCGTTTGGGTTACTAGATCCAGAAATACAATCAATTAAGTTAAAGGGTGTAAATTTTACTTGGGCCACTCTCACCTGTAATGGGCCTTATTCACGAGTCGGCCATATTGGATTGAGAGTGAGGTAAAATCTTCATTTTTGGAACTTGTGTAGAGAAATGAAAGCAATGAAGTTACAATTTAATACCAGTGTGCTCTGATGAATAATTTAAAATTTGTGATTAAACATACTGTTATGTTTTAAGTCACATTTAAAAAAACAAAATGAAAGTGAGGCTATAGTGAATAAATAGTCTGGCAACATCCCCTTCAACAGTTCATAATTTATGAAATACATTCAGGGAACACAACAAAAATGGCCAACTTGTGCATAAGGCCCATGCACTGATCTCTATATAAAGACTGGATAGCTAATAAAGAGCCGCACAATGAATGAATTTGACGCCATATTGGTGAGACCGGCTGGTGATCTATAAAGGACAAGTTGCCGTCTTTATAGACAGCATGATTTCTTTTGTAACGTCGCGGTTCACTTGACTTATATTTTGACCACCACCACTGACCAACTGACCAAGGTTTACTACAATTTTTCTAACGTTGTGGTTACTTTTATAATGCCGCAAATCACTTTTTCGGCGTTTTTGAAATAATAATCACTACGGAAATGTGTCCCTTTTAGAACATCATAATATGTGTACGTGACCAAAATGCGCGTTAACTGTTGATACAACGCGCGCGTATTTACACGTAGAACGTTCGTATTATACGCGGCCATCTTCGTGAGACCGGGGGCGAATTGGTCAATATGCAAAGTCTACTGTGTGAATGTTGTATGCATATCCGCTATCCAGTCTTTATATAGAGATCAGTGGGCCCATGTCGCCAACTTCAATGCCTATTCAATGCTTAACCAGATCCAGCAAGTCCTGGTGAGAGTGGCCCAAGTACATTTTACAGCCTTTCATTTAATCGATTGTATTTCTTGATTTAGGGACCTAAATGGAATGGGGTATTAAAAGGAGTGGATTGAAAAATAGTTAGGCTTTATTGTAACATATAATTTGATTGGAGAAAAAAACAACATGAAACAGTTTTAATTGTTTGTTTTCTGAATGTTGCACTTTTTTTGGCACACTCTGTAGTGCCATTTTACCTTTGTACAGGGAATAATTATGCCACATTTTTATGACAACACAATGATTGGGAAACTCCAAACTGCATTGGCATAGCGGTTCTTTCCTCGCCTTCCACCGCTGTGACCAGGGTTCGAATCCCGCCTGTGCCAATATGTGGATTGGGTTTTCAGTCCCTACCTGATTCCATGGGTTTCCCCTAGAGTATCATTCTGGGCTTTTCCTCCCACCACTAAAAACTGTTATTCCTTTCCACATCTTCAGATACCAAGGGACTTCACTGGAAAGTTGAGAGAATTTCTCGGGCTATCCCAGCCAGTTGCCGAATAATTACAAACAAACAATACAAACATTGCCGGATTAAGTGTTCCGTAGGCCCTAGGCCAACTTAGGCACTGGTCCCAATTTCATGTTGATGATAAGCTGTACAAAGCAAGCCGGGCCAAACTGGTAGCCCAAAAAGCCTGTTCAGAAAGACAAACTTTACATATAAATTTTATACGTGCACACACAAGCGCTTTCACACCGTCGATCGTAGACGTCCTATTGTCCCTCTTCTGTTTGTACTTTTTAGGAAGACTCCCATAAGATTTGTACAACGGACGTTTTCCGGGAATCGTGGAAGATATTGTTCTCTTTTGTTCTCTGGAATTTTTGTCCACTGTTTAAATAGATAAACACGTGCACATGTACGTGTAGCTACATAAGCATCAGTTGGTGAAATTCAAAATTCTGAGAGAGAGGCTAAAACATTTAAAAACTGTTCTTGTGCTCTAACCTTGCATACTCTTTGTGTACCTGAGATCAAAAGAGGTCCAAAAGGTGCAGGAAGCCTGAATGTTTTGTGGACTTGCACAGGTCAACACCAGGTTGCCCCCTCTCTGGAAAATGGTTTAGAGGCATTTTGGGGTTAGGTTTATATGTCGCAAAATGAAGAGGAACGCTCAAAGAAATCACGATAAAAAAATTTGGGTTGAAAGAGTGTTCACGGTGCAAGTGAAATTATTATTATTATTATTAATCATTTCTGGTAATAAAACCAAGGATTCCTCTAAAGCGCTCTAGGCACTGTAGCTCACAAGCCTGAAGAAACCTGTGGAGAGAAGACAATGAGAAGTTACAGTTTTAGAGGTGGGAGGAAATGCCCAGAAGAATATTCTGGGGAAAACCCACGGAGTCAGTTAGGGACTGAAAACCCAAACCACATATGGCGGGATTTGAACCCGGGTCACAGCGGTGGAAGGCGAGGAAAGTACTGCTACGCCAACCTGACTCCCTCATAAATCATTAAAAAAAAAGATTTTTACTTTTACTGTTATGCAGGGAGTCTTATACAAATTTTACATTGTGTTTATCCATAGCTCCATATGATGTGACAGCGACTGCGCCGGAATTTCAACAGATCCAGGTGAACTGGACAGCACCCAGTGAGCAGTATCCAAATAGCACAGATACCATGGATGATTGGTATGTCATTAATCATACTGATGTTAATACAGTGGAACACCGTTATACCGACGTTTGGCTATACCCAACATCATCCTTGGCTCCTGGTTTTTATGTACAAAACGTACCAAACATTGTTGTTGAAAAAAGTCAACAGATTAACAAAAAAAATCTACTGGTTGAACATGTATTAAACACTATTTGGGCCACTTTTAAATCCCGAACATGAAACAACCCATAGTTATATCGTGTTTGAATGTTGAAGAGCAATAGGTGGCCATTATTTCCCCAGGGAATAGAAGGGAAAATCATTCGTGAGAAATGCCAGTTCATTATTGGTCAAAGAGGTACCGTCAGTTCAAAATCGCTATACCGAACGATCGTTATTACTAACACTTTCTGTGGATCCACCGATGTTCGTTATAGCGGCGTTCCATAATAACAACAAGATGCTTACATGTAACACATTATGCAAAGTCTCAAAACGCTCCACAATTATTGCCCTTGTTCATCAGGTCATGACACAATTTTTTTCGCCAGCACCTCGAGTTCGGTGCAATCTGGTCTCTACCATCACAGATATTCATTTATACTCCTGGTTGGAGAAAGGCAATTGTTGTAAAGTGTCTTGCCAAAGAACACATGTTCGCTTTATACCAAAGTCTCTAAAGCGCTTCACAGCTAGTACCCCTGGTCATTAGGCCATGTGACCAGCTTTTGTAGCAACTGGAGATCAGTGTTATCTGGTCACTATACTCACAGGTACCCATTTATACTCCTGGGTGGAGAGAGGCAAATGTAGTAAAGTGTCTTTCCTAAGAACACAAGCACCATGTTCCCTGGCTGGGTTCAAACCCACTTACCATCCAAATCTGGCCATGAGACCAGTTTTCTGCAGCAGCTCGAGATCGGTGCAATCTGGTCTCTACCCTCACAGGTACCCATTTATTTTCCTGGATGGAGAGAGGCAATTGTAGTAAAGTGTCTTGCCTAAGAACACAAGCATCATGTTCCCTAAGAGTTCGAACCCATGTACTTGTCCTTCTGCCTCGTTGCATGTTGGAGACAGATGCACTACATTTTCCCCGTGTCCACTCAAGGTCGTGGAATAACTAATATCATTTCTACGTAGGATTTACGATGTAAATTGTACCAGCAATGCAGCACCCACACTGTACTACAACACAACATCCATTTGGCACCTTTTCACTTCGGAGGATGGCGTGGCGAGCGGTACTGATTACATATGTCACGTGACACTGACGGTGGGGAACTACACCAGTGCACCTGATGAATATGTAACAGTGACAACTTTAGAAAATGTTGGTATGTTGACAGAAATATGTAATAAAGTTATTCCTATGTGGACTTAGTTGATGAGGAGCATATTTGGATCACCACATTAGACAAAACCTGAGTACAGAGCTTATATTCAGGTTTTTGCCCAAGCCTGTACCACGATTTCAACTCTCTGTTATCTCAAAATTTAATTCCCTCGGGGAGTTTAGTATAGTTCAATGTCCACAACCAGGAGGAAGCAATTGGTATCACTTGACTGAATGACTTTTTAGATTTGCCATAACCCTTCCCAAGTGGCCTATAAGGTCATTAGGCTGTGTATCAAAGTGAGGTCACGCAACACACCTTTCCAAATATGGCTTAATTATGCAAAATGAAAGGTCACAGATATGCAAGTTTGGCAAGGAAAAACTTTTAGCCAGTGAGAAGTGTTGTGTCCGTGTTGGGGAACTAACTGGATGGGTTTTCTGCGGGAACCATATATTGTGGCCATTCTGTCAGAGCCTGAATTAATTTTGTCTGCGATTAATTTGAATTTGAAAGTATCTTTTTCATTTGTGTTCTAGCTGAAACCAATGCCACTGCATCAACAGGTGAAGATATAAAGCTGAGCGTCATCTACTATGATTTCAGGTATGTGTTCTTGATGTGTATCACAAATGCACAATGTACATGTATCAAGGGTCAAAGTCTCGCGTGTCACTAGAACAATGTTTTTTGTTGGCAAGTGCCATCCTGTTCGCAAAACAGTGTGTCTGTCAGCAAGTACATGTATGACGCAATGGCTAATTTAGCTCAGACCATTATCGGCAGGAAGGCCCCCAATAAGCCATTTGCGAGTAACCTATACCCTTTGGGATTTACATTTGAAAAACATCTGGTACACTGACTTGCTCAGAATGCTTGGAACATTTTAACTTTGAATTCTCCAGACCAAAGACACTGTTGCTAATCACATGATTCGGGGCAAGCTCTTGCATAGTTACGTAAGAGACGCTCAGCACCAATACATTGTTCACAATGGGTGAGAATGGTACAAAGACACCAGACCATGCCGGAGCTGGGGGTTGCTAGCATAAGGCTTGCCCCGAATCACGTGATATAGTAACAGTCTCTTTGGTCAGGAGAATGCTAGGTTAAAACGTGCAAAGCATTGTATTAAGTCAGCGTTCCAGATTTTATTCAAATTTAACTCGCAAATGGCTTATTGGTTTTATACCACTATTGGCAATTATGTAAGATGTCCTAAACTATACACAATCACTATTATTGTGTAAATAAAGAGAAACAACTAGAGTTGAATAATTGTGCGACCGCCATTTTCTGACAGTCGTTGACATGACAATAGTTTGACTAGAGTGGTTCGCACTTCAACTTGAGTGCGCGTGCGCTAGGTACATGTACGTCACGAACCTGCCACTAGTTTACCACTGGTCCTGGCTGTAACTTGCCAAAGGTGCATTTCAATGGATTACATTTAAAAAAAATTCACTGCATGGGCCCTTTAAGAATAATTCCGTCTGCTCGTGACATGCAGTTTTGAGCATCCAGATTTCACCCCTGTTGGTAAAGACGTCATAAGTCGTCCGAGCTACGTTGTTTCACCCTACGGTGCTTGGTTAGCCATCTCCGATAACCCTACCAGTGATTCCTTCTCGCGATGGTTTCGTCATGACGAGTCTTTGAACCACGCCATAGAATCTGAGCTAGTCTTAGAGTGGCTGAACTCCTCGGGTCTTGTGAATCCACAAAACAGGTGAGCACTTTAAAGATATACGGTACATAAATATATGCTCTGCTGTAACTAATTCAATTATTGCCTCATAATATTGACCTATGAGTATTTTAATTGCCTGTTCCTCCTTGTCTGTTGGTTTGTTTTTTTCTTCAGATACTGGTCGGAGTCTTTCTATCCAGTAGATGGACTTGGTTTTGCTGCACAGGGACAGAGAGACTGCAACTTCATTCTTCATAACTTTGGGTGAGAAAGTTGAAAAGGCCCGTTCACACTATCCAAAATATCTGTGTTGACCTTTGTTGGCGGTTCCCAGTTTGTCAATGTCTTTAGCCAAGATTGCTAGTCAGAAGCCATAAATGCTTATGTGCCATTTAGCCAGGGATCACGCCCAAGGTCAGGATGCTTTAAGCCGGCCTCAGGTCGACTTTGAGATGACACAGGTCAGTCGGCGACTGACTTTCCAGGATCAAGCTGTGCCTGAGCTACGACCGTCGGGAACATTTCAGTCGCCGATTTTTTGCGACCTGAGTATAACTGGGACGATATTAAGACGATCGGAATTTAGTCGGTGCTCAAAAAATCAACAGTCGCAAGAGTAGAACAATTTCAACTTCTACGACGACGTCGCGACCGTGTGCTCATCAAGATCGTCCTTTTTTAAGTTTTAATTGATTAGCCAATCAGCACACTACACTGGCGCTCTGCTTGTTCTGCGCAACATCAGGCAGTACGCACCACGCGCCAATCACCATATATTAGGAGATTGCTTACCTACTCGCGAGATGATATTCCATACCATAGCTAGAGGGGTGTTTAAAAAAAAATGAAATAAAACTGTTCAACAAAATCATTGGAAAGGTATAATTTTTGACTTGTGTCGACTTTTTGACTCAAATGTATTTGTGAATGGGAATACCGCAAATACATTTAAGACCGTATCAGGGGAATGTGCCCTGATAATGGCTCGAGCTGAACCAGCCAAACACATATTTACTCCCTTATTGGTAAAGAAGTCACATGACTGTCTATGCTGTGGAATCGTGATGGATCCTGGCGTGGAGGGTGACATGAGCATGGTTGCGATTAATTATGTCGGGATATAAATGCCACTTGTTCAAGAGAATCACACGTTTTCTCAGGTTTGTGACCTGAGCATTATTTTTCTGCTCGATGCCGACGGGTCCGTCGTGGCGCAAGCACATCGTGGGTCGACCTGAGGTCGGCTTTGAGCAACGCTGTAAACCTAGGGCATAGCAAACGGGGGTCACTCAGAGAAGATTGGGCTTCAGACTAGTACCTGTCAGTGAAGCAAATTAACGAAGGTACTTGCATGGACAACTGCCAACATACATGTAGGGCTGGATTGCTCAGTTGGTAGAGCGCTGAACGGTAACGTGGAGGTCGCTGGTTCAAACCCCACTCAAGTTAGTTTCTTTGTTAACATGCCGTGAATCCTCTTTTAAAAGAAAACCCGACCAGGAGCCTGATATTCGGGTGTTTCATCAAGACTGGGTTTGGGATGTCTCATCTCAAGATTTGATCTCCTAAGGGCAGTTTAGCACCTGATGAATGCCTACCACCAGCAGGAAACAATTAGTATCGCTTGACATAACGACTTGTTTGGCATGCGTGAATCATTGTTCAGTGGCCTAAATGCACCTACATTTTTCAGAAGTTAAATATCAAACCCAATATTTGTTTTTGTCAGGTAATGAAACCATGTTTTCTTTCTTTGATTGATGCACAAACAACTGAAATCATGAATTTATGGAACTGTGCCTGTACATGTAACATGTATGGGGTTTCCAAAAGGAAGACCCAGCAGGAATTAAACTGTACTGTTTGTGGACTGGCCTCCTGTGGTGTAACTGATTGCCTTAAGGAATTAACCAGATAATGTTACACTGGGCTCAGTCAAAGATAAACATCGAAAGCCTGGTATGAAAAGGGCCCAGGATTTTAAAAGGGAAATTCACCTCATGACTTACGAATTGTAATGAAATAAAACAACTTTTCCTGACCACTTCACTCTGGAATTCTTGTTAAACAAGCTTTGTACCATTTCTTATCTCTCTTCACAAAGTTTCACGGGTGCTATAAGGACTGGCGTCATGTTCAACGGTACGGAGGTGATAACGGTCGGTGGTGGGGATGAAATCTGGGTGTATGTCAATAAGATTCTGGTCTTAGAAGTCCATGGTGACGCGTCAGGAAGCCCGGTCAAGTGTAAGAGGATAATGCTGGCATTGGCTGCGAATCAAGGTATGTTGTCTATTGGTTTGGTTGGTTTGGTTTTTCAAATTTCTGGTTAGAGGGTGGGTATGCGCGAGACTCAGCGCACGACTGCAGTCTTTCAGTGGTCAAATTTCTGTCAGGACACCAGCTGTCGGCGATCATGGCGCGCGCATTGTTCTACATGTTCTATGTGTTGTTCTATATGTGAACGCGACATATCACTCCCCTAGACAAACCGTTGCTTACATTTTGAACACAAGCTCAGATGAGTCGTTTATCCTTGTGTAGAGGATCCGTGGTTTGGTTTGGTTGAGTTTGGTTTGGTTTATTACCTAGTTGACAGAAGTAACGAAATATTCACAATAAAAGAAGTAGAGAATTAACACCAGATCTTCAGTGGGTAAAAAGAGCTAGAAAATGGCACACTTGCTATTACATGTAGGTCTGGCTCTTGACACACTGCCAGGGTGCATTCAAACAGAGATGATCAAACAATAATTTATCCCACGACTGGCTTCCTGCATGTCCATGGAAATTTTCATGGGACATACCAGGGAAGCCGGCCCCTTCTGAGAATATAGTAATATTTTCACTTGCAGTAAAGTATCCCTGGCGTACCCATACTCGTTATTGGCTCTGTGCATGAACAGATAGGTGGCACTTTCTGACTACTTTGGAGAGACCACCGACATATATCCTCCATGTACGGGTTTTCGAGTGTGTCAGGATTTATTTCAAGTAAGAAAAAAACAGCGACATAGCCTTCGGTTTCTAATTTTTGGGGCTGGCGGTGGAACGCCTACCGCACACACTAATCAGCTGGTGGTGTGGTACAAATCTGCGTGTGTGTCGCTACATGTTCAAACCTCAAAAACTTGATGCCTTGAAAACAGGTACACGGACGATAAACGCATGGATGCCAGGTCCTATTCAAAACTACATGAGCATTTCGTGATCTACGCGGCGCACGACTCAACTTAAAACTAAGGGCCAATTCCCCTCTCGGTATAGGGAATTTATGCACAGTTAAAGAATTCCAGTCGAAACAGTCTATGAAGTTAATCTTCGATTGTAACATGAATACCTTGTGTACTAAATCTGGTTTTGGTTTTAAAAGGCAAAATCACCTCACGTCTCCTCAAAATATCCTTTGTAACCAATGAGGGAGTTCTTACATGTATGCAGGCATTCCATACTGCAAAGGTTTTTGTAAATAATTTGTCCTTGGTCTGTGGGGCGCTGTGGTCCAATGGTTATGGTGTTCGACTTGTGTGCCGCGGTACATGGGTTTGAATCCTGACCGTGGGAACATGGCGCTTGTGCTCTTGAGCAAGGCACTTTATCATTATTGCTTCGTCCTTCGATGGGATGTAAAGCTGTAGGTCCTGTGTGTTGTGTAATGCACGTTAAAGAACCCATTAACACTTGTCGCTATAAAGAGAAGGGGTTTGCCCCGGTGTTTCTGGCAGTGGCTGCAATATGCGCCGCAACACCTAGCAAAAGGTGCTACATAATGGGTCTCATATTATGTTCATATACTTCATTTACCTGTCTTTGTTTGCTTTCTCCCCTAGGGCTTTGTATCCTTTGAAAAAGGCGCTATATAAATACGGTGATCATTATTATTATTATTATTATTATTATTATTATTCGGGCAATTGTCTTTTTGGGATTGGCTTTTGCAGGCGGAAGCTACTTGATTCCCGAAGAAGGGACCATCGTGAATGGGGAATGCCAGATATCTGACACTGTGCTTGCTGAACAAGTGTTTCTTGAGCTAGAGGTAATGTCAAAGTTTTCTTAACCAGTTTACGCTGGGAATATTTTGACAAGAATGGAACAAGGTGCGGGATTACTTTTCACTCTACCTCAATGGTGGGTTGAAGCCATCACCCTCGGGCAGCACACTCATATTTCCGGCCTCGCTCGCTGTTAGCATGAGCCCTTTAAATCTAGTTCTGATGTATTCACCATTTTGTCAGTGCCAAACGTAGAAAGCTGTTGCTCTGGAGATGAAGGCATCGACTTCCTTGCGTTAGACCCAACCCTCCCATTGACTAAGCTAACCCTTTACTTTACTCCCTTGTAGGTCGGTGTTTCCTACCACTTTGATATCTTCCACACCGAGCGCAACCCTTGTTCCTCAGAGTTCTTCCTAGAGATTCAAGGCATGGACTTCCTTCCGTTAGACCCAGACAACCCTCCAGTTGACTACGCCGTCACAGTGGACGAGGATCTACACCTTAATGCCATCTTGGAATCAATCTGGGTGGCTGACGTCTTCTCTACTGGCCCTAATTATCAAGTCACGATCACAAGTGGTAAGTCCAAATCAGATGTTTTACATACCCCAAGGGGGTATAAGTCAAAACATAGTTGAAAATGTTGAAAGGTAGCGGGAGTTGCGGGATTTTGGTTCAGTCCACCCTTCGTTTGTTTACCGACATCACCCCGAAAAGTCACGATCACAAGTGGTAAGTCCAAATCAGATGTTTTACATACCCCAAGGAGGTATAAGTCAAAACATAGTTGAAAATGTTGAAAGGTAGCGGGAGTTGCGGGATTTTGGTTCAGTCCACCCTTCGTTTGTTTACCGACATCACCCCGAAAATCTGGAAAAAGGGTATTTTTAACATATATAATTTATTTTGAAAAGTTAAATGATGGATGAAATGTACAGAATACGGTAACCCCAAAATCCCCAAATGGACGATTCCACCCAAAAATAACTTTGCAAAATTACTCCGGGTTTCGGGTTTCGTGGTGACAGGTCACATATGAGATGGAACCATAGAACTGTATTAAATTACTAGAGCGGTAACTTATATACAAAGTGATTGCCTGCTGGGCGCATCCATGTTTGTACACAAACCTATGGAGAACTAGAAATTTTGTACAGCTTTTGTACATCTATTTGCATACCTGAGTTTGTATTCCATACCTGTGCATCATCGAAGCCGATACGCCCAAAACTAGAAATGGATGATCAGCAAATGAGCGTTTCATTTTGCTCTACGCAAACAGCTTAACGTGTGCGGGTCCCTCTGCTGCAGATGCTTTTCGCAGTGAGCTTTTTTTAACCGTCATAACACGCTTAAGTTGTTTGCGTATTTTCTACTTGCGCGTTGCATTTAGAGAACACTTTAAAATTCAATCCATCTATTTCGATTGTGTCCTACAAACGCGCACATAAATTCAAAACGTCTGTGCCCAGAGCAGCTCATCAAAGCGTCTCCACGCGCAAGAATGAAGAGTTAGCGCTCTAGTAATTTAATATACCGATAGCTCTATGGACAGAACTGGGCAGAGGTTAAAAATGAGGTTTTTTTTAGGTATTTATAGGAAAAAGAATACAATTATCCTTACAATGCTGTTTAATTAGTTGCACTTCAATCAGAGATTCCATAAGTTCTGGATCTTAAAAGTTCATATTTATCGGCATGTCAAAAAAAGTAAAATAACGAGATAAAGGCCTTCAAAGTTTCTAGCTTTGCATTTGTGAAAATGAAAGATGCCAGTTGTGTTTCCTGATAAACAATTTTATTCCACGATCACTATAGGCCTACTACATGTATTTCTTTAAAATATGTGTAGTAGACACAGCAAAGAGCGCGTTCAATTACTTCCCCCAGCTTACTCGCACGTGGCTCCTCGCGTGATGACAGACATGCGCAGTGGAGCTAAATAAACGAACGATTTCGTGCAAGAGCTGGAAAGTTGAACTTTGACATGACTTAGGCTACATCCGAATCAACTGTCTAGAGCTAGGTCTAGGTCCACGCCCATTGAAAATACGTGGGGACGCGCTGACAATACTGGATGTAGCCATAGCTCTGGTAGCCCGTTTCGGACACGGCCTGAGGTGCCCGCCTGACGTTACGTTGGCAGCCATGTTTATTGCATGGCCTTGTGGGATACTTACCCAAGTTACCAGCTCAGCGAGTCGGTTACTTGGGCCAGGCTCGAGTAAGCGCAAAATCGAACACTGTCGCACTTGCACGAGTAAGCGCGGGGGAAGTAATCGAACGCACTCAAAGATAACAATCAAATCATTCAGTTTCGTGCAATAATCTCCCTCCTGTGCCCCGTTCTGTCTCATTTTGCCAGATTGCCTTTCATATTTTATTTTTAAATTTATTAGGCAACGAAGCTAGACACTTTACACTAAAGAACAACACGGCAGAGAACATCGCTGATGGCGTTGCCCCTACCACAACCCCACCACCTTTCACCCATACTGCGAACGGCACTGACTTCATAATCTGTGACTCCGAGGCAGTTATTGGTAAGTAGGGGGAAAACATTCAATTGAAAATTAAACTGAGGTATTGATAACAAGTCATGGAACATCCACGTTTGTTGGAATTAGTGTCTTTGCCATGAAATCATCAGGTGTCATGTTACGTCACATTAAAGTTGCATTTTTCAAAGCCCTTTATCTTCTGAACTTCAAGTCAGATTGGGTCGAAACTTTGTAGGTGCATGGACAGGGTCGTGTAAAAGATGAAAATTGAAGTGACGTCATGATGACGTTATCAAAAGTCATGTGACATCACAATAAAGGTCCACTTTTCTAAGGACTTTATCTAGAGATCTAACTATAGGTTTGATTTGGTTGTAACTTGATATGTTCTTATACCGGGATATGTTATACTTCATTGTGACGTCATCACACTTCATGTGATGTCACATTAAAGGGGCATGCGAAACAGCTGGTGTTTGTCCACAAACACATTTCTAGTTTTCCTTTTATTTACGTTTTCCCCTTAAACTATCTCTATGAACTTATAGGTTTAAAGCTATAGTCCATCATTTGCAGCCATCCGAAAAAGTAACTGGCGTATTATTGTTGAAAAACATACTTGGTTGAAAGATAGTAAGTGTACTAAACTCCCTGTGAAATGATTCTTTCTGGTAAGCTATCATTTTGAAGTAATCAACGAAAAAAGGCCTTTCCAACGGTGCGTCTTAAGACGCATCGTAGGAAAATTTAAATTAGTAGTTCGTTTTGTTATTCGGCGCAGCGCGCACAAGCATTGGCACGACGCACAGGCGCGCGCAGTTGCTATAATTCGTCGGATCAGTACGCAACATCGCGTATAGCTGCAATTCAAAACAATTCAAAACATGATTCAGCAACTTTTGATTTGAAATTGAGATCCTAGAATGCTGTTTTTCTCGGAATATACAGCTGAAGCTGAGCTGAAACTTCATCAGGTTAATTGTTCAGTATCCTTCATTAGATTTTGAACACTTTTGTTGCTTCAAACGAACAAAATGCACAAATTACAAATGATGGACTATATCTTTAAAGGCATAACTAACAATTTCACTTGCTGGGTCCCTTTTCAGTTCCAGAACCGAATGAAGCCGCAGCGCAAGTATTTGATGTTCATTCGGATAAGGCTCTGGTAACTTTGGCAACTGAGCTGGATCATGAAGTAGCAGCATTCTATCTCCTTAAGATCAGTGTAACTGATGTGAATGCCAGTCCGCAACACGAAGGCACGCTGACCGTACAGGTAAGCCGTGTCAGTGTATTGTGATGGATCACAAGTCCATTAAAGTTAGAGTAAATCATTTGCATCTACCAAAAAAATAACTGACCAAATTATTGTTAAAAAGCTTACCTGGTTTAAAGATAGTAATGACACTAAACTCCCTGTGAAATTATTTCTTCTGGCATGCCGTCCTTTTGAAGAAAACAACAAAAGGAGGTCATTTCCAAAGATGTGTCAAGTGACACTTTAAAACAAAAATCATTTGCCATGTCGCTAAATGCAAACTTTAAACAGCCACAACTTGTCAACCGAATGTCCAATTGAAGTGCAACAAACAGTATTGTAAAGAGAGTTTTATTTTTTCTCCTAATACCCACAAACCTTCATTACGACCTCAATTTTTGTCTCATTTTGACAGAAGCCTCACAATTGATCAACTCTTAGCAATTCTGAATCAAACGATATAATTGTTTGACTCTGGAAACAGGTTAACTAGACTCATAGAGCTATATTAAATTACTAGAGCGCTAACTCCTCATTCGTGCCCAAGGAGACTCTTTGAAGCCGCTCTGGGTGCAGACATTTTGAATTCATGTGCGTGTTTGTAGAACACAATGAAATTAGATGGATTGAATTTAAAAAGTGTACTCTAAATGCAACGCGCAAGTAGAACATACGCAAACAACTTAAGCGCGTCATGATGGTTCAAAAAAACGTCACGGCAAAAAGCATCTGCAGTGGATACGCGCATGTATTGCGCTGTTTGCATACAGAGCAAAATGAAACGCTCATTTGCTGATCATGCGTTTCGGTTTTGAGCATATCGGCTTCGATAACGCACCGGTGTGGATACAAACGCAGATATGCAAATAGACGTACAAAAGACGTACACAATTTTGAGTTTCCCATAGGTTTGTTCACAAACATGGATGCGCCCAGCAGGCATCACTTTGTACATGAGTCAGCGCTCTAGTAATTTAATCAACTCTATGACTAGACTTGACTTTGTCTTGACGTTTGTTTTTCTCCACTCAGATTACCGTGAATGATGTGAACGATAACTGTCCCGTGGTATCCAACAACAGTCTAGCGTTCTTCCCACTGCCTGTTCTCCAGGAAGATCCCCTGGCGGACGTCGTAGCAACTGACGCTGACAGTGGTGTGAATGGTCAGATCACGTACCACACATCGACAATCACGCAAATGTGAGTTGTATATGTGGCCAAAAATTAGTTTATTTTTTCTATTTATGTATTGATTAGTAGGGATGTCCCGAATATTCAAATATTTGATCATCAACCGAATACTCAATACCGTTCATGCCGGGTCGAATTTTCAAATTAAAACAAAGTATACATGTGAATACACAACTGTGATGATATTTTAATCCTAAAGTTGCAGCGCTTTATTGTTAGATGCCCCTTCTTTTGACGGTGACTATTTGTGTTTATGGCGGTTCAGTGTCATCCTTTAAGAAGGTACTTATGATATACTTAGGCCTACTGTAAAACTCTCCAGCGTGCATAATATTGATCGCCGACAGCGTGCAAATTTAATTTTTGACTTATTTTGACTTTAAGACCAAAAAGTTTTTTGTTTGTTTGACCGAAAAATGCACTTATGAATGGGAATAAATATGTGCTTGGTTGGTATTAAACACTATGTGTTTAACACCTCCCAAGCACACGTTTATTCCCATAATAAATGGCGGGCTGACCATACTTGGAAATTGATACAAAATTCTACTTTTCTTGAAAATGACAGCACACCAGGGGCCATGATTTTACAGGATGCTTGAGACTGTTATTCTCTTACAGTCAAGTAAGGTATTTCATAATAATTTGGTGGTTTTGATGTTTGCAAATATTACCTTTAAATCACATTGTTGGCTTGTATTCCAGCCCCATCGTCAACGACACGTTCTCAACCCTTCAGCTGACCATCACAGCTATTGATAACGGAACACCAGCGCTTGGTACAATAGTCAACATCACAGTAATGATCAGTAACACGTGTCTGTACGACGCTACTAGCGAACCTGTGGACGTTAATATTTACATTGATGTGCCAACTGGCGGTCTGTACATGAGGGTGCCCAGGTACTATGCTTATGAATATGGTAAGCTATACAAACAATATTAGTTAGCTGTTTCAAAACGGCTCTTGCTTTCATGAAGATTTTTTTTGTTTTTTACTTCTCATTTTTCAGACTCCTCTCTATATGTTTTGTACACATATTTCTTCTGCCTGTACACTTTGGCACTTTCGTAAGTCCAATGGACTTCAAACTTGACACATTAATAGACAATCACCAACCGATGGCCCAAGCAGAATTTTGTCACGATGACATCATCAGGTGTTAAGTTACATAACATTAAACATGCATTTTGTGGCCATAGACGTTCTACACATTCCAAGTTCATGGTAAACTCAATATCTTTCTAATTGGTTACATGGTCTCACTATACCTGGTCTGGACTGCAGAGAAGTGGTAAATTTAATTCCCAAGGGGAGGTAACTACCGGTACTGTACTTTGACCCATTTATGGTTGATCTGTTATTACATGTACTTCTACTGTGGTTTCTAGACTTTAGCATTCCACAGACTCGAGCCATAGTATTTCAAGGTGCTGATTGAGTGAGATGTGCAGTGCTTGAAACGAAAAAACACAATGCACAAACAGCAGATGATACTATGTACTTATCATATTGTTTTGTCCATGTATAGATTGCAGAGATGCCCTTGGTGTTCAGACTGGCGTCATTCAGGACAGCATGATGTCGGCGTCATCGTACTACGACGATGCGCACACAGCAGACAGAGCAAGACTCCGCGCAAACGCCAGCACGGACGGTAAAATTGGATCCGGTGAGTTTCTCAAGAAACTATTATTTTGGCCATATCATATCAAATGAAACCAATTGGCAAGTGAGGAAAGTCTGGAGGAATTTGAAACCTTAAAACCATGCATACTTGGGTGGTTTTGGGCGGAGTAGGGAATTGTGGGCAGGGCGGTGTGGGGTGGTACATGGGATTATTGGTTAAATTGCAGCTAGATTCTTCCAAAATCGCAGCTGCATTTAATGTTCATAACAAGATTAGGCAGGCTCTAGCTTAGTAATGCTGGTCCGAGACTTATTCTGTCGGTCGGTCGGTTGGTTGGTTGGTCAGTCGGTTGGTCGGTCGGTCGGTAAAAATGGTATCTTATTGCTATTAATTTATTTTTATTTAATTTATTCATCGTCAGGTTGGATAGCAAAAACTGCCGATGCAAACCAGTGGTTACGGATCAAAATGAAGGCAGTCACCATCTTCTCTGGAGTCAGGACTCAGGGTGTTGGAGATGTAGAAGCCTGGATTGAATCATACTATGTAGAATACTCCAATGATAGCAGTACATGGTACAGGATACAGGATGAAGATAGCAATGATCAGGTATGCAGTGACTTTATACTATGTAGAATACTCTAATGATAGCAGTACATGGTACAGGATACAGGATGAAGATAGCAATGATCAGGTATGCAGTGACTTTATACCATGTAGAATACTCTAATGATAGCAGTATGTGGTACAGGATACATGATGAAGATAGCAATGATCAGGTATGCAGTGACTTTATACCATGTAGAATACTCTAATGAGAGCAGTACGTGGTACAGGATGAAGATAGCAATGATCAGGTATGCAGTGACTTTATACCATGTAGAATACTCTAATGAGAGCAGTACGTGGTACAGGATACAGGATGAAGATAGCAATGATCAGGTATGCAGTGACTTTATACTATGTAGAATACTCCAATGATAGCAGTACATGGTGCAGGATACAGGATGAAGATAGCAATGATCAGGTATGCAGTGACTTTATACTATGTAGAATACTCCAATGATAGCACTACATGGTGCAGGATACAGGATGAAGATAGCAATGATCAGGTATGCAGTGACTTTATACTATGTAGAATACTCTAATGATAGCAGTACGTGGTACAGGATACAGGATGAAGATAGCAATGATCAGGTATGCAGTGACTTTATACCATGTAGAATACTCTAATGATAGCAGTACATGGTACAGGATACAGGATGAAGATAGCAATGATCAGGTATGCAGTGACTTTATACTATGTAGAATACTCCAATGATAGCAGTACCCAGCTAACACATTTACGTTGTGACAACGTTGCCAGAAGGTCAGGTTTTCGTTGCTGTAACGTGAGGAAAATGACGTTGCGGCAACGTAAAAATGTCGACTCGCGTGCGCGTTGCTACAACGTTATCACGCAACGTTACAATGACGTTTCCACAACGTAAACGCAACATACATCACAACTTTTTTTGGTCGTGATTGCACATGATTACCACCTTGACGCCACGTTATTTGCGACCAAATTGACACATAACAGCAACTTCTACGCACGTTTCTACAACCTTTTGGCGACATGATTACCACTTGATTAGCACGTTACTGCAACCTAATTTGGGACGTCACTGCAACTTACTGGACACGTTGATGCAACTTATTGTACACGTTAAAGCAACGTATTGGACACGTTTAAGCAACTTTATGGGCACGTTACTGCAACTTAATGGGGACGTTACTGCAACTTTATGAGGACATTGCTGCAACTTTGTGGGCACGTTATTGCAGCTAAATGGGACGTTTCTGCAACTTTAAAGGCACGTTGCTGCAACATGGTGGCCACCTTACTGCAACCTACTGGGCATTTATGGGGAAATGTTTCTGAAAACGATAACAAAACAATCAAACATACATGTAATTCATGTCTCTCTAATTTTATTACAAAGAGTGTTCAGAAACAACAGCATGTAAAAACGTTACTAAAATGCAATCACTAAAACGGTAAGTGTAATTAATACTCACTGCGATTATTTGGACACATCAATATGCACATATTACTACAGTGTCTATTTCGTGAATGGTATAAAATTGAAGTCTTTTACTTGAATCCACATTACGGAATTCACGCCTTAGTGACTGGGCTGAGCTCTAACGATCGGTTCATACTTCAAGTGAAAGCAAATTTTTAAATGTTGACATCGAAACCATTTGACTCAAAATTGCCCAGAGTTAAATGTGGTTCACTCTTTTTCCCCCCAAATTTTTAGCGCTGGCGTTAATGATTGCCGTAACTTCACAAAGTGAATTGCCGTAACTTCACAGAGTATGAACCGACCTTTTAACAAGACAATAACGTTGTTACTGAGCAATTAGAAGATAAAGGGTCTGGTCGCCAATAATATTGCCAGAGCCGGAATGCAAGGGCTATTATCGGCGACCTAGCCACTCACCGGTTTTACACAGTGCTATACGTAACGTACATTCCAGCAAAAGTATGGTTTCAAATAGTATTTGAACATTAGTATTTTCAACTGTCCGTGATGAGAAATATAGTATAGGAAGGCGACTAAATTGCCTCGAACAAATAAAATAGATCCGACAACTTTTAATCTACTGAATCACATGCTTTTTAAATCTGTCCTCTATCTAGATCCTTCATTTTCTTTCTCTCCCATGGAACATCTTCAAAAGAAAACTCAAAGGAATTGTTTTGGGTTTTTTGTAGCTACAGAGTCTATGAAAAAGAATAACACTTGAAAGGGACACTTAAATAGCGTTTGTTCGTGAAGATATATTTGTATGCAGGGAACTCGCAAAAAACCTGCATTTTAAAATATTGACATTTCAACGTGATTTTCTTTGAATACCTCCATGCAGATTGGCTAATTGCCCAATCTTTGTTTTAGAGTAACATTCATTTAATGGAACCTTTAACAGAAGATTATCCAGATGTAGAAAAAAAAGTGGATTCCTTGTTCAGCAAGGTTGTCAATATGGCACTTCTCCAAAGACACAATCTGACAAGAAAATAAGGAAAACAAAAAACAATGTATCAATTATTTAAACATTATGAACTTTTTAATGCTTGCTGCCTTAGGCTTAAAACACTCACTGCGTGTCACGCTGGCTCACCAGATGTGAAATTTAAAACTACATGTATATCCAGATAATGTCTGTCTTCTCAATACATGTACTTCAAGCAGAGCTGTGCCTGTGTTTCTACATGTACAATCTTTAACCCACGAGAGACAGGGATAAAATAAATGAGCCTCTTGTTTCAAGTTGACCCTGAAGTCCAGGATATTTCTCAAATTTAAAGGGTAACCAAAAACCCTGGTTGAGAGTTAAAGCGCCAGCCTGTTTTACGCATTTTTATGTAATCTAAACAACTTCATGTTCAAATGTATGTACGTATACGATCAAAATGTTGGTTCTTCCGCAAGTTTATGGTCTTGGTAGTCGGCATTGCATTAGGTCTATGGTGCTCGTTTCAGAAGTGTATTTAAGGTGTTTGTCGCTGATACCTTTTGACCAATCAATTTAGTGACTGCGATGGTTAGTTTCTTAATACACGTACCTTGAATCTTGGCCCTTCTGGATAACCAAGCACAATCGGCTGCCATTTCTAAAAGTTCATGCAAAGTCATGTCATGCAGGCACCTGAATATAATACAGAAAATATTTGATTACCAAAGAGCTCAAGCTTTTTTTAAGTAATTTAAATTTCACACGAAACAATTTCATTAAATGTTAAGAAGAACCGTCCAGTAGCAGTTTTGATATGCGCATAATTATTTTATGCGAATACACACTGGGTACAGTACACAGTGTTTATACGTCGGTGAAGGGCAAAACCTAATTTGATTCATAATTATTTTGATTAAAGATCCGCTGCCTACGCTACTTTCGAGTTTCACCCCGAAAGTTTATTTACTTTTTTTCAACTGCTATTTTCCTGCGAAATACAAGTTATTCATTTTTGAAAGACATCTAACGATAAAAATTATAAACTTCATTGCATTTTTTCACAACATTGAAGTTAATACCTGCTAGAAAATTAATCAGCTCTCGCCAGGGAGGTTCACGCAAAATGTGTGGGTTTTTTTTGGTTATTTTTAGAGAGCATTGGGCACGCATCTTTTCTGGCGCATGACTCGACAAGAATGACTTTGTTAAGGCGGACGTGGTAGTATGAAAATTTTGAGTTGGAAGGATTTGGATATGCATGCATTGGGTTCACGTTCTTGAATTGTATAGTATAGATAAATTTCATGAATACATAAATTTAATTAATATAGGTGTCTGGTGAACGTCAGGTAATCACTTAACAAATTTCGACCAAGGTGTATTTTCAACACATTTTAAAAGTTAATTTCACCATCTTACAGAGATACATGTATAGAAGGTCAGTGTATGTTGAATTACTTACAGCAACAACCTTGAAGAGATGTATGGGGTGGTTTTCAAAATAATTAGAAACTTCCTCCCTCGAAGACTGCTGAAGTTAAAAGTTTATACATGCCACATCCTGCAGCCAGTGCACTCACGTATAGCATACCTGTATACTGCCTACCTGGAGAAAGAAACGATGTTTCTAAGGTTGAGAAATATATAAAACTAATCAAGTTTGAACACAGTGTAAAAATGATGTCCCCGTGCTCTTCAACCCACAAAATGTCTTATTTTCACGAAAAAAATAGTCTACAAATGATCCTCTTTAGAAAAGGCTTTTATAGTTCGCGTATTTTTCATTGATCTTGTAACAGTGCTGACCTGGCCCTGAACCCTACTCCGCACACTTTGGTCAAACTCCCATAAATCACGCCAAACCCTGGGAGCTATACGGCCCGAAAGCCCGGATTGAAACTGTATACACTTGTTATGTACAAGCCAGCGAAAGCCAGATGACCGTTTATACGTGTACGGTCCTGGTACGTGAACTTTAGGCCTGACCCTTGAGACTGAAATGCTAATGCGCGTTGCTATTACAACCGTACACTGTGTCTTTGAGCGGGAATTTTATAACGGACTGTTTATGCTCAAATTTGCGCTAGTTTTAGTTGAGAGAAAATCAACTCAGATCTATAAATTAAGAGATACCCCAGGTAACAATTTCACGGTTGTTGGCTCGGGTATCATGGGTATCTCAATACAATATTGTTACATTTTGATTAATTCATCAATTTGAAGGAAAAAAATACAAACATAGGCATATACTATAGTACACAAAACAAAAGTCTTCTCGATATAATGTATACACTTTTGCCATTTTGGCCATTTGCTAAAACAATATCTGTTTTATCTAAAATTATAACTATCGAACAAATAACTTTCCAACCTAAAAACGTTGTTAAAAAGGTCTAACATGTCGCACATGAATTCGAGTAAATCTGATCCACATGTATATTATTTCCTTTAATATTGGAATATTACCGAGATTTTATTATTAAATTGAAAACCAGATGACTTGAACGTTTCTTTCAGTGTATGATCCTCCAAAACTGTTCGCATTGACGAGCCTCCAATCTCAATTGAGGCACATATTTTCACTCTTAATTAATCTACATTTATTCTGATCGAGTCTGAAGAACATTTTCAACATTTATTAAAACTTGAAAACAAAGATGATAGGCATAGGAAAATCTTCATTTTTTGACAGCGACTTTGTTCGAAAAGTTGTTTTACTTTAATTTGATCCTTTCATCAGATTTTTAGACAATGTGTTCGACACAAGAATGAAGTCAAGATACAGAAAATTTCATTCCTACCTTCTAAGAAATGCTGTAGTGAAAATAACTTGTTTGGCGACCATACTTCACATCAACTGGACGGCGAGTCGGCGACCGTTATAGTGAGCTGCTGCTGCTGCTCGATTGCTGACTCGACTGAGAGCAATTCAAATGAGCTATCACGCGGTCTGGACGTGGAATTTCTGCTGATGCGCATGCGCATTCTAGTAACGTTGGTGTGTGCAATAAAGTACATGTATACATTGAGTATTCAACAATGAATATGAGCGGGAAACAGTCGCGCTATGACCACGATCTCATCCATCTTAGACCATTAGAAAAATATCTGGAAACATTATATTCCTACTACGACAAAACAAACATGATGATGTTCGAAATTTCATGAGTTACATTATTAATGCAAGGCGGCACCCAATTGATAATTATTATCAAATAAAACATCATTAATTAAAACATATTATGTTCACTTCACATTCAGTAGGCTAAATCGTAATCACAATGTTTTTGTCAACACCACAACAGCATGGATCGTAACGCACAGCATAATTGCAACTTAAATTCAGTGTCAAAACACTTTTATAAAACGTTACAGCAACGTGAGCTCTCAACATAGCAGCCACGCTGTGAAAATACCAAACTGCAATGTCACGACAACATGATATTTACAACTTAACAACAACATTATGATGAGACTTTTATGCAACGTCATCATAACGTCATGAACACAGCAACGTGGTGTAAATTGTTATCTACAACGTCATGACAACGTGAGAATAACAACATACCAACAACGTTGTGAAAGTACCCACGTACAATGTTACAACAACGTCATGATTTTTACATCACCGCAACGTTTTGAAATACTAAACTACAACGTCGTGACAATGTGATTTTCACAACTGAAAAAAACGTTATAAAATAACGTAGATGGAACGTTAACTCAACGTCATGATTATAACCTCACAGCAACGTTGTAAACATTCTAAATTACAACGTTCTGACAACGTAACATTGACAACTTAAAAACAACGTCATGAAAACACCTACATTTAACGTAACCACAACGTTATATTTACTACTTTATTACAACGATTGTGAAACGACCACCATACAACGTCAATACAATGTCATATGATGACTTTCGTACAACGTTGTACAAATTACCAATATACAACATTTTTACAACCAACAATTATACAGTCAAACGTTGTGTCAACGTTGCTTGAATGTCATCGTGACACGTTACCAAATGACAACATTTTCACAACTTTGCACAACGTTGTGGCAACGTGATGTGTTAGCTGGGTACGCGGTACAGGATACAGGATGAAGATAGCAATGATCAGGTATGCAGTGACTTTATACTATGTAGAATACTCCAATGATAGCAGTACGTGGTACAGGATACAGGATGAAGATAGCAATGATCAGGTATGCAGTGACTTTATACTATGTAGAATACTCCAATGATAGCAGTACATGGTGCAGGATACAGGATGAAGATAGCAATGATCAGGTATGCAGTGACTTTATACCATGTAGAATACTCTAATGATAGCAGTACATGGTACAGGATACAGGATGAAGATAGCAATGATCAGGTATGCAGTGACTTTATACCATGTAGAATACTCTAATGATAGCAGTACATGGTACAGGATACAGGATGAAGATAGCAATGATCAGGTATGCAGTGACTTTATACTATGTAGAATACTCCAATGATAGCAGTACGCGGTACAGGATACAGGATGAAGATAGCAATGATCAGGTATGCAGTGACTTTATACTATGTAGAATACTCCAATGATAGCAGTACGTGGTACAGGATACAGGATGAAGATAGCAATGATCAGGTATGCAGTGACTTTATACTATGTAGAATACTCCAATGATAGCAGTACGTGGTACAGGATACAGGATGAAGATAGCAATGATCAGGTATGCAGTGACTTTATACTATGTAGAATACTCCAATGATAGCAGTACATGGTGCAGGATACAGGATGAAGATAGCAATGATCAGGTATGCAGTGACTTTATACCATGTAGAATACTCTAATGATAGCAGTACATGGTACAGGATACAGGATGAAGATAGCAATGATCAGGTATGCAGTGACTTTATACTATGTAGAATACTCCAATGATAGCAGTACGCGGTACAGGATACAGGATGAAGATAGCAATGATCAGGTATGCAGTGACTTTATACTATGTAGAATACTCCAATGATAGCAGTACATGGTGCAGGATACAGGATGAAGATAGCAACGATCAGGTACATGTATGCAGTGACTTTATACATGTATGATATGTAGAGCACAGTGAAACATTGCTGTACCAAACATTTAAATTACATGTAGTTAAGAAATGAACTGAAACATTTGTTGGTGTACGAACACCATCGTGTCAACTTTGAGTGCTGTGCTGGCAGCTGAAAATTGCTATAACAAACAACTGCAATAACGACATTCTTTTGTGGATTGTATCATGTTCATTATAGCGACGTTATACTGAACTCCAATGAAAGACATTATTATTTATATCAGGCTTCCAGTGGTAAAAATAAATCAGTGTATTGTATGCTTTCGTAAAAATTATCCTGATGACTGCAATATTATGTCAATTTATGCTCTAGATTGTTCGGGAACCAGCGAAAATGCCCAGATGACTGCAATATCAATAATATTGCAGTCATCCGGGCATTTTTGCTGGTTCCCGAACAATCTAGAGCGTAAAAAGTCACAGTCAACAGAGCGTAGCACGCGGATGCAGCGCACAGCACTAGCAGGGTATACGCGCACTGTTGCAGCTTCAAGTGGCGGGATAATTCTACGAAATTCGAGAAATAAAGGCAGTGTCCTGAAATGTATTTCTTGCGGATCAAGCCAGTCAGCCTAATGTAAAAAATATTTTAAAAATTGGATGGTTTTTTTTTCGGGGGATACTAGAATAATTGCACTTGCTAAACAATATTGCACTTGTCTTTGACTCGTGCAATATTGTTATAGCTCGTGTAATATATTCTTGTATCCCCCTCAAAGCCATCCAATATTATATAATTATTAATGACCCAACCTTCTTTGTTTCTGCCAGAATTTCACTGGTAACACAAATCAGAAAACTGTCACTAGTGTGTATTTCGATGAAGTCTACGCTCAGTATATCCGCATCCTACCCCAGACCTGGCACAATCAGATAGGGTTGAGGTTGGAGATTGTTGGCTGTACGACAGAGCGACGACTGCGACGTAAGTCCCATTTGTTCATGCCTTAAATGGTTATTCATCCTTGTGTTTTACCAAAGTTAACTGCATGTTTATCATAGACCACTCCAAGCATGTGTTAATTATACAGGGTGACACCAAAAAAATTACAACCCTGTAACATTTGCCTTTTTTATTTAAAAGTGTCAGCTGTGAAATTTGATGTTTTGGATAATGGATCAGATTAAAGCTGAGAGTCTGTCCTTTCAAATACCGAAAAAAAAATCATGAAAACAGCACATTGGGTTGCTGAGAAAATTATGCCAATTATGTAACACAACTCCTTTTTGGTCCATTCTAATGGCATTACCACAGTTAAGGAATTTACACTATACCTAATTTGTGCATGAAATGCATGTACATGTAGCGCATTGTGTGCTAATACTTACAAACAACACGGAACATAATATGACAAGAGTACAAATGAATTTGATGGAAATACCGTACCTTGCATTTTCCACCTGAAGTATTTATATCATCAAAACAAGGCCAAGGATAACTAAAATTGAAACAGTTACTAACTTAATGGTTATACTGAAATCATTTAAAACAGATATTTACTCACACAAAAATACACAAAAAGCATTCTACTTAAAAAAAGTTGTCAAATACTAACACTAATATGGTTAGAAAATAACAATGTTTCATCTTCTTCCAAAACCTGTATTTGAGTTTAATGTAAACTCCTTGTTTTGACCCATTAGTCCCTGTACTGCCCCAGACCACCCTGTCCGTTACTCCCTGTATTGCCCCCAAACCACCCTGCCTGTTACTCCCTGTACTGCCTCAACCCGCCCTGCCTGTTACTTCCTGTACTGCCCAAAACCACCCTGTTTGTTACTCCCTGTACCACCCAAAACTGCCCTGCCTGTTACTCCCTGTACTGCCCCAAACCACCCTGCCTGTTACTCCCTGTACCCCCAAATCACCCTGTTTGTTACTCCCTGTACTGCCCCAAACCACCCTGCCTGTTACTCCCTGTGCTACCCCAAACCACCCTGCCTGTTACTCCCTGTACCCCCAAATCACCCTGTTTGTTACTCCCTGTACTGCCCCAAACCACCCTGCCTGTTACTCCCTGTGCTACCCCAAACCACCCTGCCTGTTACTCCCTGTACTGCCCAAACCCGCCCTGCCTGTAACTTCCTGTACTGCCTCAAACCTCCCTGCCTGTTACTCCCTGTACTGCGCCCCAAACCACCCTGCCTGTTACTCCCTGTACTGCCCCAAACCACCCTGCCTGTTACTCCCTGTACCACCCCAAACTAGGGCCCTGCCTGTTACTTCCTGTACTGGCCAAACCGCCATGCCTGTTACTTCCTTGTACCATCCCAAACTGCATGCCCTGCCTGTTACTCCCTGCACTGCCCAAAAACGCTCTGTCTGTTAATTCCTGTACCCGCCCAAATCCGCCCTGCCTGTTGCTTGCTGTACCACCCCAAACTGCCCTGCCTGTTACTCCCTGTACCACCCCAAACAGCCCTGCCTGTTACTTCCTGTACCAACCCAAACTGCCCTGCATGTTACTGTACTGCATCATACCACCCTGCCTGTTACTCCCTGCACTGCCCCACACCGCTCTGCCTGTTAATCCCTGTACCACCCCAAACCGCCCTTCCTGATACTCTCTGTACCACCCAAAACCGCCCTGCCTGTTACTCCCTGTACTGCTCCAAACTGACCCACCACTCTATGGTTTTGGTTGGTCAGGGAATAAATACAATGCATATTTGATGTACAATATAATATAATGTAATACAATGTAGTGTGATGTAATACAATTTAGTACAGTTGATTTTGGATGACCATCCTCACTAGCCAGGGTAGTCTTACTCACGTACGTCGTAAGACGAAACTCCGGCAACCACTTCCTTATCTTTCCTATTTTGACCTCGTGACATCAGTTAGTCATGAACACTGCCCAATATTGACTGACATACTGTCTGACCAAGTTGCTCTTTGCAAAAGCTGATCCAGAATTGACCTAACTGGCACAATGGCAGAGCACTGTGCTGTCCTGAAAAGCGCTGACCTATTGGTTATTATTACAAAGTTGACCCTGTAATTGTCCAACCTGATTATTCAGTGGGTAGGATCGAAAATGTCACAAAGTCCATGCAGAGAATCTGATTAGATGGCGAGGAGTAGCAAAATAGTAAAGATTTGCACTTGATTTGCCAGGGCGTCTTGTGATGTGCGTCTGCCCTGGCTAGCGAGGATGGGCGAAACTAACCTCTGCAAGATTTTTCTCTCACAACACAACGAAAAGGCCATGTGCCTCAACGTTGTTATCAACACCATGAATGATTTAACATTTTAACCATGTATGCCTGTCATCATTATAACCATGCATGCCTGATCATTTTAACCATGCATGTCTTTGTAGACTTGACCCAGTGTGAGCGTTGTCTGACTACCAACTACTGCCTAGGGGACGGTTTGCAGCGACCCTGCGGTCGCTGTGATCCTCCTACAGACTCATGTAACCGGTCACCGTCAGAACATTCCTTTGGACACGCCTATGAGTGTGTGCCCTGCCCAATAGGATGGGTAGGTATTACAGATAAGGCAGGGTTTGGGACAGGGTCGTCCTTTGTCCACACTTTTGAGTGTGTACCCTGCCTAACAGGAGCTACGAATAATGGGGCAAGCCAGGGGGTGCCGGATTACCTTTTTTGGCCAGGGTTAGGGGGTGCTTTAGTATTTTCCAGCACCCCCATCCAAAAGCTTGTGGGTGCAGCACCGGCATCATCCCATTGCTGCGGGCTAGGAATGGGGTGGAGTTTATGAGGGTTAGCAAGGTTTTGATGGGCTGTTTTTAGGCCATGCCTTTGAGTATTATATACTTTGCCCTATAGGAGGTTACATATGAGGGTTGGGTGGGTATGTGGGGTCTTCTTTTGGCCATGCCTACGAGTGTGTACTCTACCCAAAAGGATGGGTAGGTATGAGCGTAAGGGATAAGTTGAGGGTAGGGTCTTTTTACCATGCCTATGGATGTTCCCTACCCAATAGGATGGGTAGGAATGAGCGGTATGGCATAGTTTGGGGCGGGGGATTTGTTTTGGCCACACCTGTGAGTGTGGACCCTTCCATTAGGATGGATTGGTTTGAAGGTTGGGGCAAGGTTTGGGTGGGGCATTCTTTTGGCCACGCATATAAACATGATGAAAGTACACCCTATCCAAAAAGATGGGTAGGCATGATGATTTGGGTGGAGGTTTGGTTTGTTTTGGGTTTTGGAATCACCTGGACACGCCTTTGAGTGTGTACCCCGCCCAGTAGGATGGGGAGGTGTGAGGGTTAGGGTAGGGTTTTGGTGGGGTTTCCTTTTGGCCATGCCCCAGGTGTTGACACCCTTTCCAATGGGATGGGTAGGTATGAAGGTTGGGTGGAGTTTAAAGGGTTGGAGGGTTTGGACAGGATCTTCTAGTGACCATGCAATTAAGTGTTTACCCTGTCCAATAGTATTGGTAGGTACGAGGACTGGGTGGGGTTTATGAGGGTTAGGGTGGGGTTTGGGTAGGGTCTTCTTTTGGCCACGCTTTTGATTATCCTCTGCCTTTCCCAATGCACTAATACTCAACTTTGCAGTAGTCCGATATGTACTGTAACTACCTTGAGACACCAGAAACCACGTGAAATAAATGTGAACTGGGCTGACATGCATGTATGTGAATCAACTCAAATGAAATACCAAAACAAAATACAATATTTGGTTAAACTAGTAAAGCTGGTCCCAGAGTGAATTTTTTTTTATTCAATTGATTCGAATGCCAATATTCTGCTCTGGAAGCCGTTTCATGCATATGGTCTGCACTTGGGCCGGATATCCCATTACAGGGTCATCCTATACAATAGCACTCCCTGGCTTACGAGTGAATTACGTTTGACAGTGCTGCAGTCAATGAGATAGGTACAAAGGTCATGGACTAGTACTCTGAGACCAGCACATATGGAGGTGCATAAATTGAAAAGTAGAAGCTATGGATATTGAGTTATTATTCTATAATTTCTTTTAGTTGTGCGTAGATGGTTATGCCACACCATGCCCCAAGTACCATCATGGCCGCTGTAATGAAACAGTGAGTAAATGATTGAATTCCTACTTTGCAACTCTTCTGTCCAGAAAAGCCTGCTAATGTCTGTCACATCGCTTGTTACCGCTATAGCTGCACACATCATATTGGTCATGGAGCTCAAGTTTTACATCGGATCGACACTTAGACCACCATGTATAAAATACTTATGAACATGTTCATTCAACTTGGATGAAACTCCTTTATGCAGTTATTGCTGAAATGATTGAAACAGCTCAGTGCAAACAAGAAGTTTTGTGATGATGTTTTGACCGTTGTTTGACTAGAGATGTTTTCACCAGAAAGAGAACAGAAGTAACAATTTTTTTGGCTGCCTGCATTTTGTCAATGTCTTTGTCCAAGGGCCGCTATATGGAAGCCATAAACCTGTATCATGCAGCCAGGGATCATGCCAAAATTCACGATGCTAGCAGCACTACCAATGCTACCAAACTGGGAAATAGCAAACATGATAACACAGGCTTCTTATTTTAAATATTCAAATAAGTACTCATACAGTGTTCTGGAGGTCACAGGCTCAAACCCCGCTTTTTCTTTGTTCAAATTTATAATTATTGTACCAGTGTATATAGCTATACACGCTTAAAAAAATTTCTTTGTAGTTTAATACCTCTGCCAAGGAGGTTATGTTTACATCGGATTTTGTTGGTTGGTTGGTGGGTTTGTTGGTTGGTTTGTTGGTGTGTCTGTTAACAAGATAACTGAAAAAGTTATGGACGGATTTGCATGAAATTTCTTTTAGGAGTGGTCCTTGGCACAAGTACAAATCAATTAGATTTTTGAAGTGATCTGGATCTAGGTCTGGATCCAGGCTTGTTTTTTGAGGATTCTTCACCATTTATGTGAGTATTTCTTTTGGGTGTACTGACAATATGGCAGGGAATTGTTAAGCCTTGGCGGAGGTTTTTGCTCTCTGAGAGCTTTCTAGTTTGAAAATGCATTTCTTTTCCTTCTTTCTTGTGTCTAGTATTGCCCAGAGACCTGTACTTTGTGTGACCCAGGCACTACTTGCTTCAGGGGTATACAATCCATCTGCCCTCAGGGATTCTTCTCACAAGGATTCGATACAGGTAAACTTTGTACATCATTGGGTCTGTACGTAAACGTAGAGGGTGTTTTTGTGACCACTCGTGAGAGCTCCAGTGAGAGTGGAACTAAGATCTGACCTCATTGTTACATACGTGACAAGATATGAGGACAGGCAACGACCTCTTGCTAAATTAATAGGATACGTCTTGGATGTACCACCTCCCCTATGGTTTGTTTGGCCTCCTGCACACTCATGGGTCGATCAAGCTTAAACGCAGCCCCCTATCGGTACGCGCATAGATATTTATATTAGGTTGATGCCTACATCATACAATGTGTCATCTGACAACCCACGCGCTGGCCAGTTTCAGACTTTAAATGACCTGCCATTTTGAGTGTGTGTTCAGACTACAGGTCTGACGACGTCCATGATTCTTTGGCCCCCAGGCACACCACTTTAAAACCATCTTCAAGTATTGTTTCTTCCAAACAATATCATTTCAGGTGGAATAATTTCACAGGGTATTTGGTTATGACCCTTCACTTTGAACAAGGTTTTCTCATTAAATCAGTAGTTCTGTTTCAATGTAATTATCAAGGCTCCCATCTGCCATTATGTTATTTTATTGAGATATTTATTTGTTTTTGTATTTTAGAGTTCTGTAAGCCCTGTCAACCAGGCACATTCAACAACTTTACCGGCCAGTCTGTGTGTGAGAACTGCCCAGCCGGCTACCAGAGCACACAGGCCAAGAGTTCATGTGCACCATGTCATATCACAGCATGGTCGGCGGGAGACGGGACACCATGCAAGTCATGCTCCAGTGTAGCGGAATGTAAGCATGAGGCCACTCCAAAATTTGTTCTTGTTTACACATCACACAATATGTTTTTGTCCCAGAGGGTCGGCCAAGTGTCGCCTTTATACCTATCTCACAGACAGAGTTACACACTGACTGCCTGTCGATTGTGAACCGGGCAGTGCTATCCAATAGGACTGCAGCATTGCTAATGCTGCTAGCATCGTGACATTGTACGTAATAATAATATAATAATAGTAATAATAACGGAGTCTTATATAGCGCACGTATCTACCAACAATTAGGTACTCAAGGCGCTGGAAATTATGTCAATTATTAAAGAGAGGTAAATAAAGTTTATGAGAAATATGAAACCCATTATGTAGCACCTTATAATGGTTTACAAGGTGCTGCAGCGCACATTGCAGCCACTGCCAGAAACACGGGGGCAAACCCCTTCTCTTAGTGATAAGTGTTACTGGGTTCTTTAACGTGCATTACACAACACACGGGACCTACGGCTTTACGTCCCATCCGAAGGACGAAGCAATAATAGTAAAGTGCCTTGCTCAAGAGCACAAGCACCATGTTCCCACGGTCAGGATTCGAACCCATGCACCACGGCACACGAGTCGAACACCGTAACCATTGGACCACAGCGCCCCATTACGTGGTTACGCGGTAACCTGCTACATGGCATGTACTGGTTTGTTTATTATTTCTGTTAATGAAACCAAGGATTCCTCAACAGGGCCCAAGGCACTGTAGCTCCAAAGCCTGAAGAAACTTGTAGAGAGAAGACAGTGAGAAGAAATTACAGTTTTAGAGGTGGGAGGAATACCCCTTGCAGAATATTCTGGGGAAAACCCATCAGGTAGGGACTAAAACCCAATCCACATGTGGACCAGGAGAGGAATCGAACCCAGGCCACAGGGGTGAAAGGCGAGGACAGTAACCACTGCACTAACCTGACTCTCTTTTATCCGAGATTTTAGGTTTTACCCCAGATTCCCCACAAAACCTTGTTTTACATTGTACAACCTCGCGGTTAACCGCGGTTACCTTGTGGTAATCCTCGAGTTACCGCCTTTTCATTGTTGCATTCTCCCCTAAATTATCTTGTTAGGTCCGTGTATGTCTGAGACTGGACCATGTGCTGAAGGTGTATCCTGCATCAATCAAGGATCAGGGAGTTACTTCTGTGGTGCATGTCCAGCTGGCTATTCTCAGGATGGAAATGGATGTGCAGATATTAATGAGGTAAGTTAATATAAAATCACCCAATATCATTTTGGGAATTTTATAAAATTTGGCTATAACAAGGTTTTATGAGGTTTAAAATGTTTTGCTGGGTTTTATGAGGTTTTTCGGGGTTTTATGAGGTTTAAAGGGGTTTTATGAGGTTTAAAGGGATTTATGAGGTTCAAAGGGATGTTAAAAGTTTTTGCCACGTTTTGTAGGGTTTTAGTGTTAATGAGGTTTTAGGAGGTTTTGTGAGGTTTAATGAGATTTTATGAGGTTTTATCAGATTAGTGAGGGTTTTTAAGGTTTTATTAGGTAAGTGAGGTTGAATGAGGTTAGTGAGGTTGAGAGTTTTTAAGGTTTTGTGAGGTTTTACAATGTTTTACGAGGTTTACCTGGTTTTACGAAGTTTTGTGAGGCTCTGGGGTTTACAAGGTTTACAAGGTTTTTGCAATGTTTTGGGTTCAACTGTAGTTACAGCTTTTGTATCCTCTCCTGATTTCCTTTCTCTTTTGTTACAAGGTTTTTGCAAGGGTTTATGTGGCTTCACAAAATTTTACAAGGTTATTTAAAAGTTTAAGAGGTGTTTGCAAGGGTTTATGAGGTTTTAAAACGTTTTCATAAGGTTTTACTGCGATTTACGGAGTTCAACCTCGAGTTACAGCTTGTTTAATTTTACATGCTCTCCTTATTTGCTTTCTCTTGTATTCTGTAGTGTGACATCGCTAATCCTTGCCAGTTCTCCTGCAACAACTTGTCTCCAGGCTATGAATGTTCGGGATGTCCCCCAGGCTATGTTGGGGATACACCTCATGGAATTGGTGTGGAGCATGCACAAGCCAATCAACAGGTGAGATCTTTGTGTGGTATTCATGTAGCAAACAAAGAAAGAAAATATGACTGCCAGATGTAATAATAATTATACTATGATGCTTTTGTAGCATCTCATACCATCGTCTTAAAGTGCTCCATGATTTTCATCCCTGTTCATGACGTTAAAGGACCAGTTAGGCGCAGTAGCTCCACCATTCGATATTGTACACCATCATCAAAGTGTTCGTACTCGGTTATAAGGACTCTGGGAATTTGTTTCAGTAATTCAATCTTGAATTAATAAAATCTCCTCACTTGAATATGCACATATGTGACCTGTTCTGTCAAAATCAGACTTTTCTGGGCATAAGGTCGAAAATGATATTTTTACATATTGTTAACATATGCTCTTTTTCCTTTTAATAGGTGGTTTAATTTTTGAAACCGATCATTCCTGGGCAGAGTTATGCTATTTTGAAGTTCATTGTGAAGAAAAGTAGAAAACGGAGAAAATGGCCACGAACGTCACAAACAGTTTTTTCTCTAGCTGATATACCTTAACAAAATCATCAAAAATAGTATATGTAGAGTTCAAATTAGGGTTTCAAACAATAATATATTTTAGACAAGTTCAGGATTACAAATATGCAAAAATTTGAAAATCGATAAAAATCACCCCCACAGCGTTTTTTGGCCCTATCTCAATTTCAACCTCTGCCCAGAAGCGTCTGCTTTTGACAGAACAGGTCACATATGTGCTCTATTTGTATCGATTCAATACTGAATTAGTACTTGGCTGTGGAGAGGTCTTCACACAAACTACATGCTTCATCTTTATGTACAGTTTCACTCATCACGATTTCAATGCACTTGGCTTCACAAAACTTGTACTCGAAGGTCGAAGTAACCCGCTGCCGCTGCTGCTGGTGGCCTTCTGTACTCATCCTCAAGAGTCAAAGTACTCTGATGCAAGTGGTACTCCCCAGCTTGGTTCTTGGCATTACTTTGCACTCAGATAAAAGTACTCAAGTACACTGGAACAAAACAGTACATTGTATTCCCCTCACACTGTTTTTTAACTGTTTTTAAATTGCTTTTTAATTATTTCAGGTGTGTGAAGATATTGATGAGTGTGCGGTTGACAATGGAGGATGCGACACCAATGCTGGATGTGAAAACACAGCGGTAAGAGCAACAATTTGACAGAGAAAGTTTCATATCCTTCAAACAGGATTCGTTAAGGTTTTTTTTAACTTGGCTAAAAATTAACCCTAACCACCCAACCCTTCTAAATCCATGATGTTTTGTTGGAATCTGTTGGAGTGAGTACTGCACTAGCAAACTTATTAAGCTTTAATTACATGGGATCAGGCATACTACCATAATTAGAATTTATAGAATGACCCATACTTAAGTATAAATATACCTGCACTCGCTAGGTGGCCATCGTCCAGTGGTTATGGTGTTTCACTCATGTACGATGGTGCGTGGGTTCGAACCCTGCCTGGAACATGGTGCGTGTGTGCCCTTGGGCAACATTACTGGACCAAGCCCAGTCTAATTTGGCTTTCTTAGATGCCAGCAGCTCTTCAGCACTTAACTGGTTCGTCACTCGTCCCTAAAATTCTGATGGGAGGCAGGTGGCTCTGGACAACGACGCACGTACATTGGGGATAGCCTGACTGTTTATCAAGGACAAACCACTGCACTCAATGTTCGCACATTTTGTAACTAATACGGAGGTATTAGTTAGAAAATGTGCGAACATATTTATGGTCGTTAACTGATTGAGGAGCCATTATCTCATTAGGGTGCTCATGAATACGAACCCGGGAATCCCGAGTTCGCGAAAACCACATTAGACTGGGCTCTGTCCAGTAATGAGACACTTACTACAATTGTCTGTCTCCAGTCTGCAGTATGAATGGGTACCTGTGAGGGTAGAGGACCAAATGTGCGCTGATATCGGCTGCCGCATGGTTTCGTGGCCTGATGAACAGGGGAATAATTGTAATAATTGAGATTGTTGATACAATGGAAAGCGCTATATATATATATATATGCATTACAATTTTAATTAGGATCATTATGGTTTGTAGGTGACGTGGGAAATACTGCTATGGTTGCAACATGAATCACAAGTTTTGGTTGGGGATGGGAATTGTTCTGACTGCTGTTCACTTATTTTGATTGCAGGGCAGTTATCAATGCGGATTTTGCCCGCCTGGTTACCTAGGCAACGGAAAGATTGGTTGCAGCCCAGGTGATTACTGCTTGCTGGGTCAGGCTAACTGCCATGAGAATGCTACGTGTATCACAACGGGAGCGGGTACCTATGTTTGTGAGGTGAGTTGGCTACACAGTAGTGGGTATGTTGCGACACCCCCACCCACCAAAAGGAAAATAAAAAACAAGAAAACTCTAGTGTCAAGTTGTGACATTTGTGATGCGATCAAGCTAAATGAGTCGTTTGTCGGAAACTTTCAATTGGAGATTCAGGCCAAAATAGGTCCACTTCATCACATCACTTCATCACATCTCTTGGTGTTCCGACTTCCATAATTTTTTAACTAAAGAATGTACCAGCATGCGGTTTTCACAGCAGTAATGCTGAGATTGTGCTCTTTCCAAATCTGTAAAAAAAAAAAATCGACCAGGGTCGACAAACGACTCATTTAGCTTGATGGCATCACATTTTATCTTTTTAATATTTGTAAATTTTACTTTAAAAAGTGTTCATTGACCAGTTTCCCCAAAGGATCAATTGATTTCCTGGCTCCCCACAGTCCGCCAGAAAAATGGTTAATTCTCCAATACAAATGTTCCACTAAATCACTTCTGTAATAATAATAACAATAACGGATGGGATGTTAAGCCAGAGGTCCCGTGTGTTGTATAAGGTCTAACGTACGTAAAAAAACCAAGTAACACTTATCGCTAAGAGAAGGCGTTTGCCCCGGTGTTTCTGGCCTCCTAGCTATACTTCCTTGTGGAAGTCCTTAGGAGAAGAATCAACCAAGTACCAAATACCAATAACCTTATTGATGGTAGTTTTATATCAGAGGGAAACTCTGATATAAAACTTACTACTCGAGGACCTCACTGTCATGACCATCCCAGCTTGCTATTGCGGATGAACCTCGATTGTAAAGGGTGGGGCCAGTTCTGCGCACACTGCACTCCACCTTAAAGCTCCACTACGCAGGCGTGAAGGCATACGTCCACATCGTCTACGTCCACGCCTTCTACGAGTAGCCATGTCATATCTATGAATTTGAATGGGCCATCAATAAAAACATTATACATGTACGAGGATTAAGATACATTAACCCTCGTATACAAACATACATTCTGTGCCAAGTTGACCTTTCAGTCAAAATCAATCCAGTGACTGTTTTCCAAACAGTTCAGAGCCAGCCTACATAAAGCAAGATTGACTGGCCGTGACTGTTTGGGTAACTTGATACAACTATGATTTGACTGTACCGGTAGGTGATTGATAAGCCAGCTGTGCATACCACTTGTCTGCCTTTGTCTGTTGACTTAAGTTGTTTTGTTATTTTTGGTTGTGTTTATCAGTGTGACAGTGGTTGGGCAGGCAATGGTGTCTATTGTGGTGTGGATACCGATCTTGATGGACGACCAGAATTGTCTCTTCTGTGCAGCGACGCATCATGCAAAGCAGTGAGTCGATTCCCAATCCCCCATTGTTTTTTTCAGAATCAAAGTGTCCATGCATGCTTTACATGAATTGTCAAGAGCCATGCATTGCATTCACTTAAATCAAATGACTCGTGACTCGGACTGAGACTCGAACGAAATGAATTGTGACTCAGACTCGGACTTGATGCAAGAGACGTATGGGACTCAGACTCAACCTGAGTAACTGGAAACATACTCGGACTGGGCTCAAGTGACTTGACTACAAAATGATAACTCTTTCGTCTTCTATTTTTCTTTGCAGGATAACTGTCCCCAGCATCCAAACAGTGGGCAGGAGGATACAGACAGCGATTATATTGGTGATATCTGTGATGATGATGACGACAACGATAGCATCTTTGACACTCGGGTAACAAGTTCAAAAACTTGATTGACCAAAATATAAACTTCTGAAATTTGTAAAAGTTTAAAGATCAGTCAGTTGGCCTTGTGCAGAGATCCCATTCAGCGTGTAGATCGTATGTGCTGCTTTATACCCCTCCCTTCTTCCCCTTCTTGCCCACCCCTTTTTTCCCCAGATGCGCCCCGTACATAGTAAACAACTTTTCTGAACACATATGAGCAATAAATTATAAAAGGTAACCAATCAAAATGTCATGTGATTGATATATTACTTCTGACCAGTTCTTGGCTGAGTTTTCCTCCTTCTTGGCAGTTTCATTTAATTGGGACTCTTATAAGTTTATATATATAGAAGTCCTTTTTGGTGTCTTTGTCCAATCAGGATAACTGCCAGTATGAACCAAATCCTATGCAAGAAGATACCGATGGTGATGGATTCGGTGATGCGTGTGATAATTGCCCCTACAATAGCACATCTGACCAGGCAGACAGTGACGCAGATGGCATTGGTGATGTATGTGATCCTGATGACGATAATGATGGTAGGTCTATACAAGGGGTACATTATTCTTTGACACAGTGTTGTGATTTTGGTTTTGGTGATGTATATGATTGATATGATGATAATTATGGTATGTCTACAGTAGGGGCACATTATTCTTTGACACAGTTGTGTTGGTGATATATGCGACCATAACGACGATAACAAAACATAGTCTATATATTAGGGGTACATTATTCTTTGATACACTATTATGTTTACTGCCATTTGGTTTTGTTGTTTGTCCTGAAATAGGTTTCAACGATGAGGATGACAATTGTCCATTTGTTGCTAACGTTGGTCAAGCTGACTCGGATGGCGATGGCGTGGGTGATGCATGTGACAATTGCCCTGACGATGCCAATACCGCACAGGGTGATACAGACCAGAACGGATACGGTGACACATGCGATGTCATTGGAGCCACTAACAAAGACATGTATGAAGAAAGATATAGTTCATATTTTGTTTCTTGTGTTCGTGTTACCCCAGAAAACCTGAGAATTTTGATATTGCAAACCTGTCAAACATTTACTTGAGAAGAAATCTTGACCTGAAATTTTCATTGCGAGTAACCTCCATTAGAAACTTCTGAGAGAAAACAGTCAATCTAAATGTAAACTGGCCAGCCCTCTAATCTATCTTAATCCTTTGTCCAAACAGTGGTTTTATAATGCCTAACACTTTAATAGTAGTAGGTATACATGTGCCTCCCACTAGGGCTCATCAGATGTGGTCATCTGAAAGCACCATCTATCGTTGGTATGCGGAGTGTATACATTTCTCAGAGAGATCAATGTGTTGTCTTACTTTTTGCAGGGATGGGGATGGTATTCTAGATCTAGATGATAATTGTGTAAGCATTCCCAATGCCGATCAGGCAGATACTGATGCTGATGGTGCTGGTAAGTCATTAATTTCTTGCTGCTTTCCCTTCCCATAACTTGTGTAAAATTGGTTTGGACTGGAATGTTGAAATTTGACTTGCAGATTAAAAATGTTCTACCCATGTGCTTATTCATTTTTTCCCCTCCTTTTTGAGTTGTTTGTTTGACAAAAGTACTTTTTTTTCTATTTGGGACGTTTTCATTCCTCTGATATTACTTGCTTTCATTTGCAATTTCTTATTCGAAAGTGAAGAAAAATAGCAGTTTAAAAGCGGAATTTATTTTTTCGGGATGAAACTCGAAAAATAGCACTACAAGTTTTGCCAGATCGGCTAAATTGGTTTTATTCAGTATATGTCAGTTGGGTTCTCCCCCCCCCCCCCCATTTTGGGGTCAGTTATGATCTTTATACTTGTTCGGATTGGTTCAGTGATATTCTTTGGCTCATATTTTAATATATACCCCTGCATAATTGTAACTGTTACATTTCTACATCCCAGGTGATCTGTGTGATAATGACAAAGACGGCGATGGCATCTTAGACGACACTGACAACTGTCCCTATGTTTCCAACAGCGGACAAGAAGACACAAATGGTAAGAATTGTACAAGCTGGGCATGTAAAGCATCAATGATCGTGTTACAACTCAAGCTCAATCATGTTTATACAACTTTTCATGAAATGGCACCAGACTACCTCTGTCATAAATTTCGGAAGGTTTATTCAGATATGCATAATTATTCTACCAGGGGTAGTTCCACCAATTTGTCGTTCCAAGAATGAAAGGGCCAGAGTGCAATGCATTTTTTTAATACCGGAATTCATGAATGGAATTTACTTCCTAATAGCACCAAATGTTCCAACAATCATTGCGAGTAACCTCTACTAGAAACTTCTGAGAGAAAACAGTCAATCTAACTGTAAACTGGCCAGCCCTCTGATCTATCTTAATTGTTTGTCCAAACATTGGCTTTATAATCCCTAACACTTAGTGTAATAAAGCCACATGTGCTGTCACGCAGCTGATAATGACAAGTGCAGGGGATAATAAGTAGCAGTATCTGATAACGGGGGCCAGTCTGTTGACAAAGGGATTAACAAGATAAGAGTGTACAGCTAGAACTATATACTGTATTGATTCCGAGTTTACAGGCCCTCACTCGGAAAGCTGCTAGAAGCACTTCACGTGACGATCATTATCAGTTTAAAAGGGCAGTGAAAGAACTTAGAATCTCTTTTCTCAGTCTACTTTTTAAACAGTCTAATTGTCATTCACCATTTTTTGCTACTTCCTGTGTAAATGTGTTTGTCTGTGTTTGTATTGTACCAGTTTGCCTCTGTTTTTAAAGACCCCAATGGAAATAAACCGTCTTATAAACAGCTTATTCGGCTATCCTTGGCTTTGTAATCAGTTCATAATTTTTTTGTATTACTTTGTATTCGTGTTTTGTATTTGTCAAAATAAATAAATACGCTGCCTGCTAAAGATTTTCAGCAATTTTGTTGCTTCATACGAAAAAAAAAATGTACAAAGAGAAAATAATCCTACGTACCTATAGTAAATTTGGGACATGTACAACATCTCTTGCAGGTAATAATTTGGGAGATGTTTGTGAGACCGACTTCGATGGCGACGGCACAGTGAATAGCGACGACATATGTCCCAACAGCAACCGCTACCAAACAACTGACTTCTCTACAGGTTTCATCTCTGTGGAGCTATACCCTGGTCTAGTTAACGGGACCAGCCCAGTCTGGGTGGTGACGGACAATGTAAGGCTATCTACATGTATGATACCAATATCATGTTGCAGCCATTCGATTTCTTCCCATTCAGATCAATGTAGCAAGAGCCAGGCTGGAAGGAAAAATAGTCTGGTTCCCTTTTGTTCAAAAACATTATCATTCAGTACTGTTATTGGATACAGGGAACATGACTGAAATGGTGGAAGCATGATAAGGTCTATTGTGCCCAGAATCAACTTCTCAATGAAGGATAACGTTTTCTCTACTTTTTTTTGTAATTTCAACTCGGTTCAACTGAACGTTTGTTTGAACATTGACACCTGAAATGACAGTACATGGGTTAGATTTTCTTAGGTATTTCAAAATGAAATGATTTGTTTATTTATGTCTTCTTTATGCTGGGTGGCCCATTCAGTCCTTTTATCAGATAGATTAATTGATAATCATTTACAAAATAATGTTTCCGATTGAGCTAAAACTTTCCATAGGTACTGAACATTAACTTTTCTACAACAATACAAAATTTCATAACAATCAGTCATTACATTCTCAGAACGGGATGATAAATAACCAAACACGTTGTGCTCTTTTAATGTTAAAATTCTGAGGTTTTATCAAAACTCGTTTTCTCAAAGGGAAAGGAGATTCGTGAAATCAGCAACACCATCATGCCGTCTATGTTGATTAGCCAGACATCAATGGCCGAAGTGGATTTCACCGGCACCATGTTTGTCAACACGGACGAGGGAAACAATTACATTGGTTTTGTCTTCGGTTACCAGAGTAACCGGAAATTCTATGTTGTGATGTGGCGACGTGAGAACATGAACAATCCTGACTATAAGGCTGGTATAAGAGGACTGCAGATCAAGGTAAGTGTATAAAGAAGTCATCACAAGAAATTAGATAAAATGTCATAAGTCATCATAAATCTTTAGTCATCATAACATGTCATAGATCTGAAGTCATAACAAGTCATCATAAGTCATCATAAGTCATTATATGTAATATTAAATCATAACTCATCACAAATCATCATAAGCCATCACAAGTCATGAATTATAAATCATCACAAGTCATAAATCATAATTCTTCACCAGTCATAAATCATAAGTCATCATAAGTCATCAAAGTCATCGTGAGTTATGACAATTTATAGTCATGACAAGTCATAAGCCATCATAAGTCATCACAGGTCGCCACAAGCCAACTTAAGTCATCAAAAGTCATCACAACTTATGTGCTGATGCTTTAAATAAAGCACTGTGTTTTCTGTGTATAACAGAGAACTGGGGGATTCAGTTCATATCGAAGTAAAATGTCCAGAGAGTATAAAATGACTTGTTTGTAGGTTTATTTAATCGATTGTTGACTGCTGTGATGTGGGAAATGCAAGTTTTAGCACCCGAAGGGCGCATATATAGCACCCAAGGGCACATATATAGCACCCAAGGCGAAGCCAAGGCTGCTATGCACCCAAAGGGGGTTGAAATCGGCATATCCCACATTGCAGCAGTCAACAAATGTTTGTTATATCGAGGCAATAGGACAAAAATTTTTACCCACTCTTCATGAATAAGTGAACTCACTGCAGTTATAAACCTTTTATTTTAGTGTAGGTTTCATTTTTCTGTTGTGAGGTGTGATACTGTACACAAACTTTTTAGCCGTTATCTGTTGTTGGGTGCAACAGGAATAGCATGCATATTGTAGCGTGGTCAGGTGCCGCAGCGAGACAAACAAATAACTTGGTAGAGAGAGGAGATGTTTAGGCTTCCAAGTAAATAAATTTATTAAGAAAGATTGAATCTGTCTACTTATTTCTACTAATTATTACTAATTACTTCTAATTTTAGGGGCAACTACGACTTAAGTTCTTTTATTAAAGTAAGAATAAAGGAATTTGTTGTAGAAATAAATGCAAGGAAAACAATTAATTATGAGAAATTACAAAGGGCAGGGCTGGGTGATGGTCAGTGTGAGTGGGGTAGCTTATGGTAAAAGCACCATAACTCTACTCCCAACCCAGGGGGGATTTAAAAGTTGTCATGCACTACAACTTACGTGGTCATTACATCAAGGCCTTTCCTTGCCACAGACAACAGACAACCTACATCACCCAGCAGACTGAAGCACACATGGCTAGTTCAAATTCCATGCACATGGGGCTTACAATAGAATTATGCAAATAAGATGCTTCATGCCTGGCTGGACTGATGCACACTCAGCTCAGGGGGTGGGATGGATGAGAGGGGCAGGCTAAACCAGAAATAGAAGGTGGGGAGGAAGGTAATGATGAAGGGCTATTTTCATTACACAATGTTAGAATAGTGCAAAAGTGGAGTGCAATATTACACTGCTGTTGCCATGGATCGACCAATCAGGATCAAGTATACAAGTGTGCTTGAAGATTGAGAAATATAGAATACCAGTAGCCATCAATTGAAAGGGCCTTGCAAACCCTTCACCACAAGAAATTCTAGTCAGTGTCCCCTTTGCATTACAGAAAGTGACCTCTGCCACCGGGCCTGGCCAGTCATTGGCTGATGCTCTGTACCACTCCGCCACCACAGCCAATCAGGTTGAGTTGCTGTGGCATGATCCATTCCTGCAGGGGTGGCAGCACCAGACTTCGTACCGGTGGTTTCTGACCCACAGGCCAGACATTGGGCTAATAAGGTATGTCTGCAGAGGCGGCTTTCCCTGTTTCTTTTTCGACTGAAAAGTTCCGAAGATGTATACGAAGTGCATGCAGTGCATACAGTGTACATGGTATTGGCCTCCGGACGTGTTGTATACTGTTAACCGTTCATCCACTTGGTCAATTTTTTTAAACATCACCTGCAGATCTGGTATCTTGATTGGTGAAAAGCATTTCAAACACTATTCTTTGAATGGAAAGTGTAATGAACATTTTGTTTGGTACCTGGCTACCTTTGTCCTCGATTGCAGAGTTGTCATCAAGGTAGGAGAGGAGACTCTGACAGATTCTGGGGACATCTACGACACCACCTACCTAGGTGGGCGGCTCGGAGTGTTTGTCTACGATCAAGAGGATGTCATATGGTCAAAACTGAGCTACAAGTGTGCAGACAGGTATGTAAGCCAGAGCTGTAGTTATGTCCTCACAAATCCTCAAATGTCATCACAAGACACTACGAATCAGTCATAAGTCCTCACCAGTCCTGCCTTGACTGCACAAGTCCTCACAATCCTCAAAAGTTTATTTGATTTTAAATCTACCACAAGTCCTCATCACATATTCCTCACAATCCTTGCAAGTCCTTAGATGTCCACATTTGACCCGACTAGACCTAAGAACTCCTCGCAAGTTCTGAAAAGACCTAACAGGTCCTAGCAACTCTTTATAAGTGGTAACAAGACCTCACCAGTCCTCAATAATCCTCCCTAACCCTCACAATCCCAACTTGACTTTACAAGCCATTATAGTCCCAAAATGTCCTCACAAGTCCTAACAAATAACAGTTTTCCTCATTTGTCCTGACTATTTTTCACTAGTCTTTAAAATTCGTCACAATTTGCGAAAATTCCTTGAAGCCTTCACAAGTCCTCACAAGTCCTCATTTCTCTTCTTTAGGCTAGTTGTCTAGTTATGTCCCACCTATCCCACAAGTTCACATGAGGTCTCACTATTTCTCAAGTCTTCAAACATCTTCAAAAGTTCTCAAAGTCTTCAGATGTCCACAGAAGTCCTCCTCACAAGTCCTCACATGTCCTCACAAGTCTACACAAGTCCATATATGCAATTCCATAAATGCAAGTCCCCACCAGTCAACAAAAATTCACACAAGTTCTCACAAGTTCGCACATGTCCTCACAATTAAGTCTCGAAAAGTGCACACAAGACCTCACACGTCTTCACAAGTCAACACAAAATCACAAGTCAATCAAAAGTTATCAAATCAAGTAAGTCACTTCATCTAGATTGTATCTTGCTGAAATGGCCATTTTTGCATTGGGTCTAGGCTAGATGATGACAATAATTATCTCAGCCAGCAATAGACACCTGAAGTTTCACCCTGCAATAACATTTGTTTTTATTCCTGACACAGGGTCAATCAAGCTCTGGAATTTGATGGCACAGATGATCATGTTGTCCTACCTACCTTAGAAATCTTGCAACTTACCTCAAGTTTCACCCTAGAAGCATGGGTGCATCTCCCCACCAATTACCCCTCAACTGCCATGCCTGTCTTGTGCACTTTGGATGGAATGCTTTGCATGTTCCTTGAAAATGGGTGAGCCAACCGAATGTTTCTGCTAATAAGACAACTAAAATTTCTTTTGTGAGTTTGTGATGAGGTTCTGAAAAGAACCTGTCAGAATATCAGTTGTGTTACATTGTGCTACCATAAACTTCATGTTATTGCTTTCTTCAAAATGCAAATAGATGGATCACACTACATCACAATGCATCACTTATATCACTTAAATATGCTTATATTCGTTTTTTCCCCCGAGCCTGTACCAGGATTTCACTTCTCTTTTGTCTCAACTTTTAATCCCCATGAGGATTATTAAGGTTGACCGGCCACCACCAGCTGGAAACTATTAGTATTGACTGAATATGACTTGTTAGTTTTGCCTGAATCCTTCTTGAGTTGCCTAAATGCACACAGAATTTCAATAACTGCAATATCCAGTGTAGTATTTGTTAATGTCAAGTAACAATGAAACCATCCATTGTTTTTGAATCATTGAAAATGGTCCATGGACAACGGAAATCCTGAATGGTTGTGTCCGTTGACGTGCAGTGTTCCTGTGCAAGGTGCATGCATGCTTGTGTCCACAGTATGGACTAACCACCTGTGGTGTGCAAATTGCCTGAAGGGATTAACCAAATAATGTTACAGTTCAGTGCGCTGTGTAAAATAGAAACAACAAAATCCTGGTAATTGGAAAGACCCTGCTTTTTAAAAGGCAAAATCACCTCTTGGATAATCGTTGTCCAAGGTTGGATATGGATTTTATTCCCCAAATGTACCAGTAACTAAAAAGCGCAATAAAGCTGGCATGGCAGTAAAAGTCTCTGTCTATGAGTTGAATCAAATCGCGGTCTTGGCAACTTTGGTAGTACTGCATGCCCAGGAAATTCTGAGCATACTTCATGCATTTGCATTATTAGCTTGAATACAGCGCATGAGAGTTATGCTAAGAATTTGTCGGGTAGCACTGCCAAACTTCCTAAGACTGGATTTGATTCATCACCTTGATAGCAATCTAATGTGCCAGTGGCTTTACCGTGCGTGTTGGGGACTGGCTGTTTGAGGGGACTAATACCCAAATCCAGTCTAGGACCAAATCTAATGATTTATCGAGTGATACAAAGTGTCGTATCAGCATTTAAATCAACCAATGATGTGTGACTGCATGATGTAGGTATTTGAAGGGCCAGGTCGGTGACCGAGTTGTGGTTGGTTCTACTGTTCTGCCTGATTCTACATGGAAACACATTGCTATGAGATTTGATTCTCAGAGTAAGTAAAACATTAGAAAGCACTATTTAATAAGCCTTTTCGGAGTTCCAACTGCGCATTCGTAACCTGTGACAACGCACACTGTTTGTCTCAAATGCCCTTTGACAGTACCCACAATGCACAAACAGCCTTTTTGTAAAGTCAGTGGCGTGATGTTGTCAAAGGCCATTAGAGACAAACAGTTCGCGTTGTCACAGATTACGAATGCGCAGTTGGAACTCCGAAAAGGCTTATTAATTTTAACCCGCTGTACCAAATCGATGGACACATTTGAACATTCTCCATAGTCATATAGGAGAGCCTGCTAGGAGCAATAGACCATTATCATGTTGCGTCTGTCTTGATTTTCCCCATTCAAAATCAACATAACCAAAGCGAGGCTGGAGGGAAAAATAGTCTGGTTCCTTTTTGTCATTCAGTACTCTTATTGGATACAGTGAACATGACTGAAATGGTGGCAGCATCATAAAGGTCTATTGTAACTCATCAGGCAATGTTAGGTCATGGTTTTTGTGGCATGAAACTACTGAGAATATTTCTATTCTCCCCAGATGGGATGCCAGTCCATCGCAGGTTACTCCCAAGCTAATGCCAGTGGTTATTTATACTCTGCAGTGGAGAGAGGCAAGCAGGGGTTAAGTACCTTGCCCATGGACACAATATATGGCCAGTTGCAGGATTCGAACCCTTGACCCTCTGATAATGAGTCACAAACCCTAACTAGGCCAAAATCCCCCATACTAAGTTGGTGGGTGGACTGTGTAAAAACAACCCATAAAATAAGTCATATACATTTTATTGAAATTAAACTTAAAATACATGTTTTTCATAGAGCAAAATCAGCATGTATAGTTTAGTCGGAAAAGGGGGGTATCGTGCACCCTCGGAAATCAATTTCTAATCAACGTGTCTAGGTCAGAAAAAATGCGTAGAAAACGATTTGCTATGTTAAAAAATTCAAAAAATGTCCCACGTATTGTTTTTATGCAAATTAGTGCCGCCATTACCGAAAAATCTATTTTTAATTATATCTCAGCCAATATTGCAGATAACTGAATGAACTAGGTGTCTAAACCCATGTTTTCAAGGTCAGAGATCACAATAAAACTATTTTGGAAGTGACCACATGTGTCTGTGGCATAGGAATATGCAAATTAGTGCCGCTAATACCGGAACATCATGTTTTTGGCATATCTCGGCCAATATAGAACATAACTACACCAGTAAGGTGTCTAAACCCATGTTTTGATGGTCAAGTATCATTAGAAGACCATTCACGAAGTAACTATGTGTGTCTTTGGCATGAAAATATGTAAAATATTAAGTGTCGGTTTATCAGATATTTGATTTTTAGCCAATATCTCGGCCAATATTGCACATAACTACACCAATAAGGTGTCTAAACCCATGTTTTGAGGGTCAGGTATCATTAGAAGACCATTTACGAAGTAACTATGTGTGTCTTTGGCATGAAAATATGTAAATTCTAATTTGCCGGTTTATCAAAAAATTGATTTTTAGCCAATATTATATTCAATTTCAGCCAATAGTACAGTTAATTTTAAATATGATGGCTTAAAATAAACTTTGATCATTATTGCTTATCAAAAACCCTTCTGTCAACATTAGCTTCAATATTGGCCGAGATATTGGCTAAAAATCAAATTTACGATAAATCGACACTTTTGAATTTACATATTTACCTGCCAAGGACACGCATAGTTACTTCGTGAATGGTCTTCTAATGATACCTGACCCTCAAAACATGGGTTTAGACACCTTATTTGTGTAGTTATGTGAAATATTGGCCGATATATTGGCTAAAAATCAAATATCGGATAAACCGACACTTTATAATTTACATATTTTCATGCCAAAGACACACATTGTTACTTCGTGAATGGTCTTCTAATTATACTTGACCCTCAAAACATGGGTTTAGACACCTTACTGGTGTAGTTATGTGCTATATTGGCCGAGATATGCCAAAAACATGACTTTCCGGTATTTGCGGCACTAATTTGCATATTCCTATGCCACAGACACATGTGGTCACTTCCAGAATAGTTTTATTGTGATCTCTGACCTTGAAAACATGGGTTTAGACACCTAGTTCGTTCAGTTATCAGCAATATTGGCTGAGATATAATTAAAAATAGATTTTTCGGTAATGGCGGCACTAATTTGCATAAAAACAATACGTGGGACATTTTTTGAATTTTTTAACATAGCAAATCGTTTTCTACGCATTTTTTCTGACCTAGACACGTTGATTAGAAATTGATTTCCGAGGGTGCACGATACCCCCCTTTTCCGACTGAACTAGTAGGGCTTGATGTGTTACAAAATTATCTAAAAGGTCAATTCATGTCTCATGTCGTTTTTTACCATGATTGTAACATTCATGTTACAATTTTCAGATAGTGAACTAAGTGTGTTTGTCAACGGATCAGTTGAAGCTACAGAAACAACTGTTGCAACCCCCATCTGGGTAGGTATAAATTGCTCTTAGCATTGGACTTCAAGTAAAATGTCCACTCATTCTTTTCAACTTAAAAGTACATAGGATCACAGTAGGATGCATAACTAACTTGTTGAAGTTTCAGCTCGTAGATGCTATGGGAAAACAGGGTTTTGTGACTGAATACCGTTGCTAACACTCAAAACAAAAATGTGATGGGGGCACCTTAATTTGAAACCACCTTCAATGTTAGTTTTCTGGCGAACAATATTTCAGGAGGAATGGTTGCACAGGGTATTTGTAAAACGCTGATTCATCAACTGTTATATGTCAGTTGTAAGTTTAACAAATTCATGTGCCTTGTTTGAAAGTAACTCACATGAACAGACTGTCAAAAGTGAGCTGTTCACATCATTTCTAATGCTGGCCACTGTGTTCATACTGCCAACTGATTGCAAATCTAAAAACTGTTACGAATTAAAGACATTTACTACTTAAATTTAGGTAGATTTATGTGTAAGTACATGAATAATGCATTACCTGGTTGTTTTAGCTCATATTTTACGTTATTAAACATACATTCACACAATACTCGAAGTGCTTCTAGAAAAAATATCCATGTTTGTTACAGTCGAACGTCCTTATTTAAAAACAGTCTTATTCAACGTAGTGTAAATTACTGGAACAGTATTAGTGAATCTTTGAAAAAGTCACCATCACAGACTATTTTTGTCAAAAAACTGGGGGAAAAAAACAACTGCTTGTTGCATATTTATAACTATAATGTTTAATTTATTTCGTATTGTTATGTCTTAGTACCTGCATGCACAATCATATGCTATTGTTGTCCTTTGTCCTGTCTGCCCCATTGTCTGTCCCTAGGTTAGGGTTCAAAAGCATTTTTGCTTCACCCAAACCTAAATGATGTCCTTTGTGTAATAATTTTTATATTTACTTAACCTGTAATATTGTATTTCAACTTATTGTAAACACTGTACACTGTACATTTGAAATAAATGTACTATACAACTGTCACTTGAAGACACAAATGTTACATTCACAGGGGAATGGTACCCAGCTGTATATTGGGAGAGATGAGGACAGTTTCTTCACAGGAACCATGGATGAGGTATGTTAATGTTAGTCTGTTATTGACAGGGGTGATGATAAATGAGCATTCGTCTCAGGGCTTTCAGCATAATTAACCCAAGCTAGCTGTAGTAAATTGTGGTGTTGAAATGTTTTGTCTCTGTAACTGTTATCTGACAATACAACACACACTACAGCCAACACAAAACAGTGAATGGACTTGTTAGAACTGCATCAACTTATTGCGTTAATCACCTCACAAGTCCATCATACGTCTTCACAAGCCCTCACAAGTCCTCACAGGTCCTCATCACAAGTCCCCAAATTAAGGTCCACACAAGTCCTCACAGGTCCTTACAAGTTCCCGAATTAAGGTCCTCACAAGTCCTCGGGTCGTCACAAGCCCTCACAGGTCCTCACAGGTACTCGCAGGTCGTCACAAGTCCTCACAGGTCGTCACAAGTCCTTACAGGTCCTCACAAGGCTTCACAGGTTCTCACAAGGCTTCACAGGTCCTGACAAGTCCTCACAGGTCCTAACAAGCCCTCACAGGCTTACAGGTCCTCACAAGCCCTCACAGGCTTACAAGTCCTCACAGGTCGTCACAAGTCCTCACAGGTCCTCACAAGTCATCACAGGTCCGCACAAGTCCTCACAGGTCCTCACAAGGCCTCACAGGTCCTCACAAGGCCTCACAGGTCCTCACAAGGCCTCACAGGTCCTGACAAGTCCTCACAGGTCCTCACAAGCCCTCACAGGCTTACAGGTCCTCACAGGTCGTCACAAGTCCTCACAAGTCCTCACAGGTCATCACAAGTCCTCATAAGTCCTCACAGTCCTCACAGTTACAAGTCCTTTCAGATCCTCACAATGCCTTACAAGTCATCAGATTCCATACATTATCCATCACACTTCCTCATAAGTCCTTACGGTGCATGCTTGTGGGTCCTCCACAGTCTGCAAGTCACTTTGACGACTTTTCAAAGTCTTAACCTTTGACCGGACCTTTTATGGACTTATTATGATGAACGTGACTATACACAACACTACAGGTGCGCATCTGGGGTGTAAGCCTCTCTGATGCAGAGATTGAGGAACACATGCAGCTAGCTAGCCTGGAACGACAGAAGCATAAAGACCTGCTGGATGCACACTATAACATGGACAATGAAGAACAAGGTATGGGATCCAGGCACGAGTGTACCAAGGCAGTGAAAAATTCAAAAACATTTTGATTGTAGGGTGCCTATCTAGTATTCACTCATTCTCGATTGTCATTAGGTCATGTCAGCGCATGCGCATTAATCAAGTTCCCTTATGTTATACGGGTTTAGTTCAACTCTCTGGGATATGATTTGTCACTGCATGCATGCCTGAGTAGATCGTAGTCATTGGAGAAAATGTAAATGAATGGGAATTTTGAATGATTTATGTTACTGTTATATTCATGGCGTCTGGGATCTAGTGTGCTTAAAAACCCAGAGGTAATTTTCAATAGTATACTATTATCTTTTTGACCCGGGAGTATATTCTGGACCAAGGCTTGCAATTGTTTTGTAATAGGCCGTGTCAAAATCACATGTACTTGCCATAGACAAGTATCTCAGACACAGTCATAGACTCTACATAACTGTTATCTTTTGGGGTTTACAGAATCTAGTATGCTTGCGGACCAATCCTTGTATATAGTATCCCAGTAGTCTATATTATAACAGTTGAATTTGCCAAAGTATAATTCTGTAACGAGACCTGACCATACATCACAGCATTTTTAATTACAGTTATATTTTTGGTCTACAGGGTCAAGTATACTTCTATATACAAGTGTCTGTATGTGTTCCAATAGTCAGTTTGTATATTGTGGATTTTACAGGATCAAGTATGCTTCTAGACCAAGGCTTGTATTCCCACCACGGTCTGATAGTCGGGGACCCTGACTTCACCCCGAGCTTTGTTGATCAGGGACGCTTCCAGGTCACCTACCCTGATAACCGGCGTAGACGGCGCAGACGGAGTGTGGAGTATCAGTATGAGGAAAACCACTCTGAATTGTAGAGTGATGAAAAATATAGTCAAAAGCATATATAGATGCTTGGGATATATCACTGCATTGGCACCACGCTTGCATGCATGATGCCTGCATTCTTAACACCTGTGCTTTAGCATCGTGACACCTGCAGCCCTTACAGTGAAACCTTTGAATCTTTAAAGTCGATAAAAACCTTTATTTCAAATTGGGAGCCTATTATATTTTTCTAAATAACCTATACAGGGTGGTCCAAAAAAAAAAAAAACCGGAACGGCATAGTTCTACTACCCTGACTCGAACCACATATACGAATTAATGGACAATCTTTTTAGCAGAAAAACGAAACCAAGATTGCATGATTCAGTTCTGTAGTTTTTGCTCTAGAGGCTATTATGGGAAGCAAGGTTGGGGTCATTTTGTCTCGTTGAATTACTAAACCGTGCTCGGGAATTTGACTGACATTGTAATTGATGGAGGGATTGTTATGTAATAATACCCACATGAAAGAAGTGTGCTTTACAAAATAGGCTCTGCAGCAAAAACTGCTGGACCGAATCAGGATATTTTGGAATCATAAGTTTTCTAAAAGGATTCTCCATCGATTGGTACAGGTGATTTGAGTCTCAAGGTCAGTAGTGGAAGTATGCCGCTCCGGTTTTTTTGGAGGACCACCCCGTATAACTTATAAAAACATGTATTTCAAATGTAACCTATACAGCCTATATTAAAAACTAGCATATAGCCTACTAGCATATTGCAATTCGGAAGCCTATTATATTTTTTAAAGTAGCTTGTATAACCTATACAAAACTATATTTTTATTCTGCCATACATTTTTAACACTAATGGCCTCTGATTGTACCTGATGTGATGGCCTTTGATTTTTTGTGTTTGTAGGATAATCCTTGCAGTATTTTTCCCAAGATTTATAGCAACTGATAATGATTTTGTCAATACAAAACATTGTTTTACCGCTTCCTTCTGATACCTACTTAGTATATACATGTATATGCAAGATAGTACAACATTTTTTTTATACATTGTATTCCTTTTCACCATGTTTTATTGTTAAAATATATAGTGGTAATATACTTTTTATACTCTGGTATATTCTTTTTGTATAATTTATTATTGCAGACATATATCTGCTATGGTACAGAATTTGTATTTGAGGCATAATCGCTATTTTGAACTGGCTCAGTTTATTCCCATATCGTAAAATAATCCCAGTGAATTTGGTGAATTATTAAAAATAACATTTGTAGGTAGTGTTACACCTGTTAATGGTTTCTTAGGGAGACATTTTGACGTCATTAAGTTTACCTTAGGAAAACATGGACATTAGAAAGACACTTTGTCTCCCTAATGTCACAGCTATTTAGAGGCATAGTTTTAATGTCGCAAATAGGCTATAGATAGATTGCTCTTGGTCCAAAACATAATTATACCAACATTCGCGGGGTAGGATAAGGTATAATTGGGGTAAGGTGACATTAAAGTAAGAAACATTTTGTGCTCACGTCCATGGGGTGGGAATTTCTCCTAAATGACCCATTAATTAAAGGTATTTTTTATCTTTAAATGAAATTTTTGAATTAATACATGTAGCATGTTGTATGCAATACAGGGTATATTTTGAAAATATAAAATGATATAAAGATATATTTAGTCGGCCTGAACCTACATGTTCTTCTATTGTCACTGAAAAAAGGTCGTTCGAGGTACTGGTGACGTTGTGACGTAAAGGCCTGTGGTTGCTGGTTTGAACCCACCAAGCTCATGTACAGTTTTCAACAAGATTATTATCACTTTTACCGCAAGCAAATATCTGTTGGTTCGACCCCTGCTTAGATTTTGTTTAACATTGCCATGCAGCATATCATATTAAGTACATTATCCGTAAATATTTGGCATAGTGGGAAAAGTAATGTTCTGAGAATTATCTTGAGAAATAACTCCATTGTCGTTCTGAACTACAGTGTGAGTAAAAAAAAAAAAAAAAAAACCCGCATCCCAAATGGCAGGACCAAAATTTGAATGAACTTTTGACCGTAACACTTTCAAAATCAAGGATATGAAAGCCCAATTAATGAGTTTTCTTTTAGCACAAGAATCATTCAAATCGCTCTTGTACTTCAAGTAACTGAATTGTGAACATAAAACACCGTTTGTGATTTTTTAAAATACAATGTATGTTTATCTGATGGATTAAAATATTCTTTAAAAAATGCAGACAGCTGGCTTTTTAGCAATAAGTATCGGCAATAAACCGTCCTTTTATCTGTTTTCATAATTTTCTATTTATATATTTGATTGTACAATTGTTTGAATTGTCCGTCCTGCGAGGAAGAAAGGTTTACGATTTCACAGATGTTTGCAATATTGATTGTGTAAAATGTATCAGGATAGGCAATATATGGCTGTTTTTTGGAAAACCGGCCATTTGTGTAGTTTATATTTGTTAGACTATATAGTTTGTTATATATGTGTGTGACTCATAGAGCAGTTGGTATAGAATATTCATATTAGAATATAACATTTATATATCTTTATCAAAATCACCTCTATTGATCAATCTTACATATAATTTTTTTATATGTATTTTTACTTGCACCATATTGCAATTTAGATATAATATAAGTTACTTAATCAGCCGATTTGTTTTTACAATCTTATTTTACAAATTAGTTCGTGCTTGAATATTAAAGACAGTGTTTTTATTCTGGATTGTGATTGGGTGTTCACAACGCGTAACGTAAAGTATCTTTATGTAATTACCCAAATATCAATTTTATGCGGTATATTTGCTGGTCTGAGTTTGATGTTTTTTTTTTATATATGTGTGTTCGGATTGTTTGTATTGAATAATATATGTACGCAGAGTTATGCTTTTAATTATGCAGATGAATGAAGTAAATAAAGAGATTGGATTTACCCCCTGCCGTCAAAGTATTACATCGTATTGTAGAAATAGCGGTGAAATTTTGCTTTAATTGTTAACTTTTTCAATCTGATGACACTGATAATATCCCTTGTGATGTTTCTATTGTTACATCCAGCAAATATTTGGGATAGAGAAATACCATGCAAAGGCGTAGCGGACCTCAAAAAGGTAATACATTGTATTTAGCTCTTATATGCCATCAGCCTGGGGGTTTGATCCGTATCAGATCAGGGCATAAATAATTATTGTGCGCATGCGCAAGGTATACCGCCCACCAACCTCGTCCCCAGGGTGTCGAGCAGTACGCGCCCACCACTACCTGCTCTCTCACCCTGGTATTGGATCATTTGCATGTGCAAGATTTTTAAACACGTGTTCAAATAAGGAATAGTCTGGTGCCTGCCAGTGCGTTAATTAGCGTTTGTTTTTTTGTATGCCATGTCTGGGGTAAAAACAGAACCGATACGCGCCGTGAGTTACGAAAACACGATTGTTCTCGAAGTTAAAATGTTACAATCTTATCCAGCCAATTATGCAGTATCACATTTCATATTAATATGAGCAAATTAGAAAGGAAAGGAGTAATTTTGAGAAGGCATGGACGTTTTTAATTACAATGATTGTGAAACCACGTAGGCTACTGCACGTTTAAAATAACAACACCAAGTATACGGTATAAATTATTAGCCGATTGCAGCATCGAATAAGGATACAGGAAGAAAGTTTCCTATCATGGGCTTACTATTGGAAACGAGGTTGGAAATAAAGTAAGCACTGGGGACGAGGTTGACCGCCCACAGAGTGGTAACAAGCATTTTGATGGACATTTTGATAAACAAAGGTGATAACCACCAAAAAGCTGCCACCGCTGCAATGCTATCACATATTTTTCAACTCTGGAGGTATGTGTACCTAGTCACAAATCGCTCTGACAATTATTCCCTTCATTTGATACCGGTGGCCAAAAATTTGGACCGAGGCTGATGGTTTATAACGTACCTTATCATAACATGTGTATGTCAACATATATAGCACCAATGTCAACATAGCACCAATGTCAACAGATAACACCAATGTCAACATATATAGCACCAATGTCAACATAGCACCAATGTCAACATAACACAAATATCAACAGATAACGCCAATGTCAACATAACACCAGTGTCAACATAACACCAATGTCAACGTTGCACCAACGTCAACATAACACCTATGTCAACATTACACCAATGTCAACATAATACCAATGTCAATATAGCACCAATGTCAACATAACACCGATGTCAACATAACACCAATGTCAACATAGCACCAATGTCAACATAACACCAATGTCAACATAACACAAATATCAACATAACACCAATGTCAACATAACAGCAATGTCAACAGATAACACCAATGTCAACATATATAGCACCAATGTCAACATATATAGCACCAATGCCAACATAGCACCAATGTCAACATAACACCAATGTCAACAGATAACGCCAATGTCAACATAACACCAGTGTCAACATAACACCAATGTCAACGTTACACCAACGTCAACATAACACCTATGTCAGCATTACACCAATGTCAACATAATACCAATGTCAATATAGCACCAATGTCAACATAACACCGATGTCAACATAACACCAGTGTCAACATAGCACCAATGTCAACATAACACCAATGTCAACATAACACAAATATCAACATAACACCAATGTCAACATAACTAATGTCAACATTACACCAATGTCAACATTACAACAATGCCAACATAACACCACTGTCGATAACACCAATGTCAACATACGGTACCATTGTCAACATAACACCAATGTCAACATAAACACCAATGTCAACATAACAACGTGCAACATAACACCACTGTCGATATAACAATGTAAATACCACTACCATCGCCAATGTCCAACACCAATATCAACACCAATGTCAACTTTAATATCACCGTAACATGCAGTATCATGCATCAGTACCGTATCAGTGTCATCTTTAAACCAGTGTCCACACCATATTTTAAGATGAAGCAAATATGAACGCAATAATACAATACCAACGGCAACCACCAAATTCAAGTGTGGCCAATTTCAACGTAATATGTAGACATCATTAAGAAACCGGTGGCGGCGCTATCTAGTCTGGTCCGGCCGGTCCTGCCCAAACCCAGAGCGATTTTTTTTTCGTAGGCGGGATGCTCAGAAAGTCATGCATGATTCAGTTTTCCTTTGAATCGTTGCAAGACACTTTGGTTCTCATTCTCTTTTTTTCCCCTAAAATACAATTATATGCATCTGAACGATCAATTAAGCGAAGAAAAACAGTCGATGAAAATGAGCAGTGATGACGTGGATTCCGACCAGGGATCTTTGTGTCCATATAGCTCATCACGCTATCCACTAGGCTACTGTGTGGTAGCTCGACGACGTCTATACTTTAAAATGCTGTAGAGGGAACTGATTGACTAAATACAAACAATGTTCTTGACATCATTGTTCTGTTTCAGTAATAAACATACTGGCCCGATCGAAACTATTGAATTATTCATGACTTTGGAGCATCCCGCCTTCATGCGGAAAAGAAATTCGCGTCCGGTCCCATCCGGTCCAATCCTGTCCGGTTGAATCCAATACCAGTCCAGAACCGTACAGGTCCAATGCAGTATCAAACAAAGCGAAGGCACAACGTTACCTACAAGTACAAGATTTCGACATACAGTCTGTCTTTTCTATACTGCAAAAACCTACTAAATGTAGAACTTGATGCAGTCAAAGTTTTTCTCTCCATGAAGGGCGTAGATACAGCGCCCTCACTCGCTTGCCATAAGCCAGCCATTACCTTCAATAGACCTAAGACATAATGACGTCACGTTTTGTTTACAATTTTTGTGCACCTGTTGACGAAAATATGTGGTAAAACGAGTCTACAATGTTTATTTATTTCTCACAAAACTATGGTTTTTGCCCAAATCTTCAAAATATTGGGCGTTTGAGTATTGATTGGTGCTCCTCTGACTTCCAAATGAATTTCTGCATTGTTTGGAGAAAAGTCAATTTTTGGCAAAATTTTGATCATAATGTAAGGCTTACCCCTTGCATTTTTTTTCCAATTTTGACCAAAAAAATGGAAATCCTTCAAACTTTCTAGAAAGATGCCTCAGAGACCCTAGAACACATTCTTATTCCATTTGTAGAAAAATATGCTTATCAAAAGAAAATTTTGACCAAAACATTGGGTAAAATCAGTGAAAATGCTAATGTTTTTCACAAAAATCGATGTTTTTCCCAAATCTTCAAAATATTTGGTGTTTGAGTATTAATTGGTGCTCCTCTGACTTTCGATGGCATGTATGCATTATTTGGAGAAATCTCAATGTTTGGCCAAATTTTTATCAAAATGTAAGGCTAACCCTTGCAATTTTTTTTCAATTATGACTAAAAAATGGAAATCCTTCAAACTTGCTAGAAAGATGCCTCAGAGACCCTCAGGCACATTCCAATCCAAATTGTAAAAAAAAGTTTTTAAAAAGAACATTTTGGACGAAAATATGAGGTAAAATCAGAAAAAAAAATGTAATTTATTTCCCAAAAAAATCGATGGTTGTTGCCCTAATCATCACTTGCCCCATCTGTCTTCCAAAGGCATGTCTGCATTGTTTGGAGAAAAGTCAATTTTTTGCCAAATTTTGATCAAAATGTAATGCTAACCCCTTCCTTTTTTTTTTCAATTGAGAGCCAAAAATGGAAATCCTTCAAACTTGCTAGAAAAATGCCTAATGGACCCAAGAACCCATTCCAATTCCATTTGTAGAAAGATATGCTTTTCAAAACAAAATTTTGATGAAAATACGGGGTAAAGTAAGTCAAAAATGTTAATTTATTTCCCACAAATATCGATGGTTTTTGCCCAAATCTTCAAAATATTGCGTGTTTGAGTATACATTGGTGCTCCTCTGACTTCCAATGGAATGTCTGCATTGTTTGGAGAAAACTCAAGTTTTGGCCAAAATTTTATCAAAATGTAAGGCTAACAGCTTGCGTTTTTTTTTTTTAAATTTTGACCAAAAAATGGAAGTCCTTTAAACTTGCTAGAAGGTAGCATCAGAGACCCTAGAACACATTCCAAATCCATTTGTCGAAAAACATGCTTTCCAAGATAAAATTTTGACGAAACTATGGGGTAAAATCAGTCAAAAATATTAATTAATTTCCCACAAAAAATGGATGGTTGATGCCCAAATCTTCAAAATATTGGTTGTTTGAGTATCGATAAGTGCTCCTCTGACTTCCAGAGGCATGTCTGCATCTTTTGGAGAAAAGTCAATTTTTTGCCAAATTTTGATCAAAATGTAAGGCTAACCCCTTGAATTTTTTTAAATTGAGAGCCAAAAATGGAAATCCTTCAAACTTGCTAGAAAAATGCCTAAAGGACCCTAGAACCCATTCCAATTCCATTTGTAGAAAGATATGCTTTTCAAAACAAAATTTTGACGAAAATTCGGGGTAAAGTTAGTCAAAAATGTTAATTTATTTCCCACAAATATCGATGGTTTTTGCCCAAATCTTCAAAATATTGCGTGTTTGAGTATAGATTGGTGCTCCTCTGACTTCCAATGGAATGTCTGCATTGTTTGGAGAAAACTCAAGTTTTGGCCAAAAATTTATCAAAATGTAAGGCTAACAGCTTGCGGTTTTTTTTTTTAATTTTGACCAAAAAATGGAAGTCCTCTAAACTTGCTATAAGGTAGCATCAGAGACCCCAGAACACATTCCAAATCCATTTGTCAAAAAACATGCTTTCCAAGATAAAATTTTGACGAAACTATGGGGTAGAATCAGTCAAAAATATTAATTAATTTCCCACAAAAAATGGATGGTTGATGCCCAAATCATCAAAATATTGGTTGAGTATCGATAAGTGCTCCTCTGACTTCCAGAGGCATGTCTGCATCTTTTGGAAAAAAAATCAATTTT